TATACCAATAATTAATTATTTTTTTCTTAAAAAAAAAAAGAGAACCTTGTATATCTTTTTGAACCAATTGCTGTATTACACCACTAACTTTTTCTTGAACCCATTCATATTTCTACTTATTTTACACTTCATCATTATTACTGCTTTGTCCCAGATCTATAAATTTGATATTTTAAAAGATAATCCGAATTTAATTTTGCCCATTAACTCAAAATATTGCGGGGGAGGGAGGATACAAACTCAAGCAAATTCAGTTTCAACAATATTAATTTTGTTTAAAGAAATAGATGCTGGAGTTCAGTTAGTCCCATTTTTTCATTGTGGTGAGACAAAAAGTAATAATTTTTTATTTATTAAACGATAAAATAATTGTGATATTTTTTTCCAAGAAAAAGGAGAAGTAAGTATGCAAATAAAAACTTAAGAATTTGAAAAATAAATTGAAAATAAATACAAATTTATTGAGGACAGAAACTGATTTCAGTCCCCAGAACTGAAATCAGTTTCAGTCCTTCAACAAATATTTCAACAATTCAATTTTATTCAACAAATATTTCCTTTACCAACTAAAAGGGGGGCAAAAAATTGAATTTTGTTACATAGTGAAAATTCCATACATAGTTATTATACACAAAATTAAACATATAGGGCAGGGATGGCGAACCAATGGCACGCAATACAATATTTTGAGCATGACACCCATCACGAAGTTCACTATGAAGCATATTAACAATTAAATTAAAATTTACAATAAACAAACAAAAAAATAAACAATTTTTAACCAAATAATTAACAATTAATGCCAAACTATAAGTAATAAGCATAAAAAAACAAGCTAACAATAAATAATTAGCAAAAAATTAACAGTAATGCTTGAACTAACATCTTACAACCTAATATAAGTTATTTGTCATCTAATCTGCAACAACAGAAGTCACACTGATGTTACTTTAAGTTGAATTACGCATATAACTGAGATATTGCAAAATGTATTATTATTCATAGCAAATAAAGATTTTTGAGTTGATAGTATTTAGTCATATTATTTTCCCAATAATCACGAAGTCAAAATTATTTGACGGCACGTCTATGGCCTCATTAAACAAATGGCACGCTGGTGCATAAAGGTTTGCCACCCCTGATATAGGGGATGGTTTGCTTAGCAATCCTTTTTTTTAAATAACATTTTAAATTAAAGGTATATTCTTTTTCTTCTCATTGGCACGACAGCCCAGGATGGGCCTTGGCCTTCTCAACAAGACTATGCCAAGACATTAAATTAAAGGTATATAGTTATTAAAAATTTGGTGAGTACAAAACCGTAATTTAATATTTTCGTTTACTGATATATGAAATACAAATAGTGCATGAAGCAAATTAGTGATACAAAAATATTTTATAGGAAAATGATACTTTTATGACTTATATTCTGAGAACACTAAGGAAAAAAAATATAGAATTTAATGTAATTTTCTGGTTTAAAAAAAAAAAATGCACCAGAAACAATGGGGAACTGTATTAGACTTTTCTGTACTTATGTTATATAGAGAAATACTTGTAGCAAAAATCATGAACTTCTAGTTTATTCTACTATTGCACAAAAGTAAACATATTAAAGGGAACAAAAGAAAAAAAAGGAAGGCTTTCTTTTTTTTACAGCAAACTCTATGTTCTTGTATTTCAAACTAGCAGAGGGGATATTCTGAAATTTCAACAATGGAACAAAATAAATAAATAAAAAACTTAAAAGGGAAATGATAAACCAATTTATTTGTTTAAATAAAGAAAAAAAAAGGCTAATAAAAAAACTTAATCCAAATAGAATTTGGATAGAACGAAAAAAGAACCAATTTAGGAGTCCTGAATAAATAATATTATTTTAAATTATCAAATAGTAAATGATAATAAATGTTATGATTGAGCAATAATAGAAAAAAATTCTCTTAGAAAAAATTTGCAAAAGGTAAAACAGAGAAGTGTTATAAAGTTACTATATAAAAATCTTGCTGTAACAGAATATACGAACATTAGGTAGGAATGGATCGTACAAGCTCTATAAGATAGTGCTCTTCAGTAATAAATATTATTAGAGAAAAACAAATTCTCCTCCCTTAGCAAATATGTATACCTGGCAGCAATACCTTAAGAAACAAAAATTTGGCTGCGACTTCTAACACATTCAGGAAGACAATTGCAAGAAATTATTGCAAAAAATTAAACTTAATCTAACATTTAACGAGCAAAATTGGCAAAAAGTATAAGAAAATAATTTAACAGATTCATCCAAAATCAAAAAAAAACAACAGATTTTTATACAAAACCCAATAAAGAAATCAGAAAGAAAGGCTGAACTCGCAGATGATATAAAATGAAAATATTTTAATCGGAGAAATTACAAAATTGTAATATATGGTGTTCTGATTTGAACCTGAAGTTTATTAATATACCAAACTTTGCATACAGATGAAACAATAACCAGAAAAATAAACATTGTCTTTTTTCAGTTATTTAAAAAGAAGAAGAAAAAGAAGTAAACTATTCATTTCACAAATGAAGTAATATTGTTTGTTTCATCTTTAACATTTAATTGATCTTTTTCCTTCTGTGAGGATTTTTTTTCTTCCTTTTCTTTAACTTAAGATGGAGAATAATCTGTGGATGCCATGCTGGAGAGTTTCTGCTACCAGATATATATGTATACATAAAACTTAAAAGCAAACTAATATGTATATATATAATATATCTTATTATTGATGACATATGCATGCATCCTAAACATTGACTAAAAAAGTTTTTCCTTTTTATAAAAGACCACTAGCTTAGGTTTTATCTATCATAAACCAGAATTAATGCTCTGAAGCTAACAAGAATTTTTATGCATAATTATTTATCTCAACGGACGTACAGTTTGCAAAATAAAAAACGGACCATCCTAAATAACTTTTGATCTAATGATTGGATGTTCCGTTCTTGGATTCATTCTTATTGGTTCGTGCGACCTCAAATATACTAATTGGTGCAGTAGCTATTTCAGTGTGTAATTGTATACATGAAATCACAAGAATTTTGAAGAAATAAAATTAATTTAATCAAAAATTACCAAATTAAAAATAATGTGTATGTTGCGGACAGTCTGGTAAACAAGATAAAAAGTTTCTCATTACAAATAACCTTCTTAGATGGTCATATATCTTTAGAACATTACCGATTTCCTTTAATTAAATAAAATATTGAGCAATTAAGATCGTTTAATCATTTTCTTTTTTAACATTTTAAACTTAAATTACTTTTATTTTAGATTTTAGGTAAAATACGTGCAAAGAATTACATTACAATTTATTTATCATACATCTTTAAAGCAAGTTCTGAATTGTATGGAAAAAAACTGTGCAGAATGATCCTGGAAGGCATGGCAAAAGGCATAAGTATGAGTAAATTGAAATTGTTTCAAATTGCGGTTTTTCCAAATACTTAAACTTGTTGAAAGTGTGACACTTAAAAAAGTGGTGTTTAAGTGTCATAACTGTCTTGCTTGTAGAAATTATTTGGCCAGGCCACCAATAAATATCAAACAATACAAAATCTTCAGTTATCCGATCATCATTATCATCATCACTATCTACAGCAGTGATTCTCAACCACTGTGCAGCGGTACTTTTGTGTGCCGCCAAATTCTTAAAATGTGCCGCTAAATATTAGAAATGATACAATAAAAATTTTAATGCTTTTTTTATTATGAGTAAAATTTAAATTAAAGAAAAGTGTATATATATTTAATATTATATATATATATACTTTTTATAATTTTTCCACGCTTTAACCGCATGAACATCTTTGTCGGTGATTGTCTTGCCTCTGACAATCTTAAAATAAAATGGAAGTGTTTAAATTGTCTTTGACACACAATTTTAAAAAATCTTGAAATAAGTAGGACATTTAATGACTATTAAAATTGTTAATTAACAAAGGAAAGCAAGCTAAATATTAAATTTCAAACAGAAATAAAAGCTAACTATTAAAGTAAGCTACGCAATAAACAAATTAACAAAATATAACTACAAAAACAAGTATATAAAAAACAAATTAACAAAGGAAAACTAACCAAAAAAAAAGCTAACAATTAATAATTAGCAAAAAAAAAACTAGTTAACAAGAAATCACAAAAAATAACAGCTAATGTAAAAAAAAAACTAACAGTTAATATAAAAAACAAGCTAACAATTAATAACTAGCAAAGAAATAAATAACTGTTAATAACTAATAAAAAAATAGTCGAAAGAAATAATTAATCCCTTAATAAACTTTTTTTTGTACTGCATATTATTTTAATTCACATTCAAAATTATTATCACAAACTATTTAACAGTGTATAATAGGCAAGTAAACAACTAATCTAATTTTTTTTCATTGTGTGCCGTCAAATTTCGAAATCGTTAAAAGTATAAAAAGGTTGAGAATCACTGATCTACAGGTTCATGTCCTGGAAAATGGGCTCTTTTACCAGTTATACAAATTTTGCTTTGCAAGGAATAGGAGGAAATAATTTTCCTAAAATAATTTCATGCCACCAGAAACTAATTTCAAACTCTCTATCACTATCATCATAACAAGGCATGGAGCGAGCTTTAGGTCGAGGTGCTCTAACTCTATGCAAATGGATGTTTGATCAATCCATTGTGCTTTGTATTGCATAATCTAATTCCTTAAAATTAGAATCCTTAGAAATAAAAATGCAGTGCCATATGGGAGGTTAGTAATTTCCTTTTATAGATATTTTAAGCTGATGAATGCTCATGGAAGTAGCATCTGTCAAGAGTTTTTTACTTAAGAAGGAACAACAAACGGGAAGAAAAATAAAATTTTAAGTCTCAATTTGTCGTTTGAGAAAGATAATATCTTTATCAACTTAAAAATTTAGCATCTCATTTAAAAAAAATATTACCCTGCAAACTAATACAACAAGTAATATTAGAGAACAAAGAAAATAATGTAATTCTCACATTTGTGGTTTTCGAATTTTGAGCGACATATTTGCATTTGTGGTTTTGTTTTCTTACGCTTCCGGCTATCTATTTCCTTATAGCTTAAGATTCACTTAAAGGAAGGAAATATATTTTTTAAGTTTCAATCAAATAACAAAGTTGACATAATGCTATTACAAATTAAGTTAACAATAGAAATGTTAGATCAATTTTGAATTTATATTTATTATTTAAACAACTGAGAACATTGAAGAGAACGCTATTACTTTCAAGAGATTTAACTTAAAGAGAACATTATTAATAAATGATGGCAATAAAAATATTTCGGCGCGCGATTGTTTGTTGTGTTTACAAATTATTACTATTTACAGGCGTAAGGAAATAATAGTATTTGAATTAAAATCTACTTTAATCCCAAAAACGCGATGACTGAAGAGCAAGTAAGTGATTTTAAATATTCTCCAGGATTTTAAATTGCTCATTTTTTTATACACTCCCACAATCTAAAGTAATTCAAATTTAAAATGTCTCCTAAAAAATTGTAAACAAAGCTCCTACATTTCGTAAACTACAAAAACGGAGCTTTGTTTAGATCTTAACAATTATTAAGTATGAGATACATCCAATGCAAACGCTATTATATATTTTATAACAGAAAGGCCTAAAATTTTTACTTTTATTTCTTTTTAAACTAACAATTACATTCCATTTTGATTTTGCAAAGTTTTAAGACTCCATAGATTTTATTAGCAAACCACTATTTAGCGGAAAATTAAAAAAAACTCTCAAACTTAAGTCTTTTTTTTTTTTTTCTTTCTCCTCCGGGACAATTCTTTCTTCCTTCTATATTTGGTATAAAGACCCCAGTCACACGGGCTAAAGCAGATGTTAGATTGTGACTGCTAAATATATCAATATTTTTTCTAAGTGAAAATACTGGACTAATAGGACGCAACTGTAGGAAACTAAAATCTAAAGAAGGATATTGTAATTGCACTAGGCAAAGAACTACATTATTTTATACAATATTTTTTATTAGTTGTTTAAACCCTTTGGAAATGATCGTTTTCGCGAACAGTTACTGGTATGAAAATAAAACCAACTTAGTCAGTCAATTCATAATTTGTTTAACTTTGTAGGTTTGCTTCCAAAAACTTATATTTCTATTTATAAATGTTGTTGAATAGCCGACTCAAATTTGAGTTTACGATTACCAAGGTGTTCAACTCCATAGCTGTATAATTTTGAAACGAAACGGAAAAGAAGGAAACTCCTGGATCAAGTATTGGAAGAAATTTGCCTTCATTGGGAATTTTTGATGGAGCTGATTCGCATTTGTCTTACATGGAGAAGGATTGATTGTTAGCCTGACGGCATACGGACTCTAAGCCATGATTTGTCGTCTACCACTCAGAATATTCTACGCCAGCACTGTGATCAGTATAAGCGAGATGCGAAACTCACATCCACCATCCGATGGATTCGAACTTGGGCAACCTCATTGAGAAGCAAGACCTCTCTATCCCCTGAGCTGTCATAGAATAGCCGAACCAAGTTTTGGGTTTAAGACTGCTTATGTTCAACTTCATATCCTTGCAATTTTGAACCCAATCTAGAAAACAAGGGAACTCCTGGATCGAGTACTAGGAGAAATTTGCCTTAGTGGAGGACTTTTTTGGAACTAACCCGCATTTACATTACATGAACAGGAAAGCCTCCCACAGGCTGAGGATATTTTACGTCAGTGCGGGCCGAGTGCAGAATTCATATCGACTAGCCATCGCTAGAATACGAACCCGGGTTGGAAGACAAGCACTTTATCCCGTGAGCCACCATGGCTCAGATTTTTCGTAGAATCTAAAAACAATGGCTAAAACATTGCTTTGGATATACTCTTATTACAAAGCCTGTACTATGCAAGTCTAGTCTATTTTGTCCACATGTTATGTTTTAATAATAAAGATGCATATTGATATTTTTTGCTTTTGTTTTTTAAAGAAAAATTATAAGAACCTTTTTATGTTGATCATCTTTATAACTGTCAAATAATAACTAGCATGCATTGTAATCTTACACTAGGAATCTTTCCCTAGCAAAGTTAAGTAGTATCCTATTCACAAGAACAAAGACTTCTTTATATTAATTTCGAAGGGCAAAAGAAAATTTAAGACCCTAGAATTAATTTGGCGTAAAATTAAAAATTTTATATATTCTTAGCAGTAAAAAAATTTGTTATTCTTCTGGAGAAAAAAATTTCCATTATTTTGTCTATGTAATAATAAATTTTAAGAATGGTTCACATTTAAATATTTTCTCACTTTTTTATATGTTAAATTATGTTTGCATTTTGCTTATTTTTTTTATAACCAATTGCTATGTGAAAGTACATTTGAAATTTATGAAAATTAATTGAGTCAAAAAATTAATTAGATGTAGTGTTGCGAAAATGGTAAACAGGATAGTACGTAAGTATAAAAGAAAGAAGGAAACTTAGCCCAATGCTGTTTAAATGATTTTGATGTGGAACAGGAGAGAGAAATTTTGTCAGCTGTGGTAACCAAGTCTGATATCTTTTCTTGGTCATAAGTCTTTTATTAAAATAGGTGCAGGGAATCTAGAATAGTAATGGTCAGTTAAATAACATTGTAGACAAAAATAAAATAGGACTTGAGTCACTTTGAAGGAGATGTTCGATTCATACTGTCTCCAACAAAATTTTAAATCTCAACTCCCCCGTGGCAGAATCACGGCGACATTGTCGCAGAATGTTAGAGTTCTTGCAGAGAGATTTTTCTTTTGAAAAGTAAAAAATTTTACTTTTCTACAAAAATTTACACATATTTGAATCATGCACTTAAATAATTACTTTTTGACACACTCAATTTACCCCGATAGTATCGTAAATCGATGCAATGTTTTTATTGTATTTTCAGCGGATATTGATTTTAATGTGGTTTTTAAACATCCTGATATATTTCAAACTATATGGATTTGTGACTGTTATTGCTACTGATTTCTCAGTAGTTCTTAAATCTGATATTTTTTATATGATATTATTTTTTACAACAACCTAATCTCGAAACGAAACACGCATTTGAGGAGTCCGATTTTTGTGATTTCGTTGATTTTTTTTTCCAGGTATTACAACCATGAATTTCATGATTTTTAATTACTTTTTTTTATTGTGATGATTATTTTATTTGTAAAATTTAATAATTTGGAAAAATACACAAATAATTTGTGCATTTTTCCCCCCAACAAAATGTGAAAATATCATCCAAAATATTTAAATTAAAAATTATTACATATTCTATTTAAAAAAGTTATGTAGTTTTTTTTGTAAACACAGTGTATTTGTTATTTTAAATTAGTAACATACATGTTTGTTATAATAAAAAAATGTATCTTGCAGAATGATATTTGTGCTAGAGAGATTAATCGCAGATAGCTCAAAAAAAATTCTGCTACAGGGGTTAAAAAGTCCTGTTGCTGATTTATTTATTATAAAGGTTATTTATTGTAGTATGTATTCCTTTTTATATGTCAATGCTTTTTAAAATATTAAACAAATTTTTTTAGGATGACGTTTTTAGGGTGCCATCAAGTCCTGACATTCATTTTGAGCCAATTGTTAGACTGCCTCTAGTTGAAATCAAAACTTTAGAAGAAGATGAAGAAGTTTTATTCAAAATGTAATTATTATTATTTTTTTATAATATTCTTTTTCTTCAAGGAAGTTGGCTATCTCTCAACTTGCTTACCCTGATTGTTATATAATGCATTTTTTTATGTTTTTTTTTTAGGCGAGCAAAACTTTACCGCTATGATAGTGAAGACGATCCTCCACAATGGAAAGAGAGGGGCATTGGTGAAATCAAAATCCTAAAACACAAATCTGATGAATGTGTCCGTATACTTATGAGAAGAGATAAGACTTTAAAAATCTGTGCCAATCACTACCGTAATTATTACTTCAATTATTCCTTAATTTAAAAAATATACAACAAAAAACTATTTGTTATTAAATTGAATAATTATTTTTTTCCTAGTTCAGCCATATATGGAATTGAAACCTAACAACACAAGTGATAAAGCCTGGGTGTGGAGTACAATGGCTGATTTTGCTGATGAAGAACCCAAACCAGAACTTCTAGCTATCAGATTTGCTAGTGTTGAAAGTAATTACTTTAAATTAAAAGTATAATGTTGCATGTTTTCTTTTATTGAAATTTATAGGCATGTTATTTAGTTGGGAAAAAATACCTGCCATATATTTCTAACCATAAACTTATCCAATGATGAGCTGAGAGCAAGGCTCCAACCCTTGGAACTTTAAACTTAGACTGACCCTCATATATCTGTAAACATATACACATGTGTTATATTTTATTTTTAATTAAAAATTTAAAAGAAGTAATTGATACTATAGGGAAAAAATTTATGGTATAGAACAGTGTTCCCCAACCCCGCTCCGTGGACCGGTACTGGCCCGTGGATCAAATGGTACCGGGCCTCCCATTTCATTGAAACTGAATTTAAATTCCTCGGTTTGTACCCCAAATTAAAAATATCTGTTCCATTAAAATTTTATTTATTTAAAAAAAGGGGCCCCCGAAGGTAGCGACATAAATTTTTTAATGTTTGTATCATGTATCATTGTCTCCGATTACCCCCAGATGGAACCGTCTCATTGCAAAGAAGCAAGTTCAGAGTTCACATTGATTTAAAGTTCTCGTAAATTAAAATGTTAAATCACTTTATATTATATTTATTTTTTGGTGTAACTGTATTTTATTTTGAAGGCATGTTTAAATACAATTAAACTAAAATTAATAAATCAAAATAATCTAAAATATAAACAATCAANCCCCCCAGTGGCCCGCGGTAAAATTATCAAACGTTTACAGGTCCGCGGTGATAAAAAGGTTGGGGAACACTGGTATAGAAGATTATTTATATTAGCATTTATTATGAAATGACAGAACTAGCGTTGGCAAGATTTTTGATTTAGGTCAGTAGATTCAATTTGATTAATTTCAGAATTGAGAATAGTCCTTCCACACTAACTTCAGTAGGATGAAGAACTATTACTGTTAGGGCTACTTTTTAACTTTTTGGGAATTCATTTTTATACCTAAGGGCTTTTCATTATTAGCCAAATATTTCTCAATCCATTTCATCATTAAAAGAGGATAATAGAGATTCAGTTGCTATGTCTGCAATCTGACTATCCTTATTTGAATACCCCAGTTGTTTTGAGAATGACTTTTCCCAGATAGCTTTCATTTCCTTTTTAATTTGTTTGTTATCCCATAAAATTCAGTGTTTTGGATTACAAACATATATTGAAAGCAGTGAGTCTCATTGTCTAGCAAACTACCACTTTCTTTTATCTTCATATTTTTATCAATATGTCTATAAAATGGAAAATAACTAAATATTTATTAGTGTATATAGTAAATGAATAAAGTATTAACTCAATTTGCCATTACTATTTATGTATTTTTTCAATTTACCTTTTTATTTGAAATTCAAACTGATTCAACAAAAACTGGAGTCCGATTATTTTTAGTGTCTCCATGACTCTGACTTCACATCCCTGGTTGAGAATACACTTTTTCTTTAAAAATTAATTCAAAACCCATTTACAACTTGATATAAAAAGATATTTATGCTACTGTTATTTATTTCTGACAATACTATTTAGACTATTTTTGAACTGTGGGGCTACCTAAGCAACTATATTTGAATATTAACTTTAGCAAAGGCCCTGATATCAAAATCGTGGGTATATATATTATTTTCAACAAATTCAGTAACAAATCTTGTTGAGTATGGTTTATACAGTACACTCTCAATTATCTGGTTTGCAGATTATCCGTGCTCATTCCAGAGTCACACAAAAAATATAAAGAGAAACATTTTTCAATATTAAAAAAATTTTATTCATGAAGTTATAACACTACCAAATTTTTGGAAGCAATATTCGTTATTGGATTTTAGTATATGGAATGTCAGCAGCATGGTCGAAGATAAAATCGTCTACGTTATCACGATCTTGGAGAAAGATCATACCACTTGATGAACAATCTTATTCAGATGTTCAAGATAAATATGATAACAGTATTCTCAAACAAGCAAAAGAAATCTAAGGTTTCTAAATTCTTGATGAAGAAAATTTAGAAGATTTGATTTCAAAGTGATGCATGTGAGCCTGGCTTCCAGTATTTGACAGATGAAGACATCGTTATGTTGTTAAATCAAATAGTGATGATAGTAACTGATGCAGAAGATGTAGTAAATGAGGGAAATACGATTTCTCATTCTGCTGCTCTGTGGAAACTTGATTAGATTATATGGGAGGATTTGATTACAGTGACATTACTGCGGTTCGTAAAATATTCGTATCAATGTATGGCGAAGACGCATTACACATTTTTTTAAAAAGGAAAATTCCTAGTTTTATGTTATACAGTATGCAAATGTCAGTAATTTTTATATTTTTTGTACTGATATTGATTTTTTCTTTAATAAAAGGAGTTTTCAGATTATCCGTATTTTTCGATTGTCCATGCGACCTGTCCCGGTGATTAACCCGGATAATCGGGAGTGCATTGTAGTTCCACATAGTTAGTCTCTTTCACCTAATTCTCAAAATGATCGATTCCCACCAACAACATAGTTATCGTAGAATTATTTAGCTGGTATAATTTAAGATATCCTCCACTAAATTACTTTTCAATGAAAAATTTCAATCTCCTATTTGCTGCGTTTTCATTTCAAGATTCTTTGAATCCTACTTTAAAATTATTTTGTTAAGGAAATTAACTCTATGTTACACTCTATTACTAACTGTTGAGCTATTACAAGTAAATTTTAATTAAGTTATAGTTAGTACATTTAATTATAATTTTGTGATGAAATTTGCCTTTAATATATTTGGAGTTAGGTAGAGCAAATTATATTTTTAAAATTAGTCTGGTATATGTGTACTGTTTGAAAAAATGTCCGTATCTTTTAGAAAAATACTTTGCAGCAATAATACAATATTCTTTGATATAAATGTGTTTTCTAANTTTTTTTTTTTTTTTTTTTTTTTTTTTTTTTTTTTTGTAGATGCTCAGAAGTTTAAGGAAGCATTTGATGCTGCTAAATCTATTGCTACACAATTTTCTGGGGAACAAAAATCAGATTTGAGTAAGAATTTTTCAGTTCTTCTATTGGTGTATGATTATTTTCCTGCATGAAATAACCGAGTAGTAATTTTAAAACCAATGTGTGATTTACTGTAAATGTAAAAGTAGGGAAAACTATCTTAATGGATGTGACCTTTAACTGCAACATAAGTTAAAATATCAGCACAAATAAGTTAAAAGTTCTAAGACACTAAGTTCAACTATTTCGCTTAAAGTATATATGGTTTTACGAATCAGAAATGTGACTTTTGTAATACTATATGTATGAGCATTGAATTTTTTAGACAAAACTTTAAATGAGGAGAACAACCATTCTTGAAATTCATAATAACTATAAGTAGCCAGTTAATTCTGAATAAAAAACTTTAAAGTCATTTATAATCATTTCTTGTAGACGTTCACTTGCAACATTATTCATTTTTTCATAGATTTATTAAAATTAGAAAGTAAAATAATTTAATTTTTTTTTTTAAATGTTAAATGTAACCATATTTGTGGTTCAAAACTATTATTAGATTTGCAGGTAATAATTTATTTCTAAAAGTAAGCTTTATAAATTGATTTTTATTTTTAATCATATGATAGTTATATGACTCATGTGACTGTTAGTTAAGTATATTATTAATTTTTTTTCCCTGGTTTTTGTCCAAAATATTGCTTTATTCAATAATTTATGTATTGTGTATTATACGATCTACTCATTAAACCTTTGGTTAGTGAAATTTTGTTTTTTACAAAATGTATTTTTTGACAAGCAAATGGTCAGTTTCATTGCTAATTGATTTTTAAAAAAAGTATTGTGATTCTGATGAAATATTGTAGTGTATATAAAAAGTGTGGAATTTCATTTCTGAAATTGAGTGGGCATCTATTAAGTATCTACCAGTCATATACAAATATTGTTTAAAAAAAGTGTTGATCAATGAAGTTAACTGAGGATTGAATGCACTGTTAAATATTCTGTAGAGAGAAAAAAAGTTCTATAATCAAAACATCTTGACAAGATTTATTTAAAAATAAATCATTTTAATTTATGTAATAAGAAAAAAAATTCTGTGTAATAAGTTAAAAACCTGATAAAAGTTGTTCAAATCTTCTAATGTTTTAAATCCTATGCATACACCTAATAAATATTGTCTACAATTTGCTGTATTTTTAATTTTATAAATACAAATGCCAATTTTATTATCAATTAAATAATTGGGAGATTTAGATTTTTGATTGAGCATCTTAATTTAATAATGTTAATAGCAAAAATTCATTTATGAGAGTGAAAAACTTGTTTTTAAAAAAAAATTAATTATAAAATATTTAATACATTGAATTCTGGCACTTTTTATTATTTTCAGCAAGCACAGTAACCAATCTTTTCAGGTGGAATTTCATAGTTTCACAAGTTTTAATTTGTCCCATCTGATTTTAAAAATCATGGATCAATGCTATGTTAGTCATATCACAGAATTTTAAAAAAAAGAAATTGGGGGATCATCCACTAAATTACTTTCATACAAAAATGTGTTTAACAGTATATTCAATGTGCTTTTCTTTCAAGATTGTTGGTAGGGTTTGTTAGATTAAAAAAAAGTGTTACTCTCTATTACATACAAGTTTTCTATTCAGTGATCGTGATTCATTATAAACTGAATTTTTTTTTCATTAGCTCACTACAAGGCCATTATTATTTTTTATAATATTTTTGTGTTTATTCTTATTTTATTTTTTCATAGATAAATCTGAAAATGATAAAAGTGATGACGAAAGTGATGATGATGACAAGTCATCCAACAATGCCACTCCTGAAAAAAGTACTAAAGAAGTTGCTGATAAACTTTCAAATTTAACTGTTGAAGATAAAAAAGATAAAGATGAAACAAAAGATGATAATACAGAAGATAAGTCAGCAAAAGATGATAAATCAGCAGATTAACATTTTTTTAGCTGATTACTTTATATCTCATCTCATTGAAGACAAAATATGAATTAATGATATAGCACTAAACTGACTTTTTCATCATTTCAATTTTTTTCCTATCCATACCTAAGCTTTCATAAAAATTGATTTTTGTATAAATGTTACTCTAAAGACACTACTAAGCAAAAATAAAAATGAATCTACTATGCATTCTCATTTATTTACAATGGAAAATATTTGTATCGTCGCAGAAAAATATTTTTGTAACAACTTTTTACAATTTATTGCCAACATTTTTTTTTTTAAATAAAACTGTAATTGGCATGATATTTTTTTCTAATCCAGTTTTCTCATATATTTTGTACATATTCGTTGAGAGGTATTTCTCTCAATTTATTTGATGTTATTTTCTTTGTTTTGAAATCCTAAATTATGCTAATATTTTGTATTGACTAATTCTAGCAAAGATTTTTACAGTATAATTTAAGCAATTGTCCCTTTTTTCTTTAAATTATATCATTTCATGTTTTTTATAGTGCAATTAGTATTTGAAGAGCTTAGTGAAAAAAGGTTCTTTGGGGCATTTTATTAAATTTAAAATATGGTGATATTTTTACATTAAAAAACGTTATTTCAAGACTTAATTTTTAAAAAATAAATCCACAGTTTATAGCATGTCTTATGTGATACTTCTGAAGTACCTTTTTCTATTAAGCTCTTCAAATTTATTTAAAATGGAGGCCTTAAAATGAAAAGATAATTAGATATGGAAAAAAATTGTGTAACATATAAAGCAATACTATTTAAATTAACGGTGGGGATATTTCTCCCTGTTGGTCATATTCTGCATAATATTAATTGTAAAAGATTTGTGTATGTGACTATACTTCATATCAATGTCTAGTGTTTGTTTTTCAAAGGGGTAATATCTGCTTTTATATGCTTTTGGTATATCCACTCTATTTTCACTTAAATGTTTGACGATGCTAATTATTTAGTACTGATTTCAATGTTTTCCATTTAAGAATGTATGTGCATTATAATCCCAATTATCTTTACTTTCCACCAGAAAGAATGTCAAGAATAATCAGAAAATGTTTATTATAAATAGAATATAAAATTACAAAAAAAAAAAAAACAGTTACATGCAAAAAAGAAAATCCCTAGCACAATGCTACTAACTGTTCAGATATGATAATTTCCATTTTTCAATGTTCTGTGCATTTTATTAATGTGTAAATGCCTGTTTCCCTTAGTGTGATGAATCTTGTTAGAATGATATTCTTGCAGCTTAGTTCTATTATCACATAAATGCCTTCATTTTATGGTATTTAATGCAGTAACTAGATTGCTAACTTTTGGTTAAACATATGGTTAATTTTAAGTACCAGTGAATATATATATAATTTATTATTTTTTTTAAGTAATCGTAACCCTAAATGAATAATGGATAACATTAAAATATGATAATCAGCTCACAGAAATTGTATATCTTAAATTTGTTTCTATAATTGAAATATTAAATGTTTTCAGTCAATTGTTTTACTACATTATTACTTTAAGCTTAACATTCAGCTTAATTTTTGATTGCTGAAACCAAAATAAAAAACATACTGTTTTTGCTAAGACATTTAGGTCTTTGATATATGTGATATTTATTTGTAATTTCTGATTTTACAATGCCTATATTGTTTAACTATGGTTGTCATTTTTCTCAGGAATGCCAATTCTTTCTGAATCAACAGCTTATCTTCTCAATATTGATATAATTTTTCAAACATAGTTTATTATTATGTAATTTGCATGCATTATTAAAAAAACCACATTCAAATTTGAAATCTTGAGAAAAGATTGCAGTTTCCATAAATCTAAAGTCATCTTTCTCACATTTTTTTTGTTTTTATTTTACCAATAATTTCTGTTAAATATATATGGTTTGGCAAGGAGCTGCATTCTACTTTCACATTATTAAACTACATTCATTCCTTTTAAGTCCCTCTAAAACTCATGTCGTTGTTCAGTGACTGTTTAATTTATATTAGTTAGCATCAAAACTATTTGCATAAAAGCATACCCGCACAGAGTGAAGTTTGTTTTGAAAGTGTTCCTTTTATACTATCTTATAATGGTATGTTTTTATGAAGGAAAAAAAAACATTCATACATAAAAATTCTTTTCGTGGTAATACATATAATATAAAAAAAGTATTGTCTTTTAAGCAGTATTCAAGAAAGTATTGTACAAAAGTCAAGGAATGTTTTTCTTGAAGTTGAGTGGGAACCCTTTTGTATAATTTCAATGGAAAATTGTTTCATCGAAAGATAAGACCTGTGGGAAATGTTGTATATTGAAAATAGCTCCATTAGACTAGCATCCTTGTTTTGAAGTGCTGATGATGTTGACATATCCACTCTCTCACTTGTACAGCCAATTTTACAGTAGCAAAATTTTATTTGTTAAATTGGGGAATCATTTCAAATTTTTAATTACTTTCAATGATCAAATTTTCTACTTGAAACCTAGCTTGTTAAACTTAAATCATAATTGTAATTCAAAAAAATATTTCATGTTGTGTAGCTGTTATAAAGCTTTTCATGCTCATCTTACCGGGACCAAGCACAAAATGTTTGTTTTTTAATAGTTTTCCAAAACATCATTTTTTTTTTGCTTAAAACCTCCTCTATGAAATCTAGCAAAAGTATGATGTGAATTAGACACTTTACATCCTCTTTTAAATTATTACTTAATGTAAAGTTATTTAATTATTATAAGACTGAGCTTCTCTTTAAAATATGTTGTGTGTAAAAAGAGAGAAAAGGAAATTGTCATTTTACTTTATCAACCTTTATGCTTGTTATTTTTTTGAATAAATATTGCTCATGCAATTTGTAGTTTTGTTTTTGGGTTATGTATTATTTGTTTTATCAGCTATCCCCCCAAAAAAACTCCCTGTCAAAATTACTTAAAGAAAGTGCTTTAGCGAAATTCTTTGCCTATGGCAATGCCTAGGAAGATTTCAATATAAGTGAGTAGATAGAGAGCTTGTTAATTTTTGTCTTGATTTTGAAATTTATTTTAAAATATTTTAGTTTTAAAGCTATATAGAACTTAAAACTGAATTAAACAGGCTACTAAGCGCTGTGAAAATTTTAAAATGTGCACAATTCGAAATCCTTAAGTATTACTGGGAAAATGAATGTTTTTCTTATAATTATAAAGTTAAGGTTCTTACTTGGAGACATGTTTATGTGTTGCTCTCAAAGATAGTTAGAATGCGTAAATTAATTTTTAATTTGTTTACTGACAAATTTCTGCCATTCTGTGCTGTAAGTGAGCATCAAAATTTTGCACAATATTTCTATAACTGCTGTTGATCAATTTGCGAAATTTTTTAGAAAGGCAATTAGACTGCAAGATTACTCTATAATTTTTTTTTTTTTTATGACTCGTGAGCTTAAATATTTTAATTGTAATTTTTTTGCGGAAAATTTTCGTAAAAAATCTAAGTGAGTTTAAAATACTTCTCTTTCGTTAAAAATTTAAAAAAAACTAATTTTGTTTCTGAAAAATTTAACATACCAACGTTGCAAAACAAATTATTTCTCAGGTTTTGTATAGAAGCAAATGTTTATTCAAATACAAACATAATCATGCATTGTTGCTTTTCTTTTGTTAATATAATTTAGCATGTGTGTGTCAGAAATTTTCTCGAGGAAATTCTCCGATTTTCCTTTTGGAAACCACTTATTTTGAATGAAATTATTTACATTTGTGAGTTTTAAAACGCATAATCAGGTTATGATTATCATGTTTTATTTAAATTTTTTGAATTGAATATGGCATGGGTGGAAAAGAAAAAAAAATTGTATTTCAGTTATTTGAGAATTTTTTTTTTGTTGCTATAATTCCTAATAAGTTTTTAAAAAAAATTTATTAAAGTTGCGGCCTCCGACCTCATGTAAGTTGGAAACCCCTGCTCTATAACGTTGTAGATGAATAAAGACTTCTTTGTAGTTAATGATGACATCTTTACACTAAATCATTTTAAGGGTGTTATTTGCAAGCCATTGATAAGTCACGTGTTTGATGTTTTAGCAATGAAAAAATAAAGTAAAAGAAATTATTGCTTTCAAGTGTAAAAATTTTCTATCCTAAATTACAAATTTACTACAACTTTATTATTTTTCAATCATACATTTTAAGAAAATTGCAGGCTCTAGGATTTAAGAAGAAATTATTTAAAGGCATAGCTGCTAACAGTCCAACGCTTTCAGCTGAAAATTATAAGTAGACTATTATTCATCGTTGAACAGAGTAATTAACTACAGGAAAATTTTTCACATGACATGCGAGAATTTTTAAAACACATTTTTTATTATTTTAGATTGGTTTAATCAATGGCATAAGAGAGGAGTGAAGGAGGCTACAGCTCCTGGCATTTAACCCAATTAAAAGTTTCAAGATAATTTAAATTTAACGATTTAAGAATAAAGATAATTCATTCAGAAAGTTATTAAATTTTTCTCTTAGAATATTTTCCAATCATATCAAAAAGGGATTAAGAATTTTTTTTTTTTTACAAGTTAAATTCCCCCTCCAAGAAGTGAATATACACCTCTTTTCTAAGAGTTAAGTCTGGACTAGTTTATAAAATAGTATTGAAAATTCTTAGACAAGTGTATTGATAATTTTCATGCGTCTAGCATAACATGTTACATCTTAGACAAATGATGCATTAGCGCACTCGATTCAAATGAAAACAATATACAGAGTGTTAGACATCGCTTATATTAAAACAACGTCAGAAAAATTGGTACAGAAATGCAGAATTTATGTATAATAACTTGCAATTTAATTAAGTTGTTAGTCCTATTGATATAAACTCACTTTTTTTTGCTCAACTCGGCCCCGGGGGGGGTGTTCGTTTCTCAGATAACAATGTCATAAAATTTTTATCCTATGTACATCAACTTTGTTTCCGTTTTATTCGATTCGGCGGGGAAAAAAGTCCCCAGTTTCTCAGGTAAATTTTTTCAAGAAACTGTAAAATAACTTCCAAACTATTAGTCCTATCGTTTTGTGTTTAATTTTTCTCGATTCACCGTATAAAAATACAATACTCTATTCAGTATAAAAAATATATCATCCAATTTAAGTTTCAGGAACTGGCTGAAATCTAGTCAATGCAAATTTCATTTTACAGATAAAGAATACTTAAATTATCGAACATGCACAAGTTAATGGAATAACCTTTTTTTCTTTTCTAAATGCTGTTATGGGAGAGTAAACACTTAAAGACGGAGCATAAAAGCGTAAAATAACAATGATGTATTGGACCTTATTCAATAATTTTAATATTTATATCTAAACGAAATTGATGATTGATTTATTATAATATTAGAGCTGCATAAACAAAAATGTATTATTTTTTTCAGGTATTAAGACAAGAAAAATATAGAGCGGTTAATTAAATATTGCAAGTATTTAAATGTCTTCTGTGCTCCTTATTCTTTTCAAACAATTATTTTTTGAAGTAAATTTTATCTAAAAAGTAAAAAGTAGTTTTCTTTTAATTAAAAAACATTAGACGACAGGCAGTAAATCTAGAATGTTTAAATTCAAATAAATCCCAGAGATGGTAGCACTGTTCCTTTTAGTGTAGTTCAAAATATTTATCTGAAAAACCAATGCGAACATTTTTGACTTTGAATAACAGAAAGACTAGGTTTCAAGAATTGGAAGAATGTCAGATTGACTTAAAAAATATAAATTTGCATCAATTTACTGATTACTAATGCTTAGTGATCAAAATAAATTAGAATTTCATTTTATTTTTTACTTAAGTTTGTATGTCAGGATGGCCGAGCGGTCTAAGGCGCCAGACTCAAGGATAACCTTGCCCTGCTTCAGGGTTGAGTGTTCTGGTCCACGAATGTGGGCGTGGGTTCGAATCCCACTTCTGACAGGAATTTTTTTTTTTCTCAAAAAATTTAGATTAATTCTTTTTAAATTTAGGTAATAAATGAATGAAATATTGACGAAATAACCTAATTATATATAAATAGTAGAATTAATGTAACCTAAGTTTCTAGGCAACAGACACGGCAAAACGATAGGAAATTCTAATAATCAAAAACCGCCTTTATTAAAAAATTTGCGATTTATTTTTTTAGTGAAATGTAAGAAGAGAATTGAAGGCAATAACAGTATATTTCTCAATCGTAATATAATTTTGAAATTTTTCATTAAAAAATGATTATTTATGCAATGTTAAAATATATAATATTTCCCACGACATTGTATATTTATTGATATTTATTATTTTTATTATTACTCATATATTTTTAATACATTTTAAGTAATTTCATTTCAAAAACTAGTACACTCGTACAGACTGAATCCTATTATGTTAAAAAGTTTTAAAGCGCAGTGTTTCCTGAATGATTTGAATCCTTTAACTGAGTATAATTTTGCAATAGAAATTAAATAAGTTATTTTTATTGAATAAAACGCTAAAAAAAATTTACAAGAATTTATCCAAGTATAAACCATATATTATAATCCCGTAAACAAAAAGCCTCCGCTGCTGATTATTACAGCATCTGCGAATTAGTTTTCAACAATTTTTTTTCCTCCTTATTTTTAAAAAACAAACAGACAAATTGGGAGACGCCTTTTTAAGGCATTTTCTGAACTTATGTTTCTTAGTTTCAGAAGTTGAATGGAGAAAACATTGCAAAGAACAAAAAGTAAAGAGTTTTTTTTTTTTATACATAGATTTAACTGAATAGGAATTTATTCCATTTTTTTATTATCATTGTATAACGCTCAATTTCAATGACACAAATAAAGTTTTTATGAATAATTAAGTGCTTTATATTTGTAAATTTTACTACGTGTGTCAGAGCTTAATTCATACATTAATAATCTCTGATGGACTACGCTGATGTCATAGAAAAATTTGGATTTTTGATGATAGTCCTGCAGATATACTTCGTATCTTCTAATACCGGAATTATAATTACAGTTGTTTTCCCGATAACGAAATAATTGTTTCCTCGTTTTTCGATTGTAAACTTGTTTTGAAAACGTATCGATATTTTTATTTGTTTTCGGTGACTAATAGCTCCCGTGAACTAAAATAAAAAATGAAAAAACTCGCATGCGATTCGATTTGTTTGAATAATAAACTCCTAAGAACTCCATTTCCAATTTAGTCGTATTTCGAATAAAAATTGATTTAAAAAAGTACGACTTTTATAATTTTTGAAATTGCATGCACACTAATATCACGCATACACGAAAGTTCGTTTTTTAAAAAAATTTATGTTTCAAGAACTATTTTACTGATTTTGTATTTTGCCATTGGTAATTAAGATGTAAGCTTCTTAAACTTACATCTTAATAAAATAATTTTAAACGTAAATAATTAATAAAACAATTTTTACGTAAAATAATTTTTCTATACAATTCTAAACAAATAATTAATGATTAAAATATATTTCTTTCTTCCTTTATCGAACGACGAATTTGACAGCAAATTTTAAAAAAGAAGGAAATCCATTGGCTAAATTTTTCCAAACAGCTTTTTTTTATAGTTGTGTTTATTTGTTTTCTTTTTCGTTTAAATGTTTTCGTGATATGTTTTCATTTTGTGTTTATTAGATGATTGTAAATTGCATTACAACGCAGCTTTAAAATTTTTTTAGTAGGTAATTCTATTTTTGATTTTTTATAAAATCAAAAAACGTTTTTGTCCAATAAAGCCAAAAGGTTTATAATTAATCTTTAAAAAAAAAATTTTTTTTTGCAATTTTTATGAATACAGACTTGATCTTTACTGTCAAAAATATTAAGAATGTATATATATATTTTTTTCCTTCTAAGTTTCACTTTCTTTTTTAGAAACTCAATTCTGAGAAATGTATCTTTTTTAAAGATTAACCCCATATGTAATAAAGAAACTGGTTCTAAATTTAATAAAATAAATAATTTAATTTTACTGTGAAATTTAATGTAAAATTTGAAGAAAACTTTTAATATTTTTTGCACGTAAAAATATTTGAAAGTTTATTAATTGGAAACAAATTACATTACCTTAAATGGGAACAAATTACATTACAATGTTACATCACAACATTAGGTTCAAAATAAGATTCAGGCCTTTTTAATTTAAAAAGGAATCATAAATATTTCATTACAAAGAGTAAATAAAAGATTTTATCTCCATAAGTTGGTATTGCTTTTTAGGAGTTGTTAATAAAAATAATGATCAGTTTTTTCCATTTGGTGTATCATGTCACTACATTATGTCACCTAGATAATATAAAATATTGATAAAAAGTGTTTCATTACAGATAAAAATGAAAATGAGATAATTTTGGCATATCACTAGTGTTCCTTTAAAACTTAGAACAGAGACATTCTATTTATTTTGTCAAATAAAGCTACAATTTTCTCTTGATATTTTCCAATTACGGTAAGCAAGCAATATCTGTTTTCTTTTCTTTCTTTTTCTTCTTCCACCTTGAGAAGACTGCAATTAAAAGTTAAAGCCGTTAGCAAAATTTTTCCGATGTTTACATTTAAAAAAATAATGTTGATAATAAATTAGACTTATATTTGTTGCTTTATTTTCAGTCTTAGTTCTCAATAATTTTCAATAATTTACTTTGTATTCTTCTTACCGTTATTTTACTTTTTAATCAAAATTCGAACTAAGCAAGGTGTAACAAAGGAGAAACTCTTGAATTAAGAGTTGTCAATTTGTACTATGCGTAAGGCAAAAATATAATATTTATAATAATACTCAGTTTAATTAGTAGAGCGATTCCATCATATCATACGCATTAAATTGCGTACTAAAAATGTATATTACTCAGTTATAAAAAACTCAAGTTATTTAAATATTATTCTGTAGAAGTAAGTCTTGGCGTTATCCATACAATTTTTTACACATTGTTATTTTTTTCTACACTCTTATTTTTATTAACTTTAAAAAATTACTAAAAAAATAAAAACTGGTTGTTCCGCACGAACACATTGTACTTCGTCCGTAAAAGACAACTCTTAATTTTTTTTAAAAAAACAAGCAAATTTTAAACGTATTAAAGTTGATAAAAATTGAAGTAAATGTAAATGACAACAAGTGTCATTTTGCCAAAATTAATAAAACTGCTCAATTTTTTTTTTTTAATCGTAATGATCCAATAGTAGCGTAATTCTTTCATTAAAGCAAAATGTTATATTTTTTTGCTTCAGTGGCAGGGAATGAATTAAAACAATTTTCTCTACCTCTTTAAAAAGCAATCCTATTTTGAAGTGTTATTTTATTACCTTCCTTCCGAAGACAGCATATACGATATTTACAACGCCCATAATTTCTTCCACACTAAATTAGGCTTAATTTTTATTCTTCTTATTTTTTATCCAGAAAATATTTTTCCAACAACAAAAACAGACCGTTTAAAATCGTTTAATTTTGCGGAAGCTTTGTTAATTTTGCTGGAATTGAAACACCTTAGGTGTGTGTAGAAATTTTTATTAGCGAAAACTAGTATGTTAACCATATCGATTACATTAAAATGCGATTAAAAATGCAATTTTAAAATTTTTAGTTTTATGCAAGCATCTTGGCTTTACATTTACAAATAATTTAATTTAGAAAACCAGGCACGTTTATCTTTATTTTCAAAAATATATCTAATTAATTTTAAATGATCCTAATATATTTAGATAATAAATGTTTTCTTAAAAAACAGTTTATAATTTTATTCCATTTTTTATTCCTGCATTAAACTTCAGAAAATGAACTTACATCATATCATATCATATGAAATCAATCACACTTAATCATATATACTACCCTACAATAATGGAAGAGACAATTTGAGTTTTTGCCATTTTTCTCAAAGAGTACTTAAAGGATTATTTTATAACTTTAGAGATGTTTATTTCAGGCAATTTTTCATATTTAGCAATAAGATTTAAAGCTTTCCGAGATTTGGAAGACCGACGATAAATTACGAAAGAAAACAAGTATTTTTGAGCACCCTATGCTAAAAAATTATGCAATAAGCTTGTAACTTGTGTCGATTACTTTAGTTGTTATTTTTAATAACCGCATGAAATTTCCTAAACCTAGAGTATACATAGATATTGAATTTTTTTTAAGAACTATTTTTTTCCCTGAAGTTTTTTGCTATAACTTTATAAATGTTCGATAGAATCAAACAAATTTTTTGTTGCTGTTGTTGTTGTAGTTGTAGTTCATTTACGTCGCACTAGAGCTGCACAATGGGCTATTGGCGACGGTCTGGGAAACATCCCTGAGGATGATCCGAAGACATGTCATCACAATTTTGATCCTCTGCAAAGGGGATGGCACCCCCGCTTCGGTAGCCCAACGACCTGCACGCGAAGTCGAGCACTTTGCGGTAGCACAGTTTAACGAGGACCAATACCGCACACCCTTAGTCCCTACGCAGACTGATCCAAGTGGTCACCCACCCGCACACTGACCGCAGCCAGGGATGCTTGACTTCGGTGATCTGCTGGGAACCGTGTCTCAACGCAATTTTTTTTTTTTTTTTAATTTTAAATAATTAATTTTGTAACAAATTTTTTGAAGCAATTTAAAATTAATTACAAAATTATTTATTTAAAATTTTAAAAAAAATTTTAAAAAGTGCGCAAGATATAAGTTTTAAAGGTAGTTTTTTTATACCGAGAAAAAAAAATTTAATTTTTTCTTTATTTCGTAATTTTTTCTTTATTTCGTGTTTCGCAACTAATCAAAAAAGTTTGATTTTGGATATCTTAAAAATTTTAAAAGTTTCAAGGAATTTTCTAAGTAGTTTTTGTACTTTTTAAAAGAAAGTTCAAAATGATCAGGGATTTACCACAAATTTTATTTTCTATCATACGACAAAATTAATAACAAATGAACTTTACAATCCGGAAACCAGAATGTGATGGTATAAGGGAAAAAAAACATGCGGAAGAAAACATACTTCTATGGGTGATCCCCCACAACACCGGTCTCACTTTTAAAAAATCTTGTTTAGTACAAAATGAAATTTCAGGAAAACCTCTGATCATTTTGAGCTTCTTTTTCAAAAGCAGAAAAACGACTTCGAAAATCACGTGAAATTTTTTAAATTTTTAAGATTCAAATCTAACTTTTTTCATTAGTTGCGAAGTACAATTACAAAATAAAGAAAAAAATTAATTTTTTCCGCGCATGCGCAGCTATGAAAAGAACAAACTTAAAAAAAAGCTTGTATCTTGCGCAGTTTTTGACGAACTTTTTTAAAATTTTGAATAAATAATTTGCGATAAATAAATTTGAAATTGCTCCAAAAATTTTGCTTGATTTCATTGAATATTTTTTAAGTTATAGCAAAAAACGTAAAGCAAAAAAAAGAAAAAAAAATTAGTTTTTTTTATAAAAAAGTCTATATCTCCATAAATATTTACTCTAGGCTTGCGAAATCTTATGCGGTTATTAAAAATAAGAACTTAAGTAATCGGTGCAAGTTACAAGCTTATTGCTTGATTTTCTAGCGTAGGGTGCTCAAAAATACTTGTTTTCGTTCGTAATTTATTGTTGGTCTCCCAAACTTCTGAAAGCTTTAAAACTTAATGCTAAGTATGAAAAATCGCATGAACTAAACATCTCTTAAGTTACAAAATAATCCTTTATTTCTTAAGAAATTTAGAAAAATGTCAAAAACTCCAAGTGTCTATTCCATTATTGTATACCATATTGTATTTATATATGACACTAAATATGTTATGATGTCTTTAACAATGAGAATCAAAAATTAAGCAGTTAAAGGAAAATAAAAAAATTTTTGAACGACAATTTTTGAATAAGCTTTATAAACAATAATTATACGTTTCAAAATTCAAATATTAAAAAAAAAAGAAGAAAAAAAAGAAAAAAAATTACATGGTTGAATCTAGAGATCTTACGGAAAGTAAGTAATACAGTTGAGAAACATCTTCGCTGACCTTTCTGATTTGCAGTCAACTTCATTTTTTGTTGTAGAAAAAATGCTCTAAAATATACTTCATTAATATTTTAAGAAATTTCTACTGTAATATTTAAAAAAAATATAGTAGTCACTCTCTCATTTTACTAATTCTAAATGCTTACAATGAGCACATTTTAGTTCTTTCAAAATAAAAATAAAAATCATAAGTTAATGATTTGAAATAAACAATTCATTTTATACTAATTATATCTACTAATCTGTAGAATTTGGTACTAAAAGAAAAAAAACTTAGAATGGTTTAATTTTCGGATCTTATTACAAGTTTAAGAAAGAGTTTCTCGTACAACCAAGCCTATAATTTCGAAAGTGTTAATTTTATCAGTAAAAGAAAAAAAGTATTTTAAACATCAGATTTTTTTTTCTCGTGAAATATTAATTAATCTTAGACAATGAGAAAGATATGAATAACTCTTTATCAATTTACCGCTTTCAAAAACAATTTTTAAATGTTACATACAGTTAGTTTTTCATTTTTTCTGCATTTTCTCTCATCAAATTTTAGGAATATCTCACGATTTTTTAATTTAATTTATTTAAAAGCATTTCAAAAACACAATGGAAACTTTTAAAACATACCCTAAACCAGGGTTTCTTAACCTGTGGTTCATGAACCACTTAGGGGTCCATGGGTCATATTTTGGGGGTCCGCCAACTGCTCCTAATTTTCAAAACGTTTGGATCAATAATATTTAAATAACATTGATCTTTTTTTCTGAAAGGTGAAAATACATAGGTACATATTTGAAACTAGGTGATCGAGATACCCCAAATTCAGTGCTGATTGCACACAGCCCTCTAATATCCCTGTCATATTTTTAACATCCTCCACTAACCGGCTTTCAGTTTGCACCATCAGAGGCAATCCCCCGATGACGTCCGCTCCGCTGTGCTATTTTTTATCACCCCCAATCAGGCTTCGTACATTTGACACCTTATCCAGGTTACTAGATCTAGAATTTTTTACTAAGAAGAAAGCCCAATTTTTGAAATCTGGAACATTAACCAAACTAGGATTTGGTATTCCACAAAAACCTGTGGTTGAGGCGTCTCTCAAAGTTGCAAATCGTATTGCCAAAAGCAAGAAACCGCATACTAATGGAGAGACGTTAATTAAGCCATGTGCGCTGAAAATGGTTGAATTAGTTTGTGAACTGGAACAGAGAAAAAAACTTGAAGCTATTCCATTGTCAATTGATGTGATACATTCAAGAATAGTTGAAATTTCTTGCAATATCTTGAAACAGATCATCGATGAATTGATACTATCAAAGAGGAATTCTTATTTGGTGAGTCTCTTTTGCAAATTACAAAGGCAGTTGATGCTGTAGCAATGTTAATTGTTTTCTTTACCAAACACGACATTGACTGGAAAGAAAAAATTCATTTACTTTGTACAGATGGAGCACCTGCTATGCTTGGCAATAAATCTGGTTTTGCCCTGTTGGTACAAAAAGAGTCTCCTAGTGTTCTTGTTACTCATTGTTTTTTACATAGACATGCACAGACTACAAAAACTCTTCCAACCTGCTTAAAAGAAGTATTATCACTAGTTATTAAAACTGTGAATTTATTTAGAAGTAGAGTTCTTAATCATCGTCTTTTTAAAACACTGTGTCAAGAAATGGACGCAGAACATGAGGTACTTCCGCACCACATGGAAGGGCACTGGCTGTCACGAGGGCAGGTTTTGAAACGAATTTACATGTTGAAACAGAAGTATCACTTTTTCTAGAAGAAAAAGATAACCCGCTCTTCGAATATTTAAGAAAAAAAAAGATTTTACATATAAATTGGCTTACCTGGCAGATATTTTTAACCACATGAACAATATAAGTATTTTAATTCAAGGGCCAGATATCACCATCATGGATGCAACTGAGAGATTACAAGCATTCTTATTGAAAGTGCCACTTCGAAAAAATAGAATTCAAAATGAGAACTATGCAAACTTTCAAATATTGGACTAAATGAATCTGAATGAGCTTACTGAAAATGAATCTCGGTAGATAATTTGTTACTGAATAGCTTGAAAAATGAAATCTGTGAACACCTTGAAGTACTTCAAGTTTCATTTAAAAAATATTTGAATTTGGATGAGATAAATATAAAAGATGACTTGTGGATTTGTAATTCTTTTCTTTGTGACTGTATCGATAATATGAACCTTGTCAAGGATGAGCTTATTGATCTTAGAACAAAGTCCTTACTAAAAATGGATTAAATTACATTAATTAAAAAAACTTAAAAACACTTGGAAAAGTAGCAACAGCCTTCACATTAAAAATTTTTGTTTTAAAATTTTTTGTATATTATTATAATAATAAAATTAAATCTTTTCTAACGATTGATTTTTTTTGTAATTATTTTTTTCACAGGGGGGTGGTCCGAGACATCTTAAAATTTTTTAAAAGGGGTCCATTGTGCCAAAAAGGTTAAGAAACACTGCCCTAAACTAAAGCTACAAATTTAAAGATTTCAGAGCATCATCTAATGTAGGAATTAATAACGTCGTCTTATGGATCCTATTCTGCGAATGATGTTATTTCATCCTTATCTGCCATCCTAAAAATTCGAAATTCCATATTTTTTTTAAAAAAGATTTTGCAATGAAATTAAAGATATGTTGCTTTTTGTTTTGTTTCTTCGGTGGTCGACCTATACATTCAACATATTAGAAATTTTTCATAATTTTGTAAATTTTGTGAATTTTAAATTATCAAAACTATGAGAGAAAATTTCTTTTACCGCAAAAAAACATTAGGGTTGGCCATGGCTCACCTAGCTTATAGGCTCACACCATGCCCTCGCCTCTGAATGCATCACCGCATGAATTTCAGGTATCTTACGAAATATATGTTTGAATCATTTACATGATGGTCAAAACCATTTCAAACTACTCTTTTGGAATCAAGTATTGAAACATTAATTCCTTGCCAGTGGAATATATTTGAGAAAAACTTGTCAAAATGAAAGAGATTTTTTTTCTTTTTTGTTATTATCATCAAAATGTCAGAAATATATCTTTTATTAAACAAAATTTTAAACGAAATAACAATTGTAATCATTGTTTTCACATGTATGGGAAATGTTAATAGATTATAGTAATTTTTGTCTATATTGCAGCAAAATAAATCAAACGACATAATTTTCAAGAATTCCATGTCCTTCAGGATCCTTTAAAGTTTCGACAAATTCCAAAAAATCGAAATTGACGAACGTTACCCAGAAAAATTTCAAAACAGGCATCGCCATCTATTGGGAAAATGGTAAATGAAATATATGCATTGGACAAACATACGCCTACAATAAGCCATAAATATTAGTGCGCAATTGGACAAACTTAGCTCAGGTCCGGGCTTCATGGAATTAAAGCACCGATCTTTGTCTTGACCGAACTCACTCAGGTCGGGCATTTTAAAATTGGCGCATTTTCGTTTTCCAAACTCATTTTGGGCGTCAAAAGCAAAGGGTTAATTTAGAAAAATTCTTTCTCAAAATGGTTCAAAGTTAGCAGCTATACCGTAGAGTGCGGGTGCAAGCCATGCATGGAAATGGTTAACGTTTAAATAATAGCGAAAGTATAAAAATAATTTGAAAAGATATTTGTTTCTATTGATCTAGATCTATTCTTTTATTCTAGATCTACCTATTTTTAGATCTATCTATTTCTATATCTATTCTTTTAGTTACACTATTATTATTATAACTATTCACACGAGCAAAATCTAAATATTATTACTTTTTTTTAAACTTAAATTTAATGCATAAAATTAAAATTATTTCGTATGATTAATCTTCTTCCAATTTTCAATCTCAATTAGATTAAGCTTATAAAATTGGTAGATTTGAATTTAATTTTTAAAATAATTAAAAAAATTAAGTTTCGAAGAAAATGCTTATTATTATTATGTACATCGTGAGATTTATCAAGTATCTCAATATACCAATGCTTAAGGTATATACCAATAAATAACACAATTAGAGAGATTTAGCATAGCAATTGTCTTTTGTCATCAGTAATTTCAGTAATGTCATCAGTTTTCGCTCATGGCTGTTGAAGCTCAAATAGCGACAGTGAGAAAACTTAATGCCATGCGAAATTTCTATTATTCTCTTCCAACTAAGCAATATTTCAAGCTTCATCTGACTTCTGAATTAAAAGTTCCTTAAAAGGCTTTAAACCTGTTGAGATAAGGACTAATAACTTAAAACATATTAAAATATAAAGTTAATTTTTGTTCAAAATCTAGTCAAAATACAAGTTAGTTTGTAACTGAAGTTACCCGGTTAAGGCCAAAGAGTTCGTTATAATTCAGGGAAGGCGATGAAACTTGGTGTATACTTTATATGAACTATAGGAGCATGGAACCAGTTATTAACACCGGGTAAAAAAGAACGCGAGTAAAAAATAAATAAATAAAATAAATAAATAAACTTTATTTCGTCCGGCAAACATTCAATATTGATTCATGTTAAAACGCGTTATAGAGAGTTCAATTGCAACGTGAAAAGGTTTCTAGATCTATGCAGGGCCGGATTTACGTATAAGCTAAATAAGCTGTCGCTTGGGGCCCCGATATGGCAAGGGCCCCCAGATCCAACTTTTTCCTTCTTTTTTTAAAGTTTTATTCGGAGCTGGAGCCTTCTGAAGACTAAAATACATTTTTTTTCTCTTTTACATTGGCGAACGCTTTTAAAAATCTAATAGAAGTGTTTACAAATAAAAAATAATTGTTACTCTTCACTTTTCTAACCAAAAGAGCAATAAAAAAGCCTTTTGACTGATGAAAATATCCTGTAGCTTTCGTAGCTACCAGCGATGGGAGTAGTCCATGGATCCTAAAAAGCAGTACTCTAGACTCCATGGAGTAGTCAAATAGCTGCCTCAATTTTACACTGTGCGAAATGTTTTCAGCTTCTTTAAATTGCTGTGGGCTCTTTTGACCTTCTCCACAGAAACACCCTTTTGTCTGATTTCTGGGCAAAAAATTTCTAGGGCTGTGAGAGAATCTTGTTTAGGGTCATTCTGTTTCGAGATTTCCGTTGTGTCTCATTGTCGTTAAAGAGCTTCTCGTTTACTTTTAAATTTTCTTTTTTACAAAATATATTTTTTCCAATTTATTATAAAAGCTTTTTTTCCTTTTAATTATCCTAAATGTTCCAACTAGCTTAATTGTTTAATTTATTTAATTATTGTAATTGATTTTAATTTGTTATTTTCCAAATTAATTGTACATGAATCCGTGAACTCCTTTCTTTCTTTATTTAAATGGTGGGCCACTATTCAATTCCCTCTTTGACAGGCCTATCTGCCAAAATTCTTGATTTGGTTTATTTTGGATGAAATTGAGATAACAGATGTGGTTTTACTTTAATTTTACTTACTGCTAATAGACAGAAGCAACATGTGATATTGCTTGATAGAGCATTGAAATCAAGTGATCATCAGCTAAACAAATGTTTAAATATATATGTAAAAAATATTGTTCAAACCTCCTGTCTGACCAAATTTTCCATGTATCNTCAGAATTTCAAGAAAAAAAAACTCTGTTAAACATATAATGGTTCTTCTAACATGCCAAATCTTTACTCGGTGCTTAAAATGTGCTTATGATGTTCTTAAAATGAGTTTCTGTTTTTTTCCTCGTTCAAAAAATATGTGCAATAATAGAAAGGCTCTACATTATAGTCCCATCACAACCAATATATTTAACAATCAAGCAATATTATCAAATTTTTAATAATATAATGTTAATATTCAGCAATAAAAATTTGGTGTATAGAAATAGAATTGAACTTAAAAGGGTCCCATCATTTTCAGTAGCTTAGGGCCCCGCCAAGCTTAAATCCGGCCCTGGATCTATGGCAGCAAAGTCGTTCTGTTCTTTTTACTACACCACACCTTTTTTCGAATTTAGTAATTACCTATAACAGTTCTCTTTTCAGCATTGCACAAAGCGTTTTTTATGCATTAAGATACTGCACGAACTTTTGCAAATAGAGAACGAAATTATATAATCTTGATATCCACAAATTCGAAGTTCCTTAAGAAGTCGAAGAATACTGTGTCTATTACGCGCTTAATTAGAATTAACTTAAAACAATCGTACATTATGACTTATTTATAAAAAAATTTTTTTTTAGAAGGAATATGGCAGCAAATAAGACGAAATCTATACCTGAGAAAAATGAAGAAAATACATTTATAGACAGCACGGATGGCATTATTACAAGCAAACAAGATGAGTCCCTAGTGTTAATGGCAGCGCCTTCCAGGTACATCATACATATCTAAATACAACAAGCAAAACACGTAACAAAACCACTCTCTTCACTGATTTTTAATATTTTAATAATGGGGAATTGCTATCCTCTCCCCGACTCAAATAACTAAGTTCTACGTAGTCGAGTTCGTATACTGACAAGAAAGGTTAGGTATCCTAAGCGTCACTCGTCTGTCGAGCAAAATTAATGCTTCTGCTCCTTTTAAGCATTTTTAATTAAAGCACCTTTTGCTGATACAACTGTATGAGTTGAGAAAGAGATTTTTATCTTTTCGTGATTAATTAGTTTTTAATTTAATTAATTTAAACTTTTGCTGATTAATTTTTAATACATTATTTTCATTAAAACTATTGTTTAATTTGTATTCATTTTCTACGATCTTTTCATGTCTTTTACTCATTTAAAGAATTCTATGTACTTTGCAGCTTCATGTATGACAAAACTTTTTTAAAATTTTTAAAACGAAGTATATAAACACATACACAAGACAGAGAGATTAATTATATGTAATAATTAATAGTATTCATAAAGACTACAAATTTTTTCACTTGTAGAAAAAAATGATGACATTATAAACTAAAGACATTGTTTCTAGATTTGACCAATCTATGTACTGAAGTATTAAAGTAATAAAATAAAAAAAAAATTTATTCAAATTTCTAGAAAAAGATTTCTAAGAGATACTGAGTCTGAAGTTTTGCCACAGGTTTCTACCAATAGTCAAGTCCAAGGACAAACTGACAGGTAATTATATTAAATTACGACATTTCATATTGGTCTACTAATCCTGTTATTAAGGAAACATAAGAGGTTGTGGGAGACAGTTGTTATCCACAATGTCAACCTTCATCTATGGAAAGGTACACCGTCATAGAATCGAGTTAACATGTCTTATATACTAGTGAATTGGAGTTGTAATTTTGTAGTGGTAGACACACTACAAGGTTTCACAAAATAGTTTTCTTTTCTTTTTTTTTATAATATAGTTACCAAGTTAATAACGTTGGACAATCTTAGCTTAAATGCTACATTTGCTCTAATTTATGTTTCAACTTATATTAGAGTAAATGTAGCGGTATATATAACTAGGAACTATAACAATAAATAGTAGTCAGAGTATCAATTAACAGTAGTTTACGAATCCTGAAATAAATACATCAATGTTTATATATATTACTAAAAACAATTTCTACTTTGATACAACGTAATTTAAAAACTATTGAACACGTTAATAACATTTTGATATTATAATGTTTTCTAAGTACCGGAAATATGTAAAATTTCATATTGCTTCATTCGTTTAGTTATTGAGTTAAGAAAGAAGCACGCTTGGAAATTTTTATTGAAACAATGACGGTCATGACGTCAATAAATTTTTTTAAATTAAGGGAAATGAAAAACAAGGAAGAAAACGTTGGCGTAGAAGAATCGTTATAAAATTTCTAGGTCATCTCAACCATAGAGGGAAGAAAAGATCACAAATAAAAGTCATGAAAATGGACAACGAGCATAACTCATGGATTGCATGTTTCAGTACATGATCTGATTATTTTTAGATCAAAAGTTATTTAAGTATTTGTTAGCATTTTTCTTATCTATAGTACGAACAGTAAGAACGTTTGCAAATTTATTAATTGTCAACTGTTTATACTTTTAGAACCGATATGGCAACCAAGGAAGAAGAAATGAATAAAGATCTTGAAAAGAGGACAGAAAAAGTATCAGGTGATAGCGATGGTGTTATTAAAGCCGAACAACTTCAACCCAGACTTCTAAAAGCTGCCCCATCGAGGTATAATATTGTTTTGTTTGTTAATAATACACTGTGTTAATAATAAATACACTCAAAGTTTATAACAATTTTTTTTCGAAAAGGATAATGCAGCTAATTTTATTCAATTTGATTTATGCATACTTTTGAAACTACTAAAAGTCGTTGCAATCTCAACAACCTAACAAAAAAAAGAATTTTAAGACAGTTATTGATGCAACAATAAAACATTTTTCACGTTCCTAAATTAATTTTTAGAGTTTTTTTCCCCTTTTCTTTTGCTGGCATTAACAAACCTGCTAATTTACATTTTTAAAAAGTCAAGGTTCTGCCAAAAAAAGTTCGATCCTGTAAGGTTTCATAGCTGAAAAAAAATTACAAACCGCTGATTTAGACAAATGACCTTTAGTTTTCTGATGCATTTTTCTTCACGGTGAATTAAATTAGACCAATTTTGAGACGACAAGTCTCATGGTTTTGTGTACAAAAAACACTATCTTTGACTCGTAACAATTTACGCAACTGATATGGCTATCTACTCAAGAGAGCTTTAGGCTTCATATTTTTTTTGCTGTATTGTGGTTATGTAAACAAGTGAGGGTGTTGTTTATGTATTTTTTACGGTGAATCGAATGAAATGAATTAAAGTCGATAGGCTAAAAAAAGTGTAAATAAGTACAAGTCAAAAATGGAACTTTTTATGCATATTTATTTTTGCCTTTTTTGAACTATTAATCATTTTAACTCGTGCTTTTCATTCGATTTAGCGCGAAAAAAATATTTCATATGTCTAGAGTAATTTTAGATGCGTAAATAGGTATAAGTCTAACGTTTTATTTTTTGTACATAAAATTATTACAACTCCAAAATTATTGATAAAATCGTCCATAATTTAGTCTTATTCGCAGCAATATATATATATATATATATATAATAATAGTTANCTTAATTGTTTCTAAGGGGTGACCTCAAATATGCTAATTAATAAGCGCAAACGATATTTTAAGTTACAAAATCAGACACAAAACGTACTTTCTTTTCGACGGATTTCAGAAAATTTTAAGCAAATTAAAAATTTTTTGCATACAATTATAAAATTCATTTAAGTCAAAGATATTTTTATGCAAAACAACTTTTAGTGAATATTTGCTGTTTTTTTTACTAGTTTATTTTATAATATTTAAAAAAAATTTTGAACTGTAAGGTATACAATTTTTTACATAATTTTAAAGAATGTATTTTTGCATGGCAAAATTGGTCGAATAGTTCCGAAGAAATTGAATGTTAAAAATACGACTTTTTCAAAAACCATTCGACCGATTACGCTATTTTTTGCCATTTTAAATGTAAAAAATTGTGTACCTTACAATTCAATTTTTTTCGACTACTATTAAATAAAATAATAAATATGTAATTAAGTTATATTTTGTATGAAATTATCTCTGGATAATCGAATTTCATAAATGTGTGTAAAATAAGTTTTAATTTGCTTAAAAAATTTTCGAGATAGGGCGAAATACGAAAAATTAACATAAAGGGGTCCAAACATTTAACCATTTCTCCCAGATTACGACTACCCCTTGTTTTGCTGATCAAAAATCCGCATCCATCGAAGAAAAAAAAAAGGAATGTTTATTCAGAGAAAGTACTTCTTTTGTCTGATTTCGTAACTTAAAATATCGTTTGCACTATTAAATTAGCATAAAAGTCACCCCCTCGAATAATTAAGATTGAGTTCTAGAACGCGAAGACCGGATCATTAGATCTAAAGGGTGGTCCATTTTTTTTTTTTTTGCACACTGTACATTATACAAAAGAATTTCAAGTCTTCATTTTAAAAATAGCACCACAATTCATACCAAGCTTACCATAGAATAGTATCGAATGAGAGCAAAAGAAAAAGACTACCAGCAACTATTTAAAAAAGCTTTCCATTGATTTTGCTTAATTACTTACAGCAAAGCAAAAAACGACTAACACATATATATATAATACTCAAGAAGCAGTACCTCATTTGTCTAGATAGCAGTGCAAAAAGATAAAATAAGTACAAGTTAGTAAAAAAACTGTTCTTTACGGGGGGCAAAGTAGTCCTAAAAATACAAATTATCATTACATTATTGATAATCTAAATGTTTTACGATTCGCTTTTATTTTGCTCACCCTGATTATAAAATAAAAATCATTGCAACTTTTGAACTATTAAACTTTTTTGTTTGGTCTCATTTCATTCAGCGTGGAAAGATACTTCGAAAATTACTTATCTAGATAGCAGTATATAACGCTGAAATTCAGCATATGAAGTCATGCAACATTTTTACCACTTACTAAGAGGATAATACTTAAAAGTTTGTCATTTGATATAGTTATTCTTTCTTTTAGAAGTCGGGTTTGTACGATTTTTGAGCTAATATCTTTACTATACCGTTGTTTAAGGCAACCAACTTAAGTTTTTTTCTTTATTAAATAAAGGCCAGAGACTCAAACTGCATTTGAAAACGTGTTTATAAACTATTGATAAAGAAAGCTAGTGAAATATTCTCGTTTTATTTATCGGTTTATACCTTACAAAGTAGAATGAAAATATCTACATCTCATTATTATATTTTCGATGTATTAATAGTTACGAGAGTTTAAATAAATCCAGAAACAGAATTTGTGTCAGAATAGAATGAAATAAATACGTAACATGCCTCTTTGATCAACGGAAAAATAAAATAAAAATGATATATGCCTTGACCCACAAGTAAATATTGATATTTTATAATATATGCATAATAAAAATATAATAAAATGATATATTCTCCATTTTAATTGGATTTTCTAGAAAGAGGTTTGGAATGCCGGAACAGAAACCGAAATCTGAATTGCCACAAGCAGACAACGATCAGAAAAAATCAGCTCACGAGAGACCTTAGATATGTCAAGGAAAAATTCAACACACCTCAAGCTTTGACAAAAATATTCTTTAAACAACTTAATGCTTTTTAAAATTTATTTTATCATTATTTTTTTTTGTATTATTTATTGCGATGAAATGTCACTCGAAATAAAAAATAAATGGGAAAAACTTAAATAATTACTAGAAATGTATCTATTGGTAATTTAAATAGGGGTGATCCTCCTCCTAGCATGAGGCCCTGCTTAATTAGTTTTGCAATAGTTTCTAACTGAGAAAAATATAAATTGCAGCAATAAGAATGACATAAAGAACCTAACTGTTTGTGAGTTAGTTAAAATGAAAACAAGCTAAATTCATATTAAAGGTAGGAGTACGTTTTAACAAATTGAGATTTTATGTAATTGGCATTAACAATATCATAAATATTTAAAATTTGTAGTACATAGATAAAATCTTGAAGATTTATAACTGTTTCTAAGGCGTCTTATTCTTTTTAATGGACGGGACTGCGCGGAGTCATAGAGTTTATTTGGTCGACGAATTTCTGGTAAATGAAAACATTTGTTGGATGGATTGGCCAGCCAGGTCTCCAGACCTCATCCATGTCTGAGATTTTCCGGAGAGGGCAGTAGTGCTTAATAAGTGGGAACAATTTCTTCAAGACTTTCTAAAATGTTCTATTTCCAATATGAAATCACATTACAAGACCTGCATATTTGAAATAGAGGGACCACAAATTATTATTTTTTATTTGATACTGCAACCACTGTTTGATACCATTTTACTTCATTGACTGCTACGTTAAATCATGCGAGCATATTACAACTGAATGGCTATTTTATTTGTATTATGCCAACCAATGCTCTTACCGAATTCCATTACAATCTGTCCAGTAGATAATTGAGCAAATCTAAAAATTTTCTCAAAGGTGAGAATTCTTATATTCTGTTAATGCCTCTGAACTACAAATTTCACAATTGTGTAAGTAAGGAATTTTTATAAAATTTCAGGATATGTTTATGCTATATATCTTGAAAGAAATAGCCCGTAGATTCATAAATTTTATTTCACCTAGAATAATACTTTTTTATCTACTTATTTACTATGTTTTTTTTCTTTTCCTTCTTACTTCGATGTTTCTTATGCATTGTATAAGATGTAAAGTGCGCAAAATCGAAAACGGACCACCCTGAATAACTTTTGATGGTAGTGATCGACCTTAACGTTCTAGGACAGGGATGGCGAACCAATGGCACGCGTGCCATTTATGGCACGTTATTCAATATTTTGGGCACGTCACCGATCACAAAGTTCACTATGAAGCATATTAACGATTAAATTAAAATTAAATTAACAAGCTAACAATAAATAACTAGCAAAGAAAAATTAACAGTTCTGCTTAAACTAACATCTTATATCCCTAATATAAGTTACTTGTCATCTAATCTGCAACAATGGAAGTCACACTGATGTCACTTAAAGTTGAACTACGCTTATAACTGAGACATTGCAAAATGTACTTTTTTTTCCTCAGTAAAAAAAGAGTTTTGAGTTGATAGNTAATCACAATTTTTTACAAAGTCAGACACAAAAACGTACTTTCTCTGAATGAACATACTTTCTTTTCGACGGATTTCAGAAAATTTTAAGCAGATTAAAAAAAAATTGCATACAATTATAAAATTCATTTAGTCAAAGATGCAAAACAACTTTTAGTGAATATTGGCTGTTTTTTATTAGTTTATTTTATAATAGTTAAAAACAATTTTGAACTGTAAGGTGCACAATTTTTACATAATTTTAAAGAATGTACTTCTGCATGGCAAAATTGGAGCAAAATCGGTCTAATAGTTCCGAAGAAATCGAATGTTAAAAATACGACTTTTTCAGAAACTATTCGACCGATTCCGCTATTTTTTGCCGTTTAAAATAATGCAAAAAATTGTGTACCTTACAATTCAATTTTTTCGACTACTAATAAATAAAATAATAAATATGTACTTAAAGTTATATTTTGTATGGAATTATCTCTGTATAAACGAATTTTATAATTGTGTGTAAAATAAGTTTTAATTCGCTTAAAAAATTTTCGAGATAGGGCGAAATACGAAAAATTAACATTAAGGAGTCCAAACATTGGACTATTTCTCCCAGATTGCGACTACCCCATATGTTGTGCTGATCAGAAATCCGAATTCATCCAAGAAAAAAAAAAGGAATGTTTATTCAGAGAAAGTACTTTTTTTGTGTCTGATTTCATAACTTAAAATATCGTTTGCACTAATAAATTAGCATAAAGGTCACCCCCTCGATCGAACCATTAAGATTGAGTTCTACAGGGGTGATTGTGAGCCCAAATTCCGGAAAACTTCTCGAGTTAAAAGAAAAAAAAAACCAGTTTAAATTGAAAAAAATTTAAGCAAGGTTTTTTCTGTTTCTCAATATTTCTTGGTTTACTTAAAATAAATTTAAAACTTTACATATACCTATAATGACCTAGAGAAGTAATTAAAATTTAAAAATATGTCTTTCTTTCCTGAGTTTATGATTATAATAACTATTTACTGATAAAAAATTAATATTAATCTTGAATATAAGCTTATAAAGTATCTGGCTCTCCCTTACAAACAAATAAACTGTGCTTTTCAGTTCCACCTTTGAGAATTTGATTTTCGGAAACTTCTGCGATCAATGAGTTTTTGAAACGTTTGGACCTTCGATCTCCGGATCACTGTTAGCGAAAAATCCGGAGCACAAGCTGGTTCTAGAACACGAAGACCCGATCATTAGATCTCAAGTTATAAAGGGTGGTCCGTTTTTTATTTTGCACATTATACAAAAGAATTTCACATGTCTTCATTTTAAAAATAGTTCCACAATTCATACCAAGCTTACCATAGAATAGTATCGAATGAGAGCAAAAGAAAAAGCTTTAGATTGATTTTGCTTAATTACTTACAGCAAAGCAAAAAACGACTAACACATCATTATTTAAGATGACTTATCCTTGCAACCATACTGACTGCTCGCACTAAAATCTGATGTTAGGGGAATTTGAGTCTTGCCTGATAGGACAGTAAATCCCAAAATAGAATATTTGTAATCATGCAAATTTCAATAGTTTTGAATTTTTGTTTTACTAAGTTATTACCTTGCACAGAGTGCAATAACAAACAACCTTAACAATGCTGTATCTTTCCCTTTTCAAAAAGTAGAAGTAATTTCCCCCCGAAATTAACAAGGTTTATTTTGAAGACAATTAAATATGATCATTTCTTAACATTAATTAAAATATTTAGATAATGAAAAATATTAAAATTTTATTCTAAATACATTATAGTTATTGTCAGGTGCAAATCTAATGAAAGAAAGGAACAATTTCACAAGCACTGCATTGCAGTTTTTATTTAAAAATAATTTGATAACCATACAGACCAATAAAAATCATTTACATATTTAATGCACATAAACAACCAATCTTCAGAAAATTTCACTTTTTGAAAAACTGCAAAACTAAAAAGTGGAAAGGGAAGACAAAATACCCTCAAGCAAGCTTGGAATGTAAGAAAAAGATTAGTAAGCTCTATAGCATTTATTATTTTTTCTCAACTATAGATTTATGGTCAAATATTAAAATGTGTTTAATTGGATATTTAAAACAAGACTCAATTCAATAAGCAAAAGAGTGCTTGAATAATTAAGCACATTAACATTTTATTTTTAAGGTACTTCTAAAGCAATAATAGCAGATCTTATTGAAAATGTTTCTTAATCATTAACTAATTTGCATATCACTTTTAAAAATCTAAAACCTATACTAAACTTTAAATAAGCTCAATTTGCTGATGTGATTTAAATGAAGCATGAATATTTAATTTTCTTTTAAACAAGAACTTAAAATAATAGTACTCAAGTAAAATAAAAATTTCATTTATAAAGTAATTTTTTTTAGATATTTCAATAAAGAATTTTGTAAAATTTAATATTTAAAACTACTTACTGACATAGAGCTATTCATTATTTAAATAAAAAATAATTTTAAAAATAGTATCATAAAGTTTTAATTCATCCATATATTTCTAAATGGAAAACTTAAAATAATCAGGGTAGCTAAGTTAATTGAAATAAAAGGGGGAATTAAAACCATGTATTGCTCCCTTTTCTATATTAGTCTCATTATGAGTGTCATTTCAAAACCATAATTCAAACTTACTAGCAATGACAATCTAATAAAAACTTTGTTCATTTAAAATCAAAACTTTATACATAGTGACAAATTTATTATTTCAAGTTCTATTAATAAAATATTTTCAAATAAACTTAACATTACTTACAACAATGATAATTTAAAAGGTCACTTTTATTTGATGAAAATAAAATAGTAACTAGATTAATTTTAAGCTTAATACAAATTAATTATCATAATTTCACAGACTCATTATTTTTTTCCTTTCAAAATTGAGAATCTTTTTAAGCCCAAAATATTTCAGAATAATTTAAACAATAAAAACCAAAAATTAAAACCAACTAATAAATAATTGATAACAAAAAGTTTTAAGTAACTTATTTTATTACAACTGCTTTACAAAATATGTTTTAGACTTTATTTAAAACAGATAACACAAATACAAATTTCAACAAGAAAATAACTTGCTGACACAAATAGGAATAAAATTGTATTGTGTTACAAAAAGGTATACATTGTGGAATTAATCACAAAAATTTTAATTTCATAAAAATTTTCAAAATTTAGAAACAAAACTTATTAACAAGCACTTACTTAATAAAGCTAACACTGTGCAGATAACAGTTTAATCTTAACAATTGTTAGTGTTATCACCAAGAAAAAAAAAACAAATAAAAATTCAAAAATGTAAAAATGAATTTCAATAAAAATTAAATTCGTAATTTATCTAAAAATCTTATAAGCAAACAGAAGTGTTCAATTTCAATTATTATATTAATTATTCAATTATATATTTTTTTACTTGAAAAGAAACATCAATATATTCTCTGAACAATCTTCATGGGATTACAGAAAAATCTTACATAATTGAATTATCAAGGAATATTTTTCTTAGTTTTACACTAAAATAAAAGCTTATTATATACTTTCAATTTTAAACCTGCACCAAGAAGAGTATTTTTTTATTATTTTTAATTGTTAACTCTCCAAAAATAAAAATTGATATTCTATATCAGATAAAAATTTTATATAAGAAAGCATGGTAATAGAGAATTTATATTAAAGAAAGTTAGTGTGCCAATAACACTACAACAATCTTCATAAAATTTAAAACACTCGGTTAAACATAGATGAAAGGTCTTGAAGGATAACAAGCATTCAAAAACATTGGCATGCCCTCATAACTAGGGCATTTTGATTTGAGTTCAGACTAATATTCATCTTCATCATTTTGAGATGGTAAACCATCTTCAGGAGCATCATCAGGAACAGCAAATCCATCCTGTTCATCAAAAAGAATTTAAACAGAGTGTAAGTGGTAATAAAAACAAATAAACAGTACACCAAAGGGTATTTAACACTTTAAAAGTCAAAATTCAAACCTTGTTTAAAGAAGAACTTGTTTGTTTTGCTAGCACCAAATGACAGTTTTTATCTGCTATCTAAGAACACAAATAGATCTGATTAAATAGATTTAAAACGGGCAAGATCCGGAAACTGCTAGATACTGTTCTTAATAGCTTAATTATGAAAAACACTAAGCTGCTTTATAAGAATAATTTATGTTAAATACAAGTTAATATTTATCATAGGCATGTTAACAAGTCAAAATTAGAACTCAGAACTAAAATAATTGCAAGAAAGCTAAAAATTGCTTAAAAAATTTTGGGTTACGTCTATTATTGTTAAATTTGGAGTTTGACGCCCTGTGAGATGAGCTTTAGTAACTATCTTGAGCTTACTGAGAAGAGGACCAGATTAGAGAGGCATAAGTAAGACGCCACTCACAATTACGGATGTAACAAATATTCGGTATTTGGCCCATCTGCCAAGTATTTTTTTGAATTTTTTTTTTTGCCAGTCTTATTTTTTGGAATTTTATTAGATTAAAAAAAAGAAAAATCTAAAATAGTATTTTTATGATACATTATATGATATAATTTTTAGCAATGAAAAAGCGAAATTTCTAAAAATAAAACTAGATTACTAATTCTGAACCACATGCTTTGCACTGCTGATTTTTTTAAAAATTATATTCAAGAAAACATATATAACATTATATTTAACACTTTTGTTTTAAGAATTGAAAAAATTTTTTGTTTCATTTTTGCTGTTTTCATTATATAGCACAGCATTTTAATGAAACATTTTCTGATAGATTTTATTCTTTTAACGCTACTTTTTTCCCTATATGGTAAGAGAGATAGCCGGTAACAAAAAAGCTGTGATTTTCAACGTTAAAGTTATATTTTAAGAAATAAAGATTTGTCTATTTCTCTTTTGTGTTTTTTTTTTACTAACTTTTCTTTATATTAGCATTTTTATGAGGACACATTTTTTCAAGAGCATTTCTAATGAACGTTACTCTTTTATCACCCACTTCTTTCCTCTAAAAAATATGGCAACGTGAAAAAGTTGAATTGAGATTTTCAGCATTAAATTACATAATTTTATTCTTATTTAGTTTTATATTTAAATTACCTGAAGAAAAATTAGAACATTTATTTCAATATTGATTTTTAACACCCATTTTTTGTAAATCTTACTTGAATCATTAAAATTTACAAACATTAAGGATGCGGAGCAGTGCTATTATAAAATGTTAATCCAGAATAATATTAGGGCCTTTTAAAGGTTTTGAAAAGAGAGGGGAAAAAAAGACTTTTTCGGGGGTCTTCAAAACTATATTTAAATTTAGTGCCTTTTAAATGAACCCCATTATCATGCCAACAAAACGCAGGAGTCTGACTTAGCATTATATTACATATTTTAAAGGGAAATTCTAATTAGAATATGCACATCTAAGAAAAAGATTTTCTTCATTATAAAAGTCATCTAATGTGCACTTAAAATTATCAAAATGCAAAAACTATTTCAGACTTTACTAAACATACAGACTTCATCATAATGGTAAAATAACTATCTTCTGGGCAAAGTTCTCTATTCTGGATTTTAATAGGGGAAAAAAAAAAAAAAAAAAAAAAAAACATTTCAAGCAAATTTAAATATATTTGACATAGAATTATACATTTTATTTTTTAAATTAATAATTACATTGCTAAATTTTGTAAAAAAAATATATATATATATATATATTTCTAAATTTANACATTTTCTGATAGATTTTATTCTTTTAACACTACTTTTTTCCCTATATGGTAAGAGAGATAGCCGGTAACAAAAAAGCTGTGATTTTCAACGTTAAAGTTATATTTTAAGAAATAAAGATTTGTCTATTTCTCTTTTGTGTTTTTTTTTTACTAACTTTTCTTTATATTAGCATTTTTATGAGGACACATTTTTTCAAGAGCATTTCTAATGAACGTTACTCTTTTATCACCCACTTCTTTCCTCTAAAAAATATGGCAACGTGAAAAAGTTGAATTGAGATTTTCAGCATTAAATTACATAATTTTATTCTTATTTAGTTTTATATTTAAATTACCTGAAGAAAAATTAGAACATTTATTTCAATATTGATTTTTAACATCCATTTTTTGTAAATCTTACTTGAATCATTAAAATTTACAAACATTAAGGATGCGGAGCAGTGCTATTATAAAATGCTAATCCAGAATAATATTAGGGCTTTTAAAAGGTTTTGAAAAGAAAGAAAAATAAGACTTTTATTGCATTGGAGGCTTCCACATGGCTTACAGCTACAGTCTCAGGATCACTGTCATTGTCCTCACTGTCCACAACTTGTGAAACAATTTCAGAAAGTGTAGCTTCTTCGTTGGCTGCAACATTTTCCTAGAACTCGAGAGGGGTAATTACCTTGTAAGGAAGTTAAATAGGCCTTTGTTAGAAAAGAGCTTCCCTTGCCTCAGATAAAAATGACCATGACCTTATAAGCGATAATGATTTTTAAAACTTGACCATATATCCAATATTTTGTAACAAAGAATTCCTATTCAGTGAGCCGGGACTTTGGAAAAGTGACCTTATATGCGGGGTGACCTTATATGCAGATGACCTTATATCGAGGTCTGACTGTATTTCTAAATTTATGAAAATTATAAATGTTAACTTAGGCTAAGAGCAACTATGGAACTAGCAGCTTTTTCGTTCCTCAATGTCATAGATATCCCACAAAAAATAAAAATTGAAAGAAATGTTATATTCCACAAGAACAAATTGTTAAGATAAGGCATTCTGCATTCTAATTCCTCATGAATCTATCACTCCTTATCCCACTCCCCTGCTGACCAGACGAGTGGTCTTCTCGCTGTTTAAGCCCCCGTCCTCTAGCGTCCACCATGTAAAAGGGGGCAACCACAAACGGTTTGTAGCTTACTAATTTTCAATTTGTTTTTGTGGGGTATCTATTTTATTGAGGAAATCAAAAGCTGATAGTTCTCAGCCTTAACAAAAACATTCAAGATAATAATAATTAATCATACTGAATAGATAAAAATTTGAGAATTCAGAAAACAAAAGAACTTAAATGGATTCATATTGCAAATTTAAATTAATGAATAGCCCTATTCTAAATGACCCCTATTCAATAAATTTTTAAAATGGTACAACATTTCTTTAATAGAATGAATAAAAAACATTTTTCAATAATTTTGAAATGAAAGTACAATGAATAATAAAGTTAAACATTTTTGTCCTAAGCACATTATTATATAGCCTATATTTAACAAATAATGAATTTTTAATATAATAAGAGATAAAATTATATTATTTTGAAATGACAAATCGGAACCAGATAACATTCCTAACTAAATGTCAAAATAAGGAAAATTCCCATAATTCATACTTTTTTAAAAAAATCTTGCCTTTGCTCTAACATTCATTTTTTTTAAAAATAATCCAAGACCACTGAAATCAGTAAAGTAAAACTTCAATAAAAATCCTAAAATATTCTACATAATTAANTTTTGAAATGACATATCGGAACCAGATAACATTCCTAACTAAATGTTAAAATAATGAAAATTCCCATAATTCATACTTAAATCTTGCCTCTGCTCTAACATTCATTTTTTTAAAAATAATCCAAGACCAATGAAATCAGTAAAGTAAAACTTCAATAAAAATCCTAAAATATTCTACATAATTAATGAACTCTCTATCCCATAGGCACAAACGCCCATGATTAAAAAATCTAAATTCTTACTAAATCTTTACTAAATCAAATGATGAATAAACGGGAGACGAAATTTTGAAGCTTCGTGATTCCCCACGGCTTTCGCCCGAATGAAGTCTTAATTAAAGATAGTTAAGCTGATTTATAAATGGAACAGTATGAGAATGCCATAGGTGTGGCAATGTTCAGTTGGTATCCCATGATCAGCAAAAATTTCAGAGATTTTTGGTTTGATTTCAGAGGGTTCAAGATGAAACCTAAAATCTAAATACAAGAATCCTTCCCACTGAATCTAGCTTAGTTAGCAAGTAACTCATCCAACATATGAAATGATTGGTCCTTCCGTAGCTCAAGGTAGACTGTCAGTAGAAATGAATTGTAGTTCAATGAATTCGGAAAATGTTGAATGTAACATCGTGAAATCCACACATTATTCGTGACAGCAATCAACACGACAAAGAAAAAATCTTATTTTCGAAAAGAGAAAATTAAGCACTTTTTACTAATATCTAATGAAAAAAAGCACCTTTCACAATCGATATGCACCGTTTAACATATCAATATACATTAAAAGTATTAATTGTGGTGCTTTTTTGAGGACCTCATATCAAAAATGAATTCAAATACTTTATTAAGATTTTCTGACACATAATTGAAATTATAAATAAAATAAATACACACCTCAGTGGCATACAATATTTCTAGTATCTGCTCAATAAATGTTGTCTTCTCTTCACTTGCTTCTTGTTCCTGACAAAGAACTTCAATGTCTCTCAATTTCCCATAGTAAAAATCACGTTCTCTTTCAAGTCCATCAACCGTGACTTTCATTTCAGAAAGCTAAAGTACATGGAAATTTTAAAAAATGAAAAATTTATTGATTTTTAAACTATTTAACAACAAAATCCCTAAAACAAATAACTTAAGTCATTAGTTATTGCTTTTCACACTACTTTCTACAAGTTAGTTAATTTTAATAAGAAAGTGAATATTTTCATGCATAGAGCTTGCCACTCAGAATATAAAAAGAAACATTTAGAGTAAATTTAAAAGTCTTCTTTATTAGAGTAAATTTAAAAGTCTTCTTTATTAAATTAATAAATATCAATTTTTAAAAATTATGATTGGATAATGATTGCTGAATCTGTCAGAGGTGACCAGTTGTTGTAAATACAATAAAGTGGTAAACTTTTTTGGGCCAAATTCCACCCTTACAAGGAAGTTTATTCATAGTTAAACAATGATGCTAGAAAGATATAACTTCATAAAGTGTATTGATAAGATCAATATAAGATGTGTGTTAACTAAGCTGTTAAAGTATTTTTAAATTTCTCCAGGGAAGCAGACATGGTACAACTAAACTCACAACTATACTTTCAAAGTATCCAATTAAAATGTGATGCGCAGACAACATTGTTTGGTTTCCCTGACTATTTTAAAGATATGTAAACCAACTTGACTCGCTGACTCTATTTTAATTTTAACAACCTTTCTAGTAATTTAAAAGTTTTCTCTGCCTGTGCTATAGGTACATGTAAATAGATGTCATAATGTATGTTTAAATTTAATGAGAAGGTTTGCAACCTGCTGTTTAAGTTTCTAACGTTTTAATAAAAACAATATTTTTACTAACTTCCGGAAGTTTTTCCGCTATGTTATAACCACACTGTGTTACTATCAGTCCATGCTAGACTGCACTTGATGAAATCCCTATAATTTGTTAGTTTTTTCACCAAAAAGAGCGTCGGCATGTATGAAGTTTATGGTGGAGAGAGAAACTATCTTTTTCTCCTAGAATGCTTAATCCCAACAACGGAAATACGACTAGAGGGTAATAGGAAGACATGGTAACCATTTCAATATCTACCTTGTTTCACAACAAAAGAAAATTTATATTTCCTTCTACGTTTAAAATTTCTTCGATTCTTAGAAATAAAATATTGACTTTTTTTGTCAACTTCACTAAATATCCTGAAACTTAATTTTTTGCTGAAGTTTTTAAAAATAAGGACATTATTTTTTGATCAGAGATTTAAGGACAACTTCAAGCCATGTTAAAAAATAAATAAAATAAATTCCTAACAGTATTAATGTACTATAGAAATTCGTTACAGGTTTTGTAATGAAAACAAGCTCAAAGAATTTAAATTAACAATCTTGCAATAAAATACTACATAAGGTAATTAGACACATTGTTTTTAAATTATCATACACGTAAAAGAAGAAAAAAAATTGCTCATTGTGCTTCGATTTAGAAATGCATTTAAAAATTTTCAAACATAAGCAAAATATTTACAAAATGAAGTTAAATTGCTTTCTTGGGAGTTAAAATTTTAAGATTCACAAATCTCTCTAACAGAAAAGTTTATGACCAATATCCAATCAGAGGAAGCAAATAGTGAATAGAATTCAAATGTATAGTGCATACCTAGCAATTTCTTTTGAACACACTAAACTGAATACTAGGAAAGTAAAGCACAACATTTGAAAGGCAGAGACACTACACTTTAAGCTTCTAGTTTAGTGTACTAACAATGTTTGATTCATTGACTTACATTAATCTAATTTACCTGATTTGTTAATTCTTCCACTCTTTGGGTATCTCCTCCTCCACCTCCAATCCTGTTAGTTACTCTTTGAGTTGGAATTCTAGCATTAGTAGTTGTTCGTGGTGATGGTGCTGTAAATAAAAACATTTTGTAAATAATCTAAAAAATATTTTTTTGGATGCAAAAAAGAATATTATGCACTTGGCAGTATGACCACCTTTGAAACTTTTCAATTTTGTCTACGAATTGTGAAGATCATTATATCTAAAGAAATTTTGGAAAATATTTCAAAAAATTCAAAGCATACATTTTATGTATATTAAATAATACGTAAATATTTCAGGTGGGAGAGTAATGTATAAAGCTAAATATAAAAGCTCACATTATATTCAGTTTAAAAATAAGAAACTTGACTACTGTTTAAACACAGAATAAAAAAAATTTTTTTTTTTAAAAAAATGAACTTTTATCAGTGTCCAAACATACAATCTGTGTTTGGATCACATAGAAGATTTTTCATTATAGATTCGGAACTGCAGTATTTCAGGCCTAAGTAGCATTATTTGTGCTTTTATCGTAAATATTCAGATATAGCAAAAAGTCAATATTTTTTTCTCACTGGGGTTGTAATGATTTAAATCAATTGATTATTCAAAACTCAGAATTGACAAGTAAGCAATATTTACAATTATTACATATGGATAATTCAACAACAGAGTTACAAACTGTGTCAGGTGTACATGTATATTCTTCAAAAAAAAAAAAAAAAAAAAAAAAAAAAAAAAAAAAAAAAAAACTGACATTTTTTAAGTTTGGATTTCATGTAATTTTTTAGCAGCATTGAGTTGAATTTATTGGTCCATCAAATAAAAATTCAAGATGCAAGAATAAAAAAGTACATTATCACTAAAATTTTGAAAATGTTTCTGTTTACATTATAGTACATAAAGAATAAACTTTACCCCAGTAAAAACATATATGCTGAGTATTCTAATTGCATTTACTTTACTATGTACAGATTTAATCAAAAGATTAAGTCTAATAACCCATACTTATAGACTAATAACCCAAAATGCAAACATAATCATTAGTTATGACTGATGGGAAATTATTATCGTAAATAAGTTTATGCTAAAAAGAAAAAATATTATATAAAGATAAATTAGCTAAAGGGGGGGAAATAAAAAGCCTTTACCAATAAACTAAATATAAAAATTAACCACAATATATCTATAATACATTATAGAATTATTTAAAAAGCATTGAACATAGTAACACGTAAAAAAAAAAAAAAAAAATAAATAATAAAAATTTTCTTTAAAAAATTACAAACCTGCACGTGCAATATTTTTTGAAGCATTTAAAGTAGTTGAGAGTCTATTCTGAGATCCTGATTTATTACTAATTCCACCACCTCCTCGACCATCAACACCCATTGCCATACCATTTCGTGCTTCTAATGGATTATAATCTTGTCCGCCATAATTAGCATCGAAAAATTTTTTGAACCACTGGAGAAACTCAAAATTATCTTGAAATCTTCCTTTAATTAGCTTATCAACTGGAATATGCTATAAAAAATTACTAGTTTAAATATTTGGCAAAAGACAAATTAAGAAAAGCTAAACACTAAAATACAAGAATGTAAAGATAATATTTTAATATAAGGTGCATAGCCTCCTCAACAAAAATAAGCACTTTTTAAGCACTCAAAAAATATTTTTAATCTTTTTCCACAAAAAAAAGCCATTGTATAAAGTTTTTAATTTATAAACATAAAATCAACAAAATACAAAAATATTTTCAAAGGCAACAAAGTCATGATAAAATTATTAGTTTCTGATAAATATAGCAGACAAAATTGTGAAAATCATTCTTTTTCGTAACCTATGATGACAATCTACAAAACAAAGGAAAAAAAATCTAATTTTGAAAGATAGAAAATTAAGCAAGTTTTGCTAACTCCCAATAAAAAAAAAGCACCTTTAAGGGTTTTTAAAAAATGTAAATCAAAAACAAGCACCTTTAAGTACTTTTTAAAAATACTATGCACCCTGTTATATTTACGTTCATTGTAGGCTTTTTATCCATTGAAAATGAGTGTTAATACTTTGAGTACAAATATTAAATTTCCTAACATTTAAATAATTTTTTTCTTTTACCAAATAGCTATTTATAGATAAATTGACCCATAAACATTAAGTGAAAATATTGAGATATAAATTAAATTAATTAATTACAGTCATAAGAGTATGTCCACGGCTAGTGAAGTACAGTTGCGATTGGAGACCAATAAATTTTAACTGGTGACTATTTTCAGCTTTTTAATTTCAACTAGACAATTTTTACACTTAAATTTTAAAAAGAAAAAAAAAATGGTCTGATAAAGAGAATTGGGCTAGAAAGATATTTTATTTTCTCTTGCTCGCCAGTGTTTTCAAAAATCGTGGCAGATTTCTATTGTATTTCTTTCTACAAAATATCAAATTGAAATTTCTTACATTTTTGATTTTGCGTTTTGTAATAATATTGTGATACAAGAATTAAGAATTTTAAAAAAGCTTGTGGAAAGTTTTGTCCAATTTGATTTGCACACAAATCTTATAACTCTGCATAAAAAACCCAGCAAGAGCATTTGTTCTGAATTTAACAGCACAAGTATATAGCTTTAATATTACACAGATGGTTATTATTCCCTTTATAGATTTTTATTGTTTGATATTTCTTTTAAATTTTGTTAATATTTTACTACGTTAACATTTATTTTGTAATGAGCACTGCAAACATACATATTTGATTTTTATGCATGGATGAATTTAACAAAATCTGGAAAACTAGAAACAGGGAGGTGCATAGATGATTACTGGCAACCAGGAAGTTTTGCTGAAACCCACATTTTTCTAATTCTTAGAGTCATGGTATGTTGCTAAAAGTCTTTCTCAATAATGATTATTAGTAACATTCTAGAAGAAACATGAATTTACATAGAAATACCCTGAAAAATATAGATGTTTAATTACCTTATCTGCACCAACTCTTTTGAAGGCTGCTTGCAAAAGTTTGAAATTTTGAATGTACTCGTGCTCTAGTTGAGTTTTAAACTTCACTTTTTTCAAAGATATACTTCCTAAAGTAATTAATAAAAATTAATAAAGCACTTATGGAATTTGAAAATGAAACTATAAACATGCCGTAGAAAATGAAGCCAAATATATTTACCTGGGAAAAGCATGTCCATGAACTGGCAATATGCTGCCCCTAAAAATATTCACTTGAAATTAAGTATAAGTATTTAAAGTCTAAAATAAGATTTTAGTAAAATTATTCAATAGGATCATTTTGGAAGGAGCGAATTAACTCAAAAGAGGGTAGAAATAAGAAATATAAGACTAAGGTTGAAAAACAAATTAAGTACTAAAATCATTAAAAATTGCCAATTAAGAAGAACGCACACAAAGTAAGGCATTAATCCAGGATTTTCATTTAACAGCTATGGTAGGAACGAATGCCATTAATGTAATTTTGTCCTTAATCAGATGATAAAGACAGTACTAGTACCACTTTGTCATAACTTTCACACCAACCTTCGAGAAGATTTTTAGCCATGGCAGATTTAATGTGCACCTTGCATCATACACATGCCAGTTTAGTTGTCGTAATATATTATCCCTCAACATCAAATTTGCTGATCTACAAAAGTTACTTCTTTACATAATCTATCACCAGGAAGCAGAGTTATCTAATTGAAACATTATACTGTGTTCTTTCCAAACTAGCTATCAGTAATCAGAGGTACGATAACGCAAGAACATATACTTGGCGTTTACGAACTTCAAATTTTAACAATTTTAAGGTCTACATATTACTTAAGTCTTTAGAGGTACATAATATTCGTAAAATTATGCAAGAATTTACTCGCATTAAATTTAAAAAACACATTGGTAAAGATAACAAATTAAATAATTTACAACACTGAAATCTTATACTTCATTATAAAATTAAGTTTATTACTTAAAATGAATGTTCTAGTTTTTGAATAAATTAGAACTAGCCCTTATTGCTTTATCAGTATCTTTTATTTGAACCACTAAAAATTTTGTTTACTCACACCATTTCAGATTAGAGTTCATGTTCTTTTTGTTTTTCTATAAGAAAATAAGATTAAATTTCAGTTCCTACAGTTGGGTAAGCATCAGTTTGACTTTTTCTCATCAAAAAGAAAACTACTTTTGGATAAAACATAGCTAAGTGAAACAAGCAATAAAGCCAAAACTTGGAAGAGTTGATAGACTCATTAATTGTAGGTTTGAAGAATATTATTAAAAATTCCCATTATAATTAGTAAAACTTCTATCTCCCTAATCAAATTTAGAATTCTATTTTCTTCTTGTTGGAGAACAGTAAAAAAAGGAGGAGGGGGCAGAAAAGTCCTCAATAATAAGATATATAGGGCTTTGTCATCGAAACTTCATGTTTTCTTGAATCTTCTAACATTTATCACTATTCTTCTCATTTGAACAGCTGCAAAATCCAAAAATACATAGGCATGGGTTTCCTCTACAGTATTTTTATGTGATTTTTCGCACTTAAAATTATTTTTAAAAATCTTCTGTAAACATTTTAATACTCATCCATGGCTGAACAGAAATTACAGATTACTACAAGAATTCTCCGTACCCATAATTTTTGTTATTAAAATTTAATACAGTAATCTTGACAGTGAAATCAAAGATTAAGGATGAATCAAAATTGCAGGTACCTCTGGGCTTAAATAAATCTACCTCTCGTACTCCTATGCTGTTTTCTGTTTGTAACTATTGTCTGCATGCATTACCTTTTTTATTATTATTAATCTTGCATCCATTATCATACTAGATTTATAAATTACAGATTTGACATTATGCCATGTATCTTTTATTGCATTGCATTCACCATTAAAAAGATGTTAGAAATCTTGGTAAATGTCTCTTAATTTTATAATTTACATGAAGTTATTGTTGGTAAACCATTGCATTTTTCTCATTAGCCAAAGTGCATTGTCTTCACAATATTACTTCAAGTAGTCATTTTCACACTTTTCGGAAAAGTGTATACAAACTAAATACAGGCTTCATGTAGTGGGCCAAAGATAAAATCACATTTTTTTTTTTTTTAAATCTGGACATTTTTTGGAACAGTAGCATATAGGACTGGGCNAATCAGATTTCTGATGCATCGCTTGGAATGAAAGTCGCTGTATCGGTTTGCCGATATAGGCGTTAAATCGATATGTCGCGATATATCGATTTAGAGCCCAGTCCTAGTAGCATATACTACTTTTAAAAAAGACAATTATTTATTACTTTGTTAAGAATACTATATTGTACTTAATCTAAAAAATCTGCCAGAATTAAAATCTGATTGATAATAATTAACTCAGTTATTACCAATAATATAAACCAAATAGTAATAATAGAAGTCTTAAAGTATTAAGTACCATTAGAAAAACTAATTAATAGTTTTGATAACTTTGGCTACTTTTTTTATATGTGATATTGATATATAATATAAATCATAATTATTGTAGTATATAATGCAAGTATTGCGCCTGATTTAGTATCTAATGGAAAGTCTCCACTGTCAAAATGCCCCAAGCGTTTCTGACACTTTTCAACAGGTCTTTGATGTGTCAAGACAAAAACCAGTTTTTGACATCAAAAAACCAATCTTGATAAGAAAAGATACTTCGTCCATCTCTATTAAAGGCACATTAGTATGCACTCTAAACAAATTGCATGCATTTCAATTTATATATCAATTTAATTTAGCTTTACAGAACAATTAAAACTAAATAATTTATCTTCAATTGCTTGGAAGTCTTTTTCAAATGACAATGATTTTACAATTATTTTGCATTGCATTTGAAATAAAACCCATTTATCTAGAACAATAAATATTGAAAAAAATTAACCTCGAAAAAAAAAGTGGGCCTTTTCAAGGCTTACTTTGGCAAACTCTGGATATATAATTACTAAAGACATACAATAATCTAAACTTACCAGAACAGAGCTCTTCAATTTTTGAATAATTACTCTGTAGACATTCATTAACCCAGTTGAGCATATCATGCCTCGAAAGATTATCAGAAGTAGCACTAGTTGAGTAGACATTGACACACAAGACAGTTTCACGCTCTCCCATTATGAAGATAGAACTAAAAATATTTTAAAAAATTTCATTAATAAAAAGTTAATTCCAAACTAAAAACTTCAATTGGAACAAAAAAACTTTGAAATTTGGAGAAACTAGGATTAGATGGTCAACTTTTCAGTTTTTATCTAATTTAAAATATTATCCAACATATAGGTTGGTATCCTGCCTTTCTATGACAAACTTTAAAAGCGCTAATATTTTTCTACATGATATCTTTAATAGAAATTATTACAAAGTAATCAATTTAAAATAACAGAATAATTAACCAACACAATTAAAATAACCCGTGTTTATAAAGTTGGCCAACATGCATAAAATAAAACTGTAAACTTCTTTTTTTTTGTATAACTCAAGGTCTAAATTTTTATTTTTGTAATCCTCTTAACTAAAAAATTAGTAAAAAGACTTCTTTTTTAAGCCAATAATATGACAAAATTTAAATTGCTTAGCTTTAAGCTGTGCAGACAGAAATACTAACATTAGATCAAGAAAAAGTAACCTACAACTAATATACAGGCAAAATTTATGAAAGAGTTAAGTGGATAAATAGAACTTAAGTTGTATAACTTTGGTTTTTGATATTAATAGTATTTAAACAGTCTAATTTTTTTCCTTTCACAAATTTTTCTTTTCTCAGGCATGTGATTGCTAGAACAGGAAATTATCTTAAGATTTTTAGAAACTATAGTTAGTTTTGTTTCTAAATGAAAAAAAAAAAAAAGAAAATTCTCAAAGCGCTGATTTTTTTAATGCTAAATTGTTTCCATACATTCTATTCAATTAAATGAAAAGGTACAAAAATCAGACAATCATTTTTATATACAAAATATTCATAATAGTTAAAGGAAGAAGTAAAAAATTTTCCGTATTTAATAAATAAATATTCCAATTAAATAAGAATACTATTATTGGTCATATTCAAAGAAAAAGATTCACATTCCTTTCATTCTCGCCTTTTGAGAGTCTTAATCTAAGCACTTTTTGAAAACATCCAATGAAAAAAAGCTCCTTTAAGGGCTTTTAAAAAATGAAGAAAGCACCTTTAAGGACGTTTTAAATACACAACGCACCACTAACAAATTTGCACACACAATATATTTTCACTGCCATACACTTTGTGTAATGTTTCACTGCGAAATTTCACGATGATAAGTTGTTAAAATATAATTTTTTCCGTAAAACAAATCAGTTCTTATACAAATAAAAGCTACGGCCAGATTAAATCGTTTACAAATGCATTAAAAATAAAGCCGTAACACTACATAACATCAGTTCCATTATTTAGTAGCCACACACTGCATAATAAAAATACATATTTTCAAATTTCTTATAGGAGTAGTTCAAATAATATATATACATACATCAAAAGGTGGATGAAGTATTTCAAATGCTTAAGGCAGTAAGTTTTCATAAACTAACAAGGCTATTAAATTGAGGAAAAAAAAGAAAAAAAAGGTCGCTCATCAATTGGGGCACAGAAACATGAAGCGTATTTCTTATATCACTCAAAAGTCTTAAATTTATTAAAATATTTTAGTTTGATTAGCAGAATTGGTCCACATCTTGGGGATGCTCCCGTATCGTGATCTGTCTTGCCAACTACAATCGACAAGGTGCCAAACAGATTTTAAACTTGCAATCTTCAAAAAAACAACAACATGTAGATGTTTGCCCGGGGGTGGCTACGAGTTATACCTTTCGAGTTGGTCCCTTTATGTGATGTTTTATTTTTTTTTAGTTTCTCGCAGGCCACTACCCGGAAGTTTCCAAGACCTAGCTATCATTCTGCCACAGATCACGATACGGAAATCTCCCCCACATCTTTACAAAGTTAATAAAAGTTTTTATATTTTTCAAAAACCTAGAGTGTTGAATGCCAAAGATCAATTTAAATGCATTTTACAGTTATTCTTGATATTCATAAAAATTCATTAAAAATGGCAATCCTTATTATAAATGAATGCAAAATTATGCTCATTAACTTTTATTCATAACTGAATATGAGAATGAGAACACATTTAAAATTGTTCACCAATATTCTGGCTCCATTATTTTATTTGTTATTTGGACTAATAGAATGAATACTATCCGTCATTCACCTCAAAATGAAAGGATTCAGTAAATATTTTCTATCATTAACACATTAATTTCGTTTCAAACTCTTTATTTTTACTGAACAGTTTGATCGATTTTACTTCTAATGCTTTATTTTTTGAATAACATAAGTTCATAATTAGGTGAAGATTTTTGACAATAACTTTCTTCAATTCATAAATAGTTCTCATTGGCTGAATTATAGTTCAACCCCACCCTATGAAATTTTTTTTATTCATTTAATTTGCTCAGTTCTGATTAGCAATAATTTTCTTATATTTATTAATTTAAAATATAATTAATTTAGTTTGATGAGTTATTTCGATTTGCAATATTAATTTACTCTAGGAGACAATTTGTAAAAATGAGCTTAATTTGCAACTTACAAAATGGTGCCAAGTACAGGGCAGAGGGGTAAAACAACATTTTTATTGAAATCCAAACTAGTAGCTTTGACCCTAGGTAATAAACTGGAACTTCCTCATCTACTAGAATTTGCTACACCATTTCCTCAACAATTTGATTTTATTTATAGATATTTTTGATACTACAATGAATTTCTTTTAACAAATTTTATTTTAAAATGCAGCTGATTTTATAATTCAGTGATTTAATTACAGGTGGTCATTCTATTCAAGCTAGCAGAATATTATTTTGATATCACATTATTAATAGAACAAATCAATTTCTACAGCAATAGATTTTATTGAAGAATCAAAATATGAAGGATTATTCATTTTAGCACAATGAAAGATAGTATTGTTTAATCACTTTTAACCATATAAATAAAATAAAAAAATAACAGAATCTTAATGAAGTTTAATTCTTACTTTGAAAATATTAAATTATAATGTATGATGATTGTGTTAATTAAAAACAGAATCAAGACTTTTATACCACACAGAATTTTTTTACCAGAAGCTATTACATTACAGCTTAAAACTTATTTATCTTAAAGTTTACCAATTTCAGATTTTATTGATTGGAAATCTTGCATGTAGTTTAATTATTTTACTTCCAAGATATGAAATTAATGGGAAGGTTTATGAATATGTCAGTCATTTGATCCATAAATAAATTTTTGTACCACATATTTTTATTTTAGTAAAAATTACAACACTTCAACCAAAAATCCACTCCCAACTTAATTATTTGAAAACATGGGATTTCAAAAATACTAATGTGAGTGGTTGAAATAGAAAATAGATGACTAATTTAAAGCCGATGACAGAATCAGAATAACAATAATCAATTATAGAAGAATTTATTAACGGAATTTAGATTAAACCATGAAATTAGTAAGAAGATAAAATATTATAATCAGATGACAAAAGAGATTTTTCGAAACGAGCTGTCAGGTATTGATAAAAACAAATGCAAAAAGGCTTGAGACACCTGTCTATAACTGGTATTGATTAAATGTCTGCAATGTTACATAGAAGTACCCCAATCAAAAAGATAAAAATTTATAAGGTAATAGCACTATATAAAGAGTTAAATTCCATTCCGATGACTTAATAAGGAATTATTAATAACTGAAATTAGAGGTTAATGCGTGGGTTACATTTAGTAGATATTCTGCACGCAATAACACAGATTATTGATTAGAAAACAAATTTTCACTAATCACTTCTTAAGCAAATGTTATTTAAGTAAATATTTCGCATAATGAGTCATATATATATAAATTTACACACCTTCGGCAATGACAGCAAGAAAGAAAAGAATACTACCGGTGGAAGAAAACAAAGATTTCAAAATGGACAAAGTTTTACGTCAAAAGATTCTCGAATACAAAAAAACGTCTGAAATAGTGTACTTGCTATAATCGCCAATAGAGTGCGTCTTGATCTTTGACAATGGAAAATAAAATTATAATTTGACAAGAAACTGTGATAACCTTAAGAAACACAGGAAATATATTTAAAAACATAACTTTGTTTTTTAAAATTTATAAAACAAATTTTCCTAATTAATTAGCACTTCAATCTCTCATTCTCCACATCCGGCAGAGGGCGCTACGAAAAGCCGACACTGACTAAACAATTTTTTAGGCTGCATTATTTTGGATGAGAGAACATTTTTGAAAAAAATATTAAAAACTTAATTTTGAAGCAAATTGAACCTCATCAAAATTGAAATCTGACACTCTAACATGGAGTGTTTAATTGGTGTGGCGTGCAAAGACTTTGTCATTGTAGCCACAGATAGGAATATTGCTCACAGCATTATTGTTGTTAAGAAAGGTAAATTCTAATTACTTAATGATATTTAATTTTTTTTATATCCCAAAAAGTTTTTATTCATCATATTCTAAAAGATCCAAATTAAGTAATGTTTCAGTCTGTATGAAAGAAGGTTATATTAATTAATAGAATATTTCTTAAATGGCACATTCAATATCTCTAGATCTGCTAAATTATAGTTACTAGTTTGATTTTATTTTTATTCAAATTGCTTATTTAATGCAGTAATCCCTTAGAAAATAAAAAATTTGTTCTTAATGTTCGACAATTTTATATGATGTATACCTTTTGTGATTATTGGTAAAATAATGAGGATATTTTTGAATCTTGATCTGTCACACCGACTACAATTGCCAAGTTACCGAATAGATTTTAAACTTGAACTTTTTTTTCAAAGTGTAGGTTTATCTAAGGTGGGTATAGTTTTACCTTTCGAATTCTCCATTTCTGTGAGGTTGTTTTTAGTTTCTTGTGCTTGTGGACTACTACCTGAAAGTTGCCATGCTTTGAAATTATTCTGTCACAGATCACGATACGGGCTACTTTTGGGAAGATTTCCATATAGTGATTTGTGGCTGAGTAATCTCCAAGTCTTGGCAACTGCCCTCAAAAAACTAAAAAGCATTGCAGAAAGGGTTCAACTCAAGGGGTATGGGAATATTTCCGTTTTGTGATCTGCCATGTCAACCACAATCTCCAACGAGCCTAACTGATTTTAAGCAGGAAAAATATTATTTTTAAATTTAGAAGTATGCTCGGGGGTCAGCTGCGAGTTATACCCTTCGAGTTGGCCCCTTTGTGTGATGTTTTTTTAGTTCTTCACAGGTCACTGCTTGGAAGTTGCCTAGACTTAACGATTATTCTGCCACATATCATGATATGGAAATCTACTAAAGTGNAAAAAAAATACAAAATTCTTTTTTTTTAGTTTATGAATCACATTATACCAATAATAATGATATGCATGAGAAAAAATCATGTTTATTTGAAATTAGATGCATAGAAAATTCAATTAATTGTCATCATGCAAGTCAAAATGTCATTCCGTCACATATGGAATTGCCCAGAGCCCAAATTACTTGCTTTGACCAAATTGAAAAGGACCCAATTTGTAAATCTTCCCAAAACTATTTATTAAGACTTGTTCGGATTTAAAACGCAATAATGAATGAGATTATAAAAGTAGAGATTCTGTAAATAAATAGTTAGTAAAAAAAAAATCAAGTTTTTATTTTATTTTTAAATAAGATGGGGAAGTTAAGTTCATATTTTCAATAAATTTCATTTTATTTAGATGAGGACAAGACTTATAAGCTTGGTGATCATTTGCTGATGTCAGTATGTGGTGAACCTGGTGATACTATTCAGTTTGCTGAATTTATTGCAAAAAACATACAGTTGTATAAAATGAGAAATGGTGAGTATATATATATGTATATTTTTGTTTTTGGTATAATTTTAAATTTTCTGAAAGCGTTAAAACTAGACTGTGAAGCATGGTAATACTACTTGCATGGGTAATGCTGCTTACCTCCATATCTTAAGTTCACAGTGGCTCCCCAGGTAACTTTAAAGAGCAGCATCTTACGAGGTGAAGAACTCTTGTTGAGTACATATATACATATATTTATCAAGTGGTTCATTAAATATTTTATTTATTGACTTTAATAAAAAGATATAAAATCATCAAATCAGTAGTATATTGGTGGGGGAAATTAAAATGTTTTGTGAAAATTGTAAAATCAAATTTTTTATTGTATCAAATGGATTAAATCCCTATATATTATTTTATTCTTCTTTTACTTTATCACATTTGACTACTAAGTGTAATTTAAGAGATTTCAGTAAATTATATCCAATATTCGATCAGGCTTGCTTAATTAAATATGAAATTGTCTGTTTTTTCCATTAAGCTAAATAGATAAAAATATTAAAAGTTCTGTTGATTTTTATACATAAAATTTCATATTTGTTGCAGCAAATCTATTTCTCTAGGTGTCAGTGAAATTGGTTTAATGATAGATTGGAAATTTAAAAAATAAGCATGTCTGTTGATATTATATCAGACAAAAACGGATCATACTTATTTCTCAGCTGACAATACTTGCACTTTTTTGGAAGTTTTTTCTGGTGATAATAAAATGAAAATTGCAACAACTGTAAGCAAAAATTTCTTAAATTTCATCAGCAGCACCTAAAAGCACATTAATAATAACGTGATAGTTTATATATTAATTAGGTATAGTAATGATCAAGAATATTTTTAACATTAAATAAAAAATAAAATCTTCCAGGTGAAGTAGGAAAAGTTTTCTACTTATATTTACTCTGACTTATACTTCTTTAGAACTGTCCATCATACTTTTTTATTATATTAAAATATAATTGCAAGTACTTATTTATGATGAGGTTAAATTAGGACTATCATTCGGCAAAACAGGAAATTTTCCTCTTCCCAAAAATGTAAGTTCGGCGCCCTGCAAATGAATCATAAGATCATTCAAAGAATGTTTTCCATTGATGATCTAAGAGTAATTTTTATCAAGTTTGTGTGTCTGAAACTGCAGTCAGCTAAAGTATTGGGCTGGAATTTATTTGACTGTTTTAAATACTTTTAAATTGAATTCTTAGGATATTTAGGTACAAAAAATGTGAAGTCGTAATTGAAAAAGTGAGAATATAGTCGCCAATTAAAAATTATTGGTCTCCAATGACAACCATTTTTACAAGCCCTAATTATCTGATATGTCAGAAACCTTTTTGCTGAGATCTTAACCTAGATAAGTAGCCTAAATTTTGTGGGGGGAGGGGTTCTTAGGTATATTGTGCCCTTAATTCTTGCTAGCTACACCTTCTGACTGTCGTTAATTGGTCTTACTCCCATGTCACATCTCCTTAGCTATTCACCACTTATTAGTAGGGAATTTCTCGTATTTCTAAGAGATGTTAACATCTGAAACTGGAAATAAGCTATGCTTATTTCCAGTAAGCTAAGCCTGCTACCACTCTACTAAAACAAAAGATATAAAATTTTATAAAAATTGAGAGAAATTAAATTTAATTCCACATAGCTGCGAAATCTACTGGATTTTGCCAGTTTCTCCCGGTCTACTGGTTTAATAAAAGTTCTCAATTTCGTAAATTTTAGATAATTCATTAAAATTTTGTAAGTTTCTTTAAAAAAATCCTGATTGATATAGAATTTTTATGTAATTAATAGCTTGTTTGAATATTTAAATAAATATTACTAATGCATACTGAAGCGAGCTTCAATCATGAAAATCAGTTTAGAGCATTTTTTTTTTCTTCTGAAATTTTCAGTTTATTTTTGTACAGAATTCCCTTTTTAAATTAAATACAATCTTCAATAGTAAATTACTTGTCTTACTATTCAAAATTATAAATTAACATATAAAAGAAAAAACATTTCAAATTTGAATTCATTTAACGTCAATTATAAATGGAAAATATTACAGACCATTTATAGTTATTAGTGTAATAAAGTTTTTGCATTTTGATGACAATAAAACTCCCTAATATTCCCTAATTGTAAAATATTTAGTGTATTATGTAATTGTTACCAAAAAAATTTATGTTGTTTTGCAAAGTCTACTGGATTGTTTCCTTTCCATGTAGGCAACTATGATTGCAAAATACAACAACTTTTGGTCTGTAATATTTTTATTTAGTGAATTTTCCAACCACAAATTTTTATGTATGAAACATTTATCTCATTTTTTTATTATTTTATTAATCTTAGCATTTTTCTATAGGTTATGAACTTTCTCCCACTGCGGCTGCTAATTTTACTAGACGAAATTTGGCTGATTTCTTAAGAAGCCGGGTAAATATGTTATTCATTTGATTGTTTTTTTTTTTAATTATTATTTTCGTTTTGGTCCAGGTTTTTGAACTTATTTCTAAGTTCTTGTTTGTTTAGGCTTTCTCAAGATCAAACCTAAAGAGTTTTAAATTTTGATATGAAAGAATTCTAATTTTATTAAAGAGTAAAATAATACTCTTTAAACTTTTAGTATGCATGTCAAAATAAATCACATGATTTACAACAAATAATTGTCATTCAGCAATTTTAGCATTAAACTCATTAGTGAATTATTTAATGTTTTCTATTCTAAAAGCAAAGTACTTATATTTAAATTTTGTTTTCATTACATAAATTATACTAAAGAACTTTTCTAACGTAAAATATGTTATAATTTGTTATTAATATGCTCCTTGTTATTAAATTTAACAAAATCTTGGATAATGTATAAATAACCACAGTAAAAAGTGCAACACATTTTTTTATTTCTAAAAGTAAGAAATTTGTTCTATATTTATAAAACTATATATTAAATCATATATAAAATAAACACAAAATTTCAATGCAATAAAATTATCCTATGGGCAGTTATTGGAAAATGATTTCATAAAATGTCATTTTTAATGATTGCAAAAGCTTTTTTTTTTTTCCTGCATTGGCATCAATATAATATGTGCTTCTATCAAAACCCTTCAGATTTAAATATAATTGAAAAGTAACTTCTAAGAAAAAAACTAAAATGATTGCTATTGTGTCATAGTTTTTTGTGTAACGGCAGGGGTCAGAATCTTTATACATCTGTGGTTTTGAACCACTTGAATACTGTTAAATTTTTTAAAAATAAACAAATCAACAGTTTTCAAAAGAATGAATTCATTGAATGACTCCTAATAAAAATTTTAAAAAAATTTGATTTGTTTATTTTAGCTTTTTCAACAAAGTGCAGCTTGAGAATTATTGCTTTAAAAATAAGCTAAGCTGATATTTATGTAAAGAAGAAGTATATTGTGAAAGAATTGCATTTAATACTTTATTGAATTGTAATATATTTTTTGTGTACATTTGTGAAGTGTTTTATTATGAAACCCTATTTATATTCTTTATTTAATAAGATTCATTTTTTCTATTGCAGACTCCTTATGCTGTAAACTTGTTAATGGCTGGATATGACAAAGAGTCTGGTCCAGAATTGCATTATATTGATTATTTGGCCACATTAGCAAAAGTACCCTATGCTGCTCATGGATATGGTTCCTTTTTTGTTCTGAGTATATTAGATCGCTATTACAGACCTGGTTAGTTTAACTAATTTTGTTTGTTGAAAAAGTCCTTAATAACTTGTCCAAAAGTCCTTAATAACTTTCAATATAATGATATAGAATTCAATTATTACGACGCAATCTTAATGTTTTAAGAAATATAACTAAAATTTGTAATTGTAATAATTTAAGCTTAAAAATCAGACATAAAATTTTACTAAGTAAACTTTTTTTAAAGCACATATTTACTGATTTTGCATCTCCTTCTCAGAAAAAATAATAACCTAAGTTAATCATGAAAAGTTGTTCTAAAAAGTCATGGATTTGAGCAAATACCCTGTTTTTAGTTTTCTCTTATCCTTTCCTCTGCACAGACTTCATGGGATCGGAAATGAGTTTTACATATTTGCATGGAAATGGAGCAAAAGACATATGGTCATAAAAGAAAGGCTGCTTTTTCAGAATTGCCATAGAATTTAAATTTTGCTTGATAAAAGAAAAAAAATATATAAAATTTGCAATAAAGATTTTTAATTTAATTATTTAATGGAGTTTTATTCTTAGTCAGGGCCTAATAGAAATGGATTTTACTACCGTTTATCGGTAGTTTTTGTTTTAATAGCAGTTTAAAAGCTGATTTGATATGAAGTTACTTTTTTTAGATTTTCATAAAAAGTGCCCATTAATAAATTTTTTCTACTCGCCAAGAGAAAATTTTCATGATCTTGGTCACAAATTTTTTTAAATTGCTACTTTGCAAGAAAACTAGTTTAATCTTTAGTTTATATTTGAAAAACAAGTCAATATTTTTTACATTAAAAAATGATGAAGTAAATTGTGTAACTAAAATTGGCCACTTTTGGTTGTATCTAAACAAAATATAGTTTGTCTTGTTATTTCTCAACAAAGATTAAGAAAGTTTCATATTCTAATAATTTTATTGTTTTTAGATATGAGCATTGAAGAAGGAATGGATCTTTTACGAAAGTGTGTTAAAGAAATAAATCATCGATTTCTGGTAAATTTGCCTTCTTTCAAAGTTAAAGTTGTTGATAAAGATGGAATGCGTGATTTACCTGACTTTTGTCCTTCAAATGTATGAAAAGATTAAGTGTTGTATTGTACTTTTGAAATAAACAACTTTTTTATTTACATATTATATGAAGTTTAATTTTATTTTATGTTTACTTTCATTTATTGGTTTACATACTATATAGTGTGCTTCTGTAATTTACAGTAACCTCCAAAAGATGTTGTCAATTCATATGCTAATGGAAATTATTTATCTACAATGTTGAAGTATTTATTTAAAAAAAGATAAAAAATGCAACTTACATGAATTTTACAATCTTAATAATAAAATTTAAAAAACTTGGGCTGCCCTGCAGACATTTATATTTGGAATGACATATATATATATATATATAATATAATCACACTTTCTCTATTATGAATATCATTAGAAATAAACAACTTTTATGCTCGACTGATGATCATTTGGAAACATTTTGCAAATACAATAAACCTACAAAAATTTAAATTTGAACTCAAATAAAATCTATAAATGCGAAGGGACAGATTAGTGTTTCTCAAGTGTTAGAATGTTATTTTGTTTGTTAGTATGCTGCTTTTTTTTTGTATACCAAAACTATTGTTTTCTTTTTGCTCACAGCAAATTCAGTACATGGTATAATAATTGCACATGTCTGGTTTAGACAAAAGTAGTAGAAATTCAGGATTAAGTTAACAGCATATCTACCAGTCTTTAAAAAGTCACCTGTTTGAAAAATTATTACGAAAATCCCGAAAAAAGTCACTTTACCTTTCGAGCACTTTCAGAAGTAATAACACAAATTTGAAATCTGTGTTTCGTAATAACATTGTATTAACATTAAATTATGGAAATGGCCAAAAAATTATTTAAAAAGAGCTATAGAATAACTCTATCTGAAAACGATGCGAATATTTGACGAAATCATTATGAAGCTAGTGGTTAATAGTGGTACCTCAAATTCAAGTTTCATAATAACGTAATAAAAACATTAACATTTAAAAAGCTTTGTGGAAATTACTGAAAAAAACTAACTACAGAAAATGGCATGAATGTATGTTGGAATCGAGGCGAACCATGCTCGACTGCTCATTAAAAAGTTATTACTCAAATTTGAAATTCGCGGATAATATTAAAAATACCAGATTTTTTTTTCAAATGAAATTTTAAAAAAAAACATGGAAATATGTAAAAAGAAACTATACATAATCAGCAAATTACGTGTATCAAAAATGCAAAATTGACTTGTCGAAATTTATGAATACCATGTAGAGATGTCTGGAAAATTACGTTCAGAGAAATTATTTTGCCTTTAATAATAATCGAAAGTCTCTTGTCATAATAACATTGTTTAAAAAACACCGGAATTTGAAAAATTGATACTTGTCGAAAGACTATTAGAAATGACAGAAATTCACAAACCAAAAATTTATTACTCAAATTCTGGAAACGGAAATATGAAATCGAGCGAATCAAAAAGTGATAGCTTAAATTCGAAATTCTTGAGTCGGAGTATTAAGAATATCAGAGAAAAAAATACGAGGAAATGGTATGGTTTTAAAAATGTTGGCAAATATACGAAATCGGAAATTATGTAATCGTCCCAAACTGAGCGCCATCAAAATAAAGAACTCAAATTCGAAACTCATTTTAACAGCATATAAAAATATCAGAATTTGAAAAACTATGTAGAAATTTCTAAAAAAGGGTAGATTTTCATGAAAATTAACGGAAATAGACCTTTTTAATTTTTTTTAAATATGTCAGACACGTTATTACAATTAAGGGGCTATCAAGTGTAAGAAACAATTTATCAGACTAATTTTAAGGATAGGAAGAGAGGAAATTTAGTTTAAATGAAGCTTAATGTTCCAATTAAGGAAGTTAAAAATTAATCAGTTAGAAAATTTCTCAAATAAAGAATTAAAGCTTTAAAAAGAAGCGGTCTAATTTGAAAAACAATAAAGGTGTAAATACTGATTTTAATGAAACTGGATGTTCAGTAACCCTTAGTCAAAAATCCCTAACCCTTAGTCAAAAATCACAGAGAAACAGTAGTTAAATCGGTAACTTTTTTTTCAGCATAACAAATAAATTGCAAAAGCTTAAATTTGCAACAATGAGCATACAATATATTTTTATTTAAATAATTGTATCGATTTTTTTAGAAGAATTTATACAAAGCTAATATTTCTTTAACTGTCATCTCATAACATATTTTTTTTATGAGAAAAGCTGGAAAAGAGATAATTTAAAAATGTTATATACTATTTCAAATCGGTTTTTGCATTTGAATTTTTGCTGCCTAATTGCTCTGTGCAACATGTCAAATTGCATAGAAAAATAACAATACTTGGAAAAATTTAACACAGTATTATTCCATATGTGTATTTGAATAATGTATGATACTTCTGAAAAACATGTCACCAATATAACAGTATATCTAGTTTATGGCTCATCAAAAAAATTTCTGTTTTATATATATCTATATTTTACAAATCACAATGTGAAATGCCTTTAATAACATTTATAAAAATTGAATAATTTCTATAAAAAATTAAAAGCAAGATGATGGGGAAAAAAGGGGCTGCGAAAATTAGAATTCTTTTACATTATTTTTTGTTATCTTAATTTATCAATACATATCTAATAATAGTTATTCAAATTCGGATGATTTTTTTCTTTTTATCCTTTAATTGAGAGAAGTCGAATGTATATTTTTTTCAGTGTAATTTGTAGTAAATTAAAAACTTGTGGGGCGAGAATTTCAAAAAATTTTGAATGAATTAAAATATTTTAAAAAATAAAATGCTTTCGCAAGATTAAATGTTTAAAAAGTTTGGAAATGATTTTAGTTAAAAATATATTATATAATATTACTTAAATAAAAATTTAATGTGACTACTGAAAAATATAAAGAAAGAAGTACTTTATTTGTATGTAAATCATCACAATTCCATTGATCTTTTTATTACATTAAGAAAAATCAAATTTACATATATATTCATATTAATAAATAAAACCATTTTAAAAAATAAATACATATATATCAAATTTTACAGTCATTAAAACTTTTAAAATATAAAGATTTCACAAAACAAAAACAACCAAATAAAAATTCATAAATAAAACAATGAAATAACAAAACAATACAAAAATAAAGCTTGGAAAAATACACAACAAGAGTGCTAGGATATCTATCGAAATATAAAAATAATTTATTAAAAGTTAGTACATAATCGCAAGCAGGGATGCCAACTTTTACATTTTGTGCATTGTCAAGCGAGAAGTTTATTGAAGAAGTGAAATAAACTATAAAACCAAATAATTAATTGAAATTTGTGTGATTAGGACAGTTAATTCAATTATAAAAACTTTTTTCACCCATCAAGTAGGTGCCATTCTTTTCTCTTAATGTGTGTAATTGTATTAAAAAATAGGCAGTGAAATCTTTGATTTTGCATTTCATTACAAAAAATTATAGAAGATTGTAATTTCATTTTCAAATAAATTTAACATATTAACTTTGAATAATATTTTAACTTTACCCTTTGCATTTCAGGATCATAAATCATGCCTTTTAACCTTTGGGTTTATAATTAAATTCGCAAAATTTACTTAAAATAATATTTGAGGAAGGGTAAGTGATTAAAGCAAAGTAGATATAATAAATAATGTTTGATTTCTTGTATCGATTCTAAATCTTTTACAGTGGAACCTTGATTTTATATCTTACACCGGGCTATATTGAAAAATGCACGAAACCGGATAACATGAAATCAAGGTTTAACAAATATGAGTACATTTTTCTAAAACCGACACTTACAAGACGAGCTACTAGAAAAAGTGTTTATTCTTACACGTTTTTTGTTTTTAAATACAAATTTAACAATAGCCCTCTCAATTGTTTGCAAATTTGCTTCATGGTTTACATTTGGAAATGTTTCAAAGTCTTACTGCTTTTAAACTCTTGATAAGTTGTGGGTATATCCACTAAAATTTTTTGCTTCTTTTCATCACTATCATCGGAAGCAGATATTTAATCAGATATTGAAGGAATTGAAAAGCAATGGAATGTGTGTTACAGTCGATATATACGAGCCATCGACTTCTGAAGATCTTCAGACGTGCAATTTTATTTTGAAGAGCCCATTGGATACTGAGAAGTAGTTAATGCCACAAAATTTATTATACTAACTTGAAATGTATTTTAGTCGACACTATCCCACACAGTAGAAATCAAATTTAGAGCTTCCAGAACACTATATATATATATANTAATATTAAATATATATATATATATATTGTTTTTGCTTTTGAAGCATCTTGAAGGTCACCGGAATTACGAAAAAGAAATTATTTCCTAGCCAGTTGTTTAGTGTAACATTCTTTAAATGATTGAAAAATTCCAAGATTCAAAAGTTAAAGTTTGTGGGGAAAAATTCCACAAAATAAATTTTACTAAAATTTTAAGCTTCCGTAACTTCCTTTAACCACCCTACTGTGCTTTGCCCATCCCACCACTGTTCTGCTTTTGACTCAATCAGGAAATTCCCTTTTACAGACAAAGGGACAATAAGATAGAATAGAAAGAATGTCCGAAAAGCTACTATCAGCTAGTAAACATGTCTCTTAAAAGAAAGAAAAATAAATAAAAGAAAACTCAGAAAAAGCTTTGTAAAGAAAAAATGATTTTGATCTGTTAGAAAAATGTATAAAGCAGGATTTTCTTAAGAATTTGCAACGCAAAATTCCGGATATTTAACCGTAAAACCAGGATTCCACTGTATTTATTTAAATGCTGTTATTTAATTATGCATAAATTTAGGTAATCAATAGTTTCATTATTATATTATAATAAACAGTACACCATTTTAAATTTTCACATAAATATATTCCATCCAATATGAGTCAAATTTAATAAATACATATACATTGCAGTCTATGAGGAAAAAAGGCAATTCCGAAGTGGCCCACAATGTCTTTTGGGTGGGCCAGGCCTGCATAAACTACAGTAAAGATTAAAAAAAGGACAATCCAATGTTTCAAACTACAATATTATTTTGCCAAAATGATATATGCTATATTATCTATGTAGTAGTGCTATATTATTATTTATGAACTTGCAAAGCAGTTACAAATTTGACAGTAATAAAACAATTTGACATCATGAATTCAAACATTTTATTTTAAATTACCTTTCTTAAAAAAACATTAAAAATAACTATTAGGTGAAATAGCTAACTAATACTACACAAAATAGATTATTCACATAGACAAGTGAAGTCTTGGCACACCCAAAATAAACTGATAACAATTTCTATAGCATCATTTCAATAAGGTACTTAGCCATAGTAAATTGTTTGAAAATTTTGCAAAATTTTAAATAATATGTCTTATTTGGAATTTCAAATTACTATCCATAATTAGAGGTTGAAACCTATTGTAACAACCAAAACTTCTTTGCAGTTGGCATACCCATGAAAAGCATTAGAGCATTCAAACAATAGCAAGTGTAATTCTTTAATGTCAAAAGGTATGAACATTCAAAGGACAAAAAGAGTTTATGACAATTAATTAATTCATCATCACTAACAACTATTGCATTATAATCACTCCTTTCCACTGATTAATCTCAAGCTTCACATTACTTGGGGAAAATTTTTTTTTTTTAATTATACTGGTGCTGCATAGTGATTTATTATATTTAACCCCAGTGTTTATTTTTAGAAGGGACAGAAACTTCAAACTAAAGTTAAGTTTTTCAAATGTAAAACATAATATTTATAAGCAAGTAAATTGCTTACAAGCAAGTAAATTGCTTATTCAATCCAAAGAATTGAACAAGCTCTGTGTAATACAAAAATTCAAAGAACCACAATTAATTCTAAGTAATAATAACGTTTGATTGAGCTTATTCAATTCAAATAATTGAAGATCAAAAGGAATAAAAACTCTGTGCATTTTTACACAATTTGGAAAGAATTGTGCATTTTTAAATACATTGAAAAGAATTGTGCATTTTTATGCTAAATTAGGAAAGAATAGAAAAATAAACTACTATTCCATTCAACCAGTTGAATATGGCTTATATTGTTTGAAAAGATACACACAAAATAGATTGTATTAAAAAACATTTGAACATAAATTATTAAGTTCAAATTTTAAAGTAAACGATAACATTGAGTTTAAAACTTTTATTCTAAGTAAACTAATGGAGATAGCATTTATATCTTCATGGATTAAGAATCTGACTTCGTTGAAAAAAAGGTACATGTTTTCAGAGAAATCACATTTTTTATGTTAGATTTTGAAACTTATCTAGTAGTTAACACTAACTAATTTAAATATGTTAGGTGAGCTTTTAAACTATGAAGATTGCATCTTCTTCACGTGCAATTTTCATAATCATACATCTTCTGGAAAATTATGAGCAGGCACAGTACACAAAAATCTGATCATTAGATCAAAATTTATTCAAAGTAAAGTTCTTATAGTTTAAAACTTTCATTAACCAAGAGCCAGCACTCCCCTGATTTGTATTCATTCTTGATCAAAATTAAAACTAATAAATAATAATTATTGCATACTAGTACATGAAAAAATTATTCAATAAATTTTATTCAGAGAGTAATGTTTTTCTTTTATTCAAAAACTACAATTCCATTTATTCAGGCATCCAGAGCCAACCAGCTCTTCAATCATATTCATCCCTGATAAAAAAAAAAATTCTGCTGAGTCCCATTCAAATCAATGCCAAGGTTAGAGTTGAATATCTCTAATTTGGCCTTTCATTCATGTGTCTAATTCATTATTCTTTGAATGCTCTAATATAACATTAAATTGATTTAAGGAGTGGGTGCTAATAAATGGGAATAAGCTGTGCCAACTGGATGAGTTGTCTCAGTGCCATTAACATCTGCAACTCTTATATAGCTACAAGAACTTGTCGGCTCAGGAGTACTCTTCTTAATTTTTAGTTTATTTGGGAGAAAAAACAAAACAGACAAAGCGATCGTAGCATGCCAAGCACTATGGACGTAGGCATAATTATCTTTTGTTTCAAAGAATAGATAAATCACTAGACCAACCAAAGCAAGACAAATCCCAGGTACCAAACGAAAAAGCCAGGTTTTGCGAGTAGGATGGCATTCTTTGGTTTTATAACAGCGCATAACCTACAAAATAAAATTGTAATTAGTATATAAATGAACCACAAACAATCAATACTAAAAGAAAACACAAATATTTTTAATTTTAAATAGAAAAAACTTCTCTGAAAAAACGCGCTGAAAAGCAGCAGAAATTTCAGAAAAAAGTAGCAATAAAGAAAACGAAGGAAATAAAAATAAAAATATGACCACCGAAGCCGACGTCTTCAGGGGGTACCGGCCTTGGTAGCCATAAAAACAAAACCATTTCTAATTGAGGGAGAAGCAAATGCCTAAATTAACTCCCTCAGTACCCCGATGGTTTTGTATAGAAGTTCAGGAAAAAACATGCAATACAAATAACAAATTAAGAAAAGAAACTCAAACAAAATCATCAGAAAAATAAAAACTCACATAGTCACAGGTCAAACATCGATTTCACAAGCAAGCCGAATGAAAAGAAAACACTAAAAACTAAAGAAAACAGCACCCACAAACAATCAATGCATATTTTTAAAATTTCAAGTGGTTAAAAGCATAGACTTTGATAAATTTTAATTGGGCTACTTTAAACACTATAAATATAGAATCCTAAATTAAATCTCTCTCCTTTTTTAACTTCAGCTTTAATAAGTTGAATGGAAAAAATATGATCTTACAAATATATATAATTTATGTATGTTTTATTTCCAAATTTCTAGTTATAAATGCTACGACAAACATTGCAGTTTTAAAGAATAAGTCTTCAAAGAGTTTTTGTAAACTGTCTTCAGTCTGTTGTGACAGCTGAAGCTTCTTTTACAGAAAACTGCAATCATTCGTAGAATGACACAAAAACGTTATGATCTTTCGCATATTCATTAATCTTGCTGGATAATCTTCCCTGGTAAACTTCTTCGGCATCTGAGTCACTGTTAGTAACTTAAATTTTGCCCGCACAACATGCATTTATTTATTAAATAGATTTAGGTTTACATACATGAAGATGCTTCTTCATCTCCAACATCCCAAATTCAAGAATTTTTTTTCTTTGTAAGGCATCAAAAACATGCAGATATGTTAACACATCTGTTGACATAGACTGCAGACTTTCCATGATGCACATTTTCACTTATTTAGTTAATTACTCTCTTAAAAGTCAGAAACTATTGCACTTCAATTTAAATTTTTCTCAACTGAAAATTCACAACTCCATGGAAAATATAGTCTTTTAAAAGACAAAACTTACTTACCAGTTCTAAATATTCAATCACCTATGGCGAGCTGACAAGTGGTAATTTCGCATAATGCATTAGCATATAGTATTTTTTATTTTTGGAATGATTCTATGAACATACTCATGCAATATTAATGTAATCCAATGTAACTTCAAAAAAATTACAGCATATTAATGGCAAAATTATAAACTAGAAATCTATTTAACCTAAAATTTTAGTTTTGAAATAATAATAAAAAAAAACATTTTCTTAGATTTTTGAAACTAAAAAATTTAGATCATACCAGCCCTTTGATATTTTTAACTTTGTTAATACTTGTAATATGGCTAAATTCTAAACAAATAATATTAATTTTGAAATGCATTCATTAATCTTTTAATTGAAAGAGTTATGTTTATTTTCAAGATAGATTGAATACATATATTAATCTAAGTACTTAATTCTTTAATTTTTTCTATTCTTTTGTCGAATTTAAAGCCACTACACAAAATTTACTTATTTAATGCATTTATTAACTTCATAGTTTTAACGTTAATGCTAAAAAAATACCACTAATGGTGCTTTAATTCATTTATGTTTCCATTTTTTCATCTGGCTTTTGAATATCATTATAAATCAACTGAAACATCATATATTTTAGCTGGTTTATAACAATAATATTTAAAGTTTTTCTTTTCTTTATAATATTGCTAAACTATAAAAGGTTACATTTTCTTCACGTATCATTAAAATAAAGAAAAATCACAAACCCAAGAAGTAAATAGAATTAATAATCCACTTCCAGTTGGCAAAACAAACACCAATAAACCAGTACGATCATATTCAACTCCTAAGGCAACTCCAACTGCACCAACCATGTGGACAAATGACTGTACAGTATGTGGCAACTGAGCCATAGCGATGAGTGTTACCCAAACAGAAAGAACAGCAAGGTAAAAATCGCAGAATTGGAGAACAGTTATTCTAATCAAGCAGTATGAATAAACTTCAGAATCACAAGCATGATAAACCTGAAATAAGTGTAAATTTAAATTATAAGTGTTTTATAAATCTTATCTAAACAGAATATCTTAAAGTAATTGAAAAGTTAATTTAAAAACATTCATAGAAAGTAGAAATATAGAAAAAACTTGACGATATAAACCTTTTCCGTCCAAATATCTCTGTCAGGGAATAATTTCCTGTTTTGTGACTTTTTTTCCATTTCTAATGATGTGCTGTGATCAACATGATAAGATTAGAGATTTTTTCCCAATATTTGCCGCACTACTAACTATAACGTTATAGTATTTAGACAGATATATAATTCCAGACAGTTGTCTTTTTGTTATGAAAAAAATTCCACCCGCATAAATAGCATTGCATTGCGTAGTGGATACTATTTTTGATATAAATTTATGCAAAAGGAAAGGGCTTATCCCCTACATACTGAGCGTTTTCATGGCAGTAATAGAAAATATTCTTTGACCTACAAAGAACTTAAACCACTTTAAAAGCAAAGTAAGTTTCCAAAAAAATAATAAATTCATAAATCAAAGAGTCATAATAATAATAAAATTTCCAAATTTAAAATAAATTTGATTTGTGTAACTCATTGATGAAAATGAATAACTGAAATCAAAAACATTATCTGAAAATTTCGATTATTCTAAGTAGATTTGCTTCCAATTACTTTGAATAATAGAATTTCAACTGCAATAAGAATCAAAAAGGGAAAAATTTCATAAACAATTTAGAATAAAGAAAATTAAGCAGATTCATCCACTTTTGAGTGTTATTTCAATACTTTCTTGCAACACACAATCTGTTATATGTCATGAAATACAAGTTTCCTAAATATATCAATAAAAAAGTCCTAATTCACTGCTTCCTCAAGAGTATGTAGTGCTCAGTATGTTAACAATTCAGTGTATAACTAAAACTTTGATTAAAGATTTACTTAATGAAAACATTTTATATTGTTAAAAAGACTGCATAAAAATACTAAAATACCATTAAAAAAATTATTTATGACAAGTACAAAAAAAAAATGCTTTTCACTTTCAACATTAAAAATCTTTCGATACCTAAATATTTTTTTATTCATTAACTAAATAAGTGTTTAAGTGAGTAAAGTGTAGATGCTGTAGTTTGCATCTACTTTTTGCAAGGATATCTGCTTTTTCATTTCTTGGGATATTGTAGTGGGGATTCATTGAAGAACAATTTTCCACCCAGTAGAAATTACTTGATAACAAAGCAATTTCGTTTTTTAAAAAGGGTAAGAATCATTTATAGAATATGAAGTAATAGCCAAAATTTCAGAGAGGGAGTAAATAAAAACAATATCTTTCTAAAGAGGTGTGCTTAAATTTAGAAAACATAAAATGCAAATTTAAATTTACAATTTATGGCCTTAATCTCAGCATCAAACTTCATGGCATTAGAGCAAAAAATGCATTGTATATAGTATATGTAGGTAACTTATTTATTTGAAAATAATGTACACTGAAAAACACAATTGAAAACTATATAAAAGAAAGATAAAAATATAGCAAAATACATAAAGGCTTCAGTATAATATATTCGTGGCATTAGAGCCCACAATACATAGTACATAGGATACATATATGTAATTTATTTATTTAGAAATAATAAGCCCTGAAAAACACAGTTAAAAACAATTTAAAAGAATAATATAAACTTACTGCAGATGAAATCATAGTAGCAAAGTATATGAAGGCTTCAGTATAATATTTCCTGTATATACTAAGGATGACAGCTGGGATGAAAAGCATGTTGCTCAAAGTTAATAACAACACATCTGTTAGTAGCTGTGCATCTGAACGAGCAGTACTGTTATCAGTACAACCCCAACCTTTGTATCCTAAAAAAAATTTCAGAAACAAAATTAGGTATTTTTCAAAACAATTTTTGTAAGTCCATAAGTTATTAAAATCATAAAATCCAAATTATTAGAAAATTATTACTAGAAGAATTAAGCTTTGTTATTTTATCCTATGCCATGCACTGTTTTGATATCTAATACAAATACAAAGGTATTTTTCAAAACAATTTTTGTAAGTCCATAAGTTATTAAAATCATAAAATCCAAATCATTATAAAATTATTACTAGAAGAATTAAGCTTTGTTATTTTATCCTATGCTATACACTGTTTTGATATCTAATACAAATACAAAAAACTAAAAAAAAAACATATGTCCCAACAATATGTTTAGTACCAGTAAGCTATGTTTAGTGTATAATTATATTAGACTTCTTTAACTAATATTATAAAGTTTTTAACTTATTTTTGTAAATGAGACATTTTATTTAAGTATTTTAATATGATAAAAAATAAAGTATATATAAAACCTACCTGCAATGCAAGTACATGTACTGAATATAAGACCTCCGCTAACATACTGATAGCATGTTCCATATTTTCCACAATTTCCTAGAATACATGGTGCTGATCGAATTCTTAAGTATATGGGGATCTTTGAAGATTCACAAGGAACATAACTGCATAAAAACAAAATTAGGAAATAAATAAAATATCTATATTGTAAATATAAGATAAATAAATAAAATGAGCATAAAATTATTTATAACAAAATGTTAAAATAATAGGATGTACTAGAATTCTATAACAGAAAACTAGTAATTAATAATTCAATGTTCAATGTGGCAATTTAATTTGTTATTATTACTACATTTTTTTTAATGGGGGATTAAATGAACAAAACATTTCCTTTCCAATTTTTTCCTGAAATTAATTTCTTGCAACCGCTGCTCACAGTTTAGGTACAGCTTAAGTATTAAGCTTAAAGTATTATGTGTAGTGTAAAATAACATGAAATTAAACAAATAAGTTTCCATTTGTAATACATATTAAAATCAATAAACATAAAATGTTAAGTAATAGTTATTTTTATATTAAATAATAATTATTTTAGTATAAACACACATACAATTTTATTTACACAATGATATTCCACAGTCTCCAAAATATTAATTTATAACCAAAAGGCCATCATTAAACATCTAGTAATAACTGATTGAATTAGACTTTTACTTTAAAAGCAGAATCAAATCATCATCATAAGCTCATCATGTCAAATCGAACTTAACCCTATCAGGGTTAACTTCAATTGATTAGGGAATTACTAAAACTTCGAGGCTACTAACTACTAAGTATATAAATAAAAGTTTAATAACAAACAGGCAGCAGAATGTAAAATGAATATACACTAACGTTTGTAAAAAATTACAACACCAAGAAATGGAATTGTCTCAAATTAATGAACCTTTTCTACATATTATTGATAGTAGTATAAATAAACATGCATAACAATGGCATACATTCACAATCACTTTGCAATTCTAATCATTTTCATGCTTTACTTCATTTTACATTTCATGTAATTTTGTTTCAATTTGCATAGTTTTTCATGATGTTGCAATTTTCCCAGCAAGAGTGTGTACATAATATAGTGTGTAAATATAATATATGTGTGTATTTGAGTGTGTATATATAATTTATGTGTATATAAAACAATAGCATGAAACAAAAAATTTAAAATAAGAGAAAGTTTCTCTTTATTTCTTATTATTGAAATATTTAAATGTAACAGAAACTATTCAGCCCCTAAGAGAGCCCCCCGTTTGAACTGAATCTAAAATCAGAAAATATTCTTTCCTGACTAGCTGTGTAAGAGAAGTAGTAAATTATTGAGTAATTAGATGAGATGTTTTAGATTTCAACTAATATTCTAAATTATGGTTTTTTGACAAAACATGGGTCCAATATCCTAAACTTTATCTTTATAGATCATTTTGAAAAATGTACAATAGATGGATATAGGTACAGTCTTCATACTCAATACAGATATTTTTTTAACAGAAAAATTCATTTCTAGATTATTTGCCTAAATATTTTTTTTCATTTTGAAATATTGGATCATATATATGTAATATATATATGATGATGTATTTTAACAAACCCTGAAGGGTTATACTTATTGCAAATAAATTATGCAATAAGTATTATGAGTATACATATTACACATAATTTGTTTTATAGATAAGTAATATATTTTAACTCAGCAATATGTTTTTTTCTAATCGAGTACTTTATTTTTTTCATGTATTTAGCTCATTTATTTATCATAATTTTGTTTTCAAAAAATAGATTACAAAGATGTTTTACTTCATATTATTTGGTAAAATAATTAATTGCTTGGAAGTAATAAAGTGTGAAAAAATCTACGTGGTGGGTATAGGAGTGGATTTTTTCATGAGAATCCAATCTGAAAAAAAAAAAAAAAAAAAAGAANAAAAAAAAAAAAAAAAAAAAAAAAAAAAAAAAAAACTAGATTTTTCTGGGCTAGGCCAACCTTTGCGAACCCTATTTGTGTACCATAACCCATGTGTTGTAAATTATTGCTTTAAGCTATTAAATGGCCGTGGCAAATCAAGGTGTGCAGAGGTAGTCCATATGCTACAGTTTAAAATAATTTTTAGTCTAGTAGTATAGCATAGTTTTCAGAATAAAACATTACTTTAACATCAGTAATAATTATTTTCTTTTCTTTTTGTAATTCTAGAAAAGTTTTCATGACTTTATTATTTGGCAACCCATGTTCTGACTTTATTATTTCTCAACCACAAACTTTTCGATTAACTGACACACATACTAAATAATACTGAGCCCAAAAAACTAAAATGGACACCAAAACAATAGGCTTAAGCCCTAAAAAGTAAGTCCAAATTTACATCTGATACATAAATTATATTACATATTTATTCAATCTAATAAATGGGGTTTGCTTTATCCCTAAGAACACAAAATATAATCAAGCTGTGCAGCAATGTGACTGCAATAATGTTCATAAACTGTCAGCTGAGAGTAAACCAGAGACTTTTTTTAATCCCTTCATTACCTCGGTCCACATATGTGAACCTTCACTTTTTAGTTTCAGAAAATATGTTGTATAAAAATTCATAATTTTACCTTCACTGAAACATTCATGGATAGCTAAGATTTCTGGGAATTTCACAATAGATGCAAAACATGCAAGTTATTAGGGTAGAATTCCACATAAACAGAAGTGATTTTCAAAAAATGACACTAAATCCACATGCTCAAAAATGTAACTAACTTTAAATATTAACTAAAATTAAATATTAAATATTAACTATTAAATATTTATATTAATATTAATATTTAATATTTAAATATATAATATTTAAATATTAAATATTAACTTTTAAATGTAACTAATTTTGTAACTAATTTTATATAATTTAGTCCTAATCTGAAAAGAATTTTTTTTCTCATTTAGTAATTCTGTGATTTGCATGAAGCTTTTAAATTTATATTTAATTAATATTTAAAAATAATACAGTTAAGAACATGCAGGTCCATGTATGTGTATCAAGGTATCGTACGATGAAATTTATGACAGGAAGAACAAGAGAAATCTCATAGCATTATGAGATCTATATAAGATATACCTATTTAGAGAGGTATACCTATATATCGATTTAGCAATACTTTTTGCAATTTACCTTTAGCAGCAATACGTGATTTGAATAATTAAAATAGTTTTGAAACTGAGATTTAATGCAGCATTGTATTTTGCCTAGAAAAATTCTAATTTAACTCAAAAATTCAAATTTGAGTAATGATGTTTAAACTAAAAAAAAAAGGAAAAATAAATAAGGAATAAATAATCTAGTTTGCCATGGGTCCCTTCATTTATAGATGTAAGATTTTAAATTGAAATAAGAAAATTCATTACACATTCTATTAAATAAGTTATAAATTTTTGTCACCTAATGTTGGAAAGGCTAGCAGTATAGCATTCTGCTTTCAAACGATAGTACCAAATGCCAGCTTCCGGAAAAGGAATGAAAACTGTAGAAAATCGCTGTTCCCATGAGGAAGTATTGACTGTCATAGATTTCCCATCACAAAGTTCATTACCTTCGGGATCAGGCCTAATACCATATGATAAGCAACCAGACACAGACACATTGCTAAGTGAGAAATTCTGTCAAAATAATCAAACACAGATTTTTAAACAAAAAATCAAGATGAATTACAATACAGTTAAAAACATAAGTTGGAAGATCCACAATTAAATTGCTTAAGATAAAAATTTCAAGTGCAAACAGTTTGATACATCTACATTATTATTATAGAGCGATAATTAGTACATGCTAAATCATATTGAGTAAGTATATTTAACGTTTAATTTCTAATGCTTTAAGTACATTTGAAACAGAAGAAAAATAAGTGAAGTGTAAGAAAAAAAAGAACACAGGACTATTTACTATTTTTATAAACTTATTTAAACTTATTTTAACTATTTTTATATATAGACTTATTATTACATACTTAAAACTTTTGCTAAATAAACACTTTCTATACTGTATGAATTTTGGAAAAAATTCATATCCATGAATAGGACATATGTATTTTATTAGGAATAAGAGATCTTAGATAAAACAATAAAGAGAAATTTTCCATAAGTCCACAAATCTTTTAAAATAAAAAATCAGAGTGTGAATGCCCGAGGCCTACTGTGTCCATCCCAGTTTTCTTGACTTTGGAACAAATCTTTTAATTCATTGGTGTTTACCTTAATAATTATTTCCTGGTACAACAATCCATGATGGATCAGGATCTCCCAAATATTTCTATTTCAAAGCAATTTGCTTCATGCTTTCACTTTCTAATTTCTTATTTTCAAGGTGTTGAGGTATTTCTCAACCTCATTCATCCGATTCTTCATCAATTTTGTTGACCATGTTATTGACCATTGCAGATCTTTTTTGTGTGTTCGTTGATATTTTATCGATGTGTCCATTGTATCCATTGGATTCTTTCTTATTTCATACAGTTTATTGTACTCTTTTCTTTAAACAGCTTTTGGATTTTATGATTGATATTGCAAATCTAAAACTGCTTTTATTCCCTAAATCTTTTTTGTGCATTTGTTGACATTCTATCTATTTGTTGATATTTTATCTATGTGTCCCCTCCATGGGATTTTTTTTTATTTCATACAGTATCCTTTCCTTTAAGAAGATTTTAAATTTTATGGTTGTTATTGCAAATCTAAAATTGTTTTTATTCCTTAAAACTTTTACAAATAAACAGATTTGTGAGAATCTTTCCACTTCTCTATCTTACCCCAGTTCCTTACCTGACATCACAATGAAGAGATTTCCTACATGCAAGACCCAAGTTAAATAGAGTCAAATTCTGAAATTTTATTGAAAGTTTTTTTACTATTAGCACTTGTCATTTTTTGTTTCTGTCACACTTTAACATAATTGACTTATAATTTAATGAAAATAAAAATAAAAGAGATTAACAAAAAAAATCAGAGTTAACTTATATGCTAGGTGAAATGGAAAACTAATATTCGTAAATGCCGATCCTAGTTATCTGAAACATTAAAAAACTTGACTACTACAAACTAAAAAAGTTTTTATAAATAAATTATATTTTAAGAATAGAGAAATTAAAACAGACAAAGGCAGTTTAAAAGAGATAATTAAGACAGTTTTAAATTTCACTAGTTTTTAATAATTAATGCTTCATAAATTTATTTAATTTCACAATTACCATATAAATGCAATAAAAATATATTGTTTATTTTGAAAAATATATTTAAATCAAATCTTAAAATGTTAAATAAAAGTAGAATTTTACTTAATAAAATAATTAGAAAAAATTCTTTAAAATCTGACTCAAAAACTTATTATAAATACTTAAATTTTTTGTCTTGTGCTTTTGATTAAGTATTAAGATAGAATGAGAAAGGATAATGACCTGAAAGTTTTAAGGATGAGCAAGGACAATGTTCTCTGCTGTAGAAAAAAAAATTAGCTATAAAAAAGTCAGAATTATTTTAAATGTAATTTAAGTGACTCAGATACTAACGCAAAATGTTGACATTTTTTTCTAAATAAAAATAGTTCACAAATTTGTCCAAAATAACTTTTTTTCAATTAACTCATAATAAAATTAAGATTCCTGAAAATGAAATTAAAGAGTCCTGCTTTATTTTTATAAATTATGATGCAAACAAAAGTTAATTATTATGTTAAGTGAATGAAAATAATATTACCATGAAAGGTGACACAGCTAAATCTATTGACAATGTTCCACCAATATCCACAGTCGGCAAAACCTGGAAACTTGATAGGGAGTACACTGAATCTGATATATTTAATATAAATGGATATATATCTTCTTCTTCCGAAAATAAATTATATTCAAATGCTAAATTTGTTGAAAATGATATGCGCATTAAAGGAATTTCTGGCCAGCAAAAACTGTCATTCACAGGACTCTCAAGTCTGTGCAAATATGCACTCATGGCACTAAGTTGAGCAAATGTTTCAATGCTCCAAAATGAACTATCAGAATTGGTATTTCTGCAATCTAAATTTAAAAAAATTAAATTATTAATAAAATTATAATATATCAATATAATGCAAGTTTTAAAAGCATGCAACAGAAATCTTTTCAAATTTTAAAATTTGCAAAAACAACTTTACTAGTAATATCAGGAAGATTAAAATACATAATGGCAACAGTCTCTTCCTCTCTAATTGTTCATTTATTGTTAGTTTTGTGCACACAACTCATTCTAAATTGGTACTAACAGTTTTTGCAATATGATCCAGCAAAACAAAAAAGAAAGTTGTTTAAATAATGCCCTTAGTATTGGTATACGATCATTATATTTCATTTCATGAATTGAAAACTTATTTTTAGACATAAGGAAAGAAGGCATTATTAAAATTACAAATAAATATGTAAAATAAGAAAAATATAACATTTGCACATTGCATCGATAATATTAAAATTAAAAGTTTGTCTGTGTATCTCTCTTACAGCTTTAGAATCATTTGAGCTAGCGTCCTGAAATTTGACCAGTGGATAAAAGAGGCAATATTAGTCCCCAATTCTAAAAATCGTCAAAAAATTACAATTAGATTGTTTGGGAGATGCGTTTGAAAAAGATAATNTGCAAGTTTCAAAAGCATGCAACAGAAACCTTTTCAAATTTTAAAATTTGCAAAAAAAACTTTACTAGTAATATAAGGAAGATTAAAATACATAATGGGAACAGTCTCTTTCTCTCTAATTGTTTATTTATTGTTAGTTTTGTGCACACAACTCGTTCTAAATTGGTACTAATAGTTTGTGCAATATGATCCAGCAAAACAAAAAAGAAAGTTGTTTAAATAATGCCCTTAGTATTGGTATATGATCATTATATTTATGAATTGAAAACTTATTTTTAGACATGAGGAAAGAAGGCATTATTAAAGTTACAACTAAATATGTAAAATAAGAAAAATATAACAATTGCACATTACATCCATAATATTAAAATTAAGAGTTTGTCTGTGCATCTTCAGAATCATATGAGCTAGCGTCCTGAAATTTTACGAGAGGATAAAAGAGGCAATATTAGTCCCCAATTCTAAAAATTGTTAAAAAATTACGATAAGATTGTTTGGGAGATGCGTTTGAAAAAGATAATTTTCTCATTGATTCAAAACTAGTCAAAGATAGAAATTATACAAGAGATGATTCTGTTTTATTTAATAATTTATAGATAACATCAAAGATGTTTGATAACTTACAGCTATAAGGAATTTATTGCACATTCTTTAATATTTAATTACTTTTTATTCTGTGTGCCAGATAAACTTAATGATCAACATGGTTGTATAGGTGGTTTATAAAACCACCTACAGGAAGAAGCCTTCAAATCTATTATGATCTAATCAGTAATAACCTAATAATTCATAAAAACATATTTATGGATAATGATAATAAAATTATGATTGTGATTTTACAATTCCAATAAAATTTTCTTTTAAAATAATTAAATAAATTTTTGTGGACTTTTGTTTAAAAAAAAACTTGGTACCTTCTGTTTCCAAAACAAAGGTTAACTCTACAGAATCTGTGTTCAGATTTTCTATGGAAATGTAATTCCAATCAGAAACTGCGGGAACAAACTTCAGCATGCACAAATCTGATTCATTGCAATTGACAGTTTTGACATCCTCAGAAGTTGATGGTAATCCCAATTGCCGAGCTCTTATAATGACAGGACATTTTTCAACTAAGGAGCAGTTGGTGATAGATATTTTACTAAACCAACTGATTTTAGGAGCGAAAAACCTAAGAATTTAAATGATATGACTAATTAGTTCAATCAAGAAATCATAAAATTTTGTTGCAAAAACTGAACATTTACATTTAAAACCTCCAACAATTATGCAAAAGTCTCACTTTGAGCTATATATATACATAACACAATAAAGACAAAACAGATAAAAAGAAACCAGAGAAAAATTAAGAAAAATAATGAGTTTTATTAACTGATGTTCCATGTATTCCTCTATATTTTTAACTCTCTCTCTCACACGCACACACACAAACACGTGTGTATATATATATACACACGGTGCTGTAATTGGAACGAGATGTTTGGGAGAACTCATCTTTTTATAGGGTATACGTCATAGTTGATTGGTTTTTGCAAGGCCAAAAAAACAACCAGTTTAAATTACTTAGCCAACTTTAAGTTTTTTAAAAAAAGCAGATATTTATTTTTTGAAAAAGGGGTTTACTGTCAATTAGCATTATTGTTATTTTTGGTGAATTTTTTTAAAATTTATATTATTTTTATTTTTTAAAATACTTGTTTTCTTTCGTAATTTATTGCAGGTCTCTCAAACTTCTGAAAGTTTTAAATTTTATTGCTAAGTATGAAAAATAGCATGCACTAAACATGTCTAAAATTAAAAAATTATCCTTTAAGCATTTATTGAAAAATTTAAAAAATGTCAAAATCTGAAAGTGTCTCTTCCATTACTGTAGGGTAGCGTAATTGTGTGAGCTGATGGCAGGATTATATCTTTTCTTTTCCTTATTTTGTTTTCCAACTTTTTTTATTTTTTTAAATTTTAAATATATTTTAACTTATTTTTTTTCTTCTCTTTTGAAAAATCTTTAGATTTTTTCCATATTCTCCCTATATTTTTAACTTATTTACTGAGTTCTGTGTACTTGCAGTTTATGCGTAGTGAATAAAACCTATTATTATTTTTTCTTAATTTTCTTCGTTAATCTCTCTTTTATAATTTTTTTCATTATTGTGTTTTTATATATATATATATATATATATTTAGTTTTGCTTATTTAGTTTTAAATATATATACAAATATTTAAAACTAAATAAGCACAACTTACTGCTAAAAATATAAGTACAATGAATTTAAATTATAGGAATGAAATTTGGAAGCTACTCTTCATCATTACATTTTATTCTTTAGCAATAATACTCATGATAACTTATAGTCATACTCAAATATATTGGTTTTTTTGATAGTATTACTTTTAACCCAGAATAAAATATACTTACTTATGTAAGAACTTGATGGTTGATAGTTTATCAAATTCTTAATTCATCAAATAAAGAATTTGATAAATCATCTATCACTGCACATTGCTGGGACCTTGAGCAAAAATTTAATTTCGATAATGCCAAAACTATTCCCATTCCTCTTACGTTGGCTTTACTTGAGGCTCTGGAAATTTGTTTCATTTATATGAATACTGATACCCTAGTTAACCACATGAGTTACTTGCCCCCCTTCCATAGCTTTTGAAAATGTATCTTTCCCTAATTTGCCTCTCTCGGCTATCGCAGTTTATTAAGTTTTGCTTTGTAGCTTTTTCTAACCATTTTCCTCAGCAACTTTGTGTTTTATTTTTCAAATCTGTTTCATTTTCTTCAACTGGTGAGCATTGAAAATGGACACCAACTTTCAAGTCATCAAAACATGTCTTCTTATTCCACCATATGTTTGAAAAAAATGCAGAGCAAATGTAATTTTTACATCATTAAGAATATTTTCACTTCAGTTTTTTGGGATTATTCATTTTAAAACAAAATATTTATCAATAAAACAAGCTGTAAGCATGATAAAGCTATTATTTATGAATTAGATACTTTTAAGAATAAAAATAATTATTTACATGATTGGTAGATAATAATAATAAAAAATTTTTAAAAAACTACCCATAGCTGTAAGCATGATACAGCTATTATTTAGGAATTAGATACTTTTAAGAATAAAGATAATCATTTACATGATTGGTATAAAAAATAAAAATAAAAAACTACCTATAGCTGTAGGCATGATAAAGCTATTATTTAGGAATTAGATACTTTTAAGAATAAAGATAATCATTCACATGATTTTTAGGTAATAATAAAAGAAAAAAAATAACTACCTATAAGTCTTAGCTGAAAACAGTTGCAGAGATGTTTCTGAATTATGAAGCAGGTTTGCAATATTATCTGCCATGGACATTTTTAATGAAGTGGATAGGAAACTCTGACATGGTACAAAGAGACCCTAAAAACACATAATTCAGAACAAATTAAATAAAAGTTAAGGTTTTTTTCAAAACTTTATTGACATTATAACACTATCTCAGTTCCTCATATTTAATCTTTTTAAACAGCTATTCTGATTTTCAATTGTTCTATAAACCTAAGTTTCATTTATTTACACATAGTCTCTATGTTGACACTACCCAAGAGAAATATGAAGGTAATATTAATAATTTTTTTTTAGTTTGTTCGGTTACTGAATATTTCTGAACCTGCTTCAAAGAGAGATAATAAAAATTCTTAAATTATTAGAATTTAACATTGGCCTCGCTCATAAACTAATAGTATAAAATATTAATAGCATAAAACATATACTATCAGTATTTTTTCTGGGAAATTATCTTGTAATTTATGCTAACTTATGATTTAAATTTTAACGAGATTCTAAATATTAACAAAACTTTTTATGCTAGTATAATCAAGTTTTTACTATGATAAAAATTGAGTAAACATTTAAAGCTAGGAAATAAAAACAACAATAATAATTAAAACAAATAGAGTAATTTTCATGAAATTTTCTAATATTTTTTTTTATTGAATCCAAAATATATTTCATTTTTGTATTTAAATCTTAAAGCTCAATTTACTAATATAGCTCTTTCTTAAAGTAGATGAAAGATAATAAAATAAAAACAAAAAATAAACTTACTAGACTTTATGCATGTAAAACAGACGTATGCTATATAAAACAAACACACTAATGCAATTAAACTTCAAGAGAAAATAATTGACACAATTTTCTCTGAAAAAATTTATTAACCATTTGTGCAATTTTTCTCACTTGCTCTCAAAAACATAGAATTTACATCTAGTGACAAAATTTAGTTCCTCTACAAACTACTAAAGAAAAATTAGTTTTTTTTTTTAAGTAATAAATAGTATAATTTGCTTATTTGCCCTAAAATTTCATTATTTATGTACTTTTATCAAAAAAAAATAAAGAAAATATTTTAAATCAATAAAATATAGCTAAAATTTAAAACAAATTAAAAAATTACTTTTTGTGAAATCCTTTCAGTGTTTTCAACTAAAAATGCAGCAGCATACCAATTTCCAGGAAGAGGATTTGTAATATTTATAAGTACTGGCTTGGCATCAGATAGCAATGTTATGTCATGTAAGTACATTCGTTGGACTACAAAGAAATTTGGATATGAAGAATTCTGCAAACTCATAACTGGATAACTTCCATATTGAAGATACCTAAAATATATTACAAGAAATAAATTTCACTCTTAAATTTATCAAACACGTCAAAGATAAATTTTAATTTCAGAATTCCACTTATTCCAAAAAATTTGAGTTTAAAATCGTACATTTATTTGATAAGTGAAGATATCAAATGCTTCTCAATACAATTTATTCTGCATAAAATCTTTTAATATGTTCTGAAACAAATTTTTCAGTACTACAATCCTTGTCCTTCATAAAAAAAAAATGTTTGCTCCAAGATCTTTTAATTTTAAAAAGTGATTGATTTTATAAGCAAGTAGAAAGCTTAAAAATTATTCAAAATTAAACTTCTAATGCAAGTACACATTAAAAATTAAATGAAGTACTATCTTTATTTATTATTTTATCTGTTTTTATGTTTATTAGAAACGTATTAAAATATAAGCTATATATTGGCTTGTGTTTGCATTTCTTTTTTTTTTTCAAGAGGATAAATATCCTTTAAAAGAAAGCTCAAAAAAGTTTATTGACTGTATTTTTATCCTAAACAAGAAAACACCTGATGTTTTCAATCAGATGTCATAAATTTTTTTTTAAAAAACACTGTTAAAAGATTATTTTTAACCTACTCTAACATTGTAATCACCAAGTTCTTGCGAAATTGATTTTTAAAATCCCATAAAAAACATCTTAAGTTATTGCTCATAATTCAATTAATTTAGTTGATATAAAACAATATAAATATGCATCTCAAAATAAATGAAAATGTGTTTTTTTTAAACAAAACACTTTGTTTAATATTTGATTCCATTCTTAAGAGGAGAAATTTATTTTATAATAATATTCAATGCATTTATTAAATATTTGAGAACAGAGAAATAACAAAATAAATAACATCTATTTTAAATATGTACTATACTACGTTTATTTATGACTATATTAAAACCAATAAAATATTTATTAATTCATAATTATAAAAAAATTATTTTAACCAACATAATTATAAAATTCAAAAAATGTTGATACAATTTATAATGATTTTGTTTAAGGAAAGTTTTAAGATTATACTGAATCTCTGCATATCAGAGTAATTTGGTAAAGTATTAAGCAACAATTACTTTTAATTTATTATTTCGACTTTAGCAATTATTGCTTTAAAGTAAGGAAAAGGACACAAATTGCAATTACAACAAAATTTCAGAGTCTTTTTTTTTTTTTAATTTTTTTACAATTTAATATACTTATACTTACATTTAGGATAAAAGCATAACTATTAAAAAAGGCAACTTACACAGCAATAGTTTTAAGAGGACAATGAAAGCTTCCATTTGCTTTATACTGAAATGATGCAAATGTCACTTGTGGTGGAACAGTGTACTGGAATAGCTGTATATCTTTATAAGATCTTAGAGGATAAAGCTGGCGAGCCTCTAAGATTTGTGTTTGTAAAGATTCTAAAAAATGAGTCAGAAAAAGGTAAGTGAAAAGATAAAACATTTTTATCAGCAACTTAAAATTATATTTTTCAGTATTAAATTGAAAACTTTTTTTAAATCAATAACGACTGTCCAAATATATATAATTCCAAGAATTATTCAGAACAGTAAAGCATGGCTTGAAGAGATGTCGTGGTGCGAAGGTGCATATCAATATCAGGACTAGGAATTTTGGTATATATACTGATGGCAAAAGGAATTAAGCTGTTTATTTATTTTAAGATACATTTTTAAACTACCAATTCAAAATTTAGATTTTGGAAATAGTTGTGTTTTATAACAATAAAATTGTTTTGTGTCCATGGCTCTCAATGTTCACCTTTGGTGTCCCTAAAATTGTACACAAGATTGGAAAAAACGATTTCCTTCACCAGATTTAAACCTAATCGAACATATTTGAAGAGAATTGCAGGCTAGAGTACGAAAATACAACATTGCTGAAAAGCTAACTAAAAAACAATAATGATCAAAGCTGGATGAGCATTGATACAGAAATTATAAAAAAATAAATAAAAATTAGGGAATTAATTTAATTCTCATAATATTACAATGTTAATTCCTGTATCCAGAATTCAGCAAATGTGAATAGATTTTCTGTCTAATAGACCCCAAGTATAAAGAAAGGTCAAAACAAGTTTTATACAACGAAGAAAAAACAAACAATGAAACATTTTTTTTATTGTTAAAAAGACATGTTTTATTACCATATATAATAAGCTTCCCCCCCCCCTAAAAAAATGCTTGAAAAGATTACTTGAATGAATACTTAAAATATTGAAATCAGATGCAGAAATGACAATTATCCTTGAAATTGAGTTGATGGGAGAGAAAATCTCTCAAAATGTAAGAAGAAAATAGCTTTAGCTCAAAAGGTAATAGAAAAGTGACAAATTCTTTTTTTCTTTGTCCAATCAGCAGACAAACCTAAAAAAGTAGAATGTTGATTTCATTTTTCTTTTGTGCCATAAAGAATCAGTGGTTCCTGAGTCAGTGGCTATCAAATTAATGTTAAGAAGCTACAGGTTGATTTTGTTTTTCACCTCAATTTATGCGATGGGAATGTTTTGCGCATGTGTGAACAGTAAATGAAAGGTAAACGATAAGAAAAATACATCAAGGTGCTTTATGAAATAAAGTAAAAAAATTAAAGTAAAAATTATTTTATTTTTTTAGTTAGAATACNTTGCGCATGTGTATCAGTGAACAGTAAATGAAAGGTAAACGATAAGAAAAATACATCAAGGTGCTTTATTAAATAAAGTAAAAAAATTAAAGTAAAAATTATTATTTTTTTTTTAGTTAGAATACTAAAACGGCTAAAATAAGGCAATGTTTTTTTTTTTTTTTCATTAAGTAACTAGAAATATTGCTAAGTTGTGTTTAATCATTTAAAAAGTAATCTGAAAAACCTAGTAAATTATTGTATAACTCAAAACATAATTGACTCTGCTAGTGAAGAAAAAATCAAAAACCATTATGTATTGTATAAAATTCACAATGCATCGAAATAAAGCTAAACATACATAGAGTAATGAAATAAATCAGTGTTTTCACTACAGCGCGAGAACGCGAGAATCTCGCATATTTTTTTCTTNTTGTCAATAACATGTCTAAATACATGTGCGGCCCTTCGTTAGCCAACCTGCTGTGCAAGTGGCCCTTCACTCAAAAAGGTTGTGCACCCCTATCATAAATGTATTATATCTGAATTAAAATAAGTTCTTGCAGAAATGTCAAACGAAAAAATAATTAATGTAAAGAAAATTTTTTACATAAAGCAGGAAAGAATTTTTAACACTTCTAGCAATTTTTTCAGCACTTTTAGTTTAAAGTCTGCACTTTCTCTAATTTAATTTTTAAAGTAAAAAGTGTGGTACTTTGTTTTTCAATATAAAAGAATAATGGCTTAGGTCAGGAGATGCCAAAACTAGAGCACAAGTGCCACACAACAAGTACAAATTAAAATATTTTTTTACTCACATTTATTTAACTTGAACTTTTGGAAGAAAAGACAAACACACAACTAACAGTCAACATATGCAGATTCAGAAATGAGGGGAATATGGACACCATTATGCGCTAGTATGAAGTCTAATAAGTGATGTAAAGCTAGTATGAAAATATATTTCAATAGTTTAACGCTTCATTATGCTAAGCACCATAAGCAAAAGTTTAAAATCAAACCAAGAGCTAAAAGATTATTTTTTTTTAAAAATATAAGAAGTGACACATTGGACTTCTGAAAATAATGAGCCACAAATATTAAAAATTTATTTCAAAATTAAAAAAGTTTTTAAAAGAAATATCAATATTTTTCGTTTATTTACTTCTTAAACTAAAAGCAAAATTAAAATAATAAAAAACTATTTCATTAAAAAGATTTCTTTAAAGAGAAAAGGTCTGGATTTTTTTTTTAAAAAAAAAGCCTGCTTAGGGTAAGTCAAATGGATTGAACTGATCAACCCTGGCTGCCATTTAAAGCCTGATGCAAAAGCTTGATGCATTAAAATGCTTAATGTTATTAATTTTGTAGGAAAATTAATAACAATTCCAGTTAATTTTTGTAAAACACAATTAACTGGAATTGAATTTCACAAGAATTTTTTATATCATTAAATCACAAGAAATTTCTATATTATATACAAATATTTCTATATTATGGTCACTTTTGGTTAATTGGGTACATGAAGATCCCCAAGTAAAACATCATCCCCAAGCTACTTTAACCTGACCCTGAGTAAATATTTAGTATTTTTATCTTCTAATGTTAAAATGAATGCTTTTTCTATAGAAAATTATGCAAAATACACCCCTACATAGAGCAAAACCTATTGAAATCCATTATAACCAGCATGAAATATTGTATTACCTGAATTTATATGTTTTAAAGTAAAAAGTATAGCTATTAAAATCCAGATTCTTGTTGAAATCATGATCACAAAGTAAGGTTAACAATTAGACATTTTTAAAGATGTATGTATATCTGGGACTCTATGTTGCACAAGTATTTCTTCATTCGAAGAAAATTTCAATAGGTAAAGAAATGTAAACAAAACGAAACCACAAAAATAGATAGCTTTTAGGTATGACCAATTTATCTCTAAAACGATATACTATGTTTGTATAAGCTTGTAGCTTAAGTATTGCAGTGTACTGTGCCGTTGAGGCTCTTCTCACAGTTCCTGTATTCCTCCGTTCCTGTGTTCCTCCAAGTACCCGTTATATTTTTCAGTAACAGATACCGATATTTTTAGTGATAACGGTTAATGATCGCGTCGACCCGTTCTTAAAATAACGAAAACATTTTTTTTAGTCTTTCGCATATCAGAAAAAACGTGTCATTGACTTGGTTCACAACTAACGTATGAATTTGCAGATGAAAATTTTTTATGGATGATTTTATCTTTACTCTAATCAGTGATGCTCCCATATCTCTCTCATGGAAATCGGCTCTCAGTTTGAAGACGATTTTTTTGAGGAGCCAATTCAGCGTAAAATAGAGAAATCCAAAAGTTATGTGGCTAAAGTTTATAAACCATACGTAAGATTTTATTACAATTTTTTCTCCTTCTTTTAGGCTGTCTTTTTGGAATCGTAAATGCTTAAATTTCTGAATTACTCGGTATGTAAACAAGGAAAAAATGCTGTTATAGAAATTTATTGCACTTCTTCCTCATATGTAAATTTTCCGATCGTTAAAGATAACATTGGGATTTTATTTGATTAATAAGCAAATTTAAGACGTCTGACAAAAATTTATTGTAATTGCATGTGGCAAAGTTATTGTTGTAGTTAATGTTTTAACAATTGCTCTTTACAACTTAATACTTAAGTAATTATTGAAAATATGCTGTCTAATAAAATATGCAGGTTATCTGTTCATTCCCATAGTGATAAGTATTCTAAGTTCAAAGAGACTTTGAAGGGGATCTGAACTTGTTGTAAAAAATTTATTTTAAATAATTGCATTAGATTTCTATATTTTAGAGTTTCCTTAAACTGCAGTCTTTATTTCATTAGCAGTCAATGCTTAGTGCCATGAAAATTTCTGCAAATGTACAGTGGTACAAGTTTATCCTTTCATATATACAGCTGTTATGAATTGCGATAAAAAAATGGTTATTGAAAAAATTTTAAAACTAATGAATTATTCATTTTTTTTCTAATTATCTATTTTGTGAATCAATTCTAAAAATATCCAGTTTTTTAATTAGTCTATGAATTTAATGTTAAGTAAATCAGGATGAGATAATGATATTTCTTTATATCAGTGGCAGTGCAATGATACTATTCCAGGCTACCTAATATTTTCAAGTTTTTATGACCTGTTATGCAGAAAGGGTTGTGCAAACATGTGGTTTAGTATGGAATAGACTAATTTCCTTTGAGGTTGCTTCGTAAATTTGCATATGCTGCTGGAGTTACCAATGTTATATTTTATCTCTATATCGGAGTGTTAAAAAGCCATGCAATTTCTATTCAAATCAGAATTTTTTTATTGAATTGTTGGTTAAAATTATTAATCAATATTAAATTATTATTTTAAATTTAATCTCTACAAAGCATAAGTAATCTTTATTAACATATGAAATACTGATGCTTATTTTATCACTAAACTGATAAAAATTTCTTTTCTCACCTTAGCAACCAAAAACTGTTAAATTCTAGATGTTTGGTCTGACTGATGCTAATCACTTACTGGAGATTAGCATCACTACTCATGCTTTGTCATACATAAGCAATAAATATATCAGATCTATTGTTTGAAACGCTTAATTGTAAGTTCTGCTGCTATCTATGCTTAAAAATCCAACTTTTTCACTGAGCAGCTAGAAAGTGGAACTTAACCTTAAAAAAACATCAGTGCACGGTAGACTGAGTAAATATATACTAGGCAATTGCACTTTCCCTTAGATTGTCATCAGTGCATAGTAGATTGGATAGTGGCACTTAAACTTAAATATCAGCAGTCTTATACAAGGCAAGTATATAGCGGGTAATGACACTCTTACTTAATTTAACAAGGTAAATTTTTTAGTAAAAGTGTGTGACTTTTTTATTATTATTTTATTGCTCACACTTCTATTAGGCAATGTGCGGTTAGTCATGTTTGTTTATGCTTGATATAAACTTTTGGTTTTATGATTGATGAAATATTAAATAAGTATTAATATCATTCAATAAAAAAGAATTTTTTTTCACTTAACCTTAATTTTATAATTATTTTGGTGACCATATAACTACAAATTCTTGTATATTCTTGTTTCGTCCGTCAACACCCAATTGCACATTTGCTAACAATTGGCATAGTAGTAGAAGAGCCTTGACTGCACCAATGTGTTTTGGTCTGTTTGAAGAATTTGACCTCAAAACTGGAAGAACATATTAGTTTGCTAGGAAAATTATTTTTTGTTTTAGGAGTTCAAAATCTCATTAAAAGTTTAACAGATTTTCTTAACTCCTTGGCAGTTTCGCAAATAAACAAATGTAGGAGATTATTTATCATTTGCATTTATACCAAGTCTCCTGTTTTTTAACAAAGACTCCTGTCTTTTACAACTATCTACTGTTTACCCGTATATTCTCAAATTATATAATTCAAATTTCTCCGTATTTGTAGAACAGAAGAAATTTTTTTAAAAAAAAAGGAATTTCGGCAATAAAATATCAGCTAATGGTAAAAAAATACTTCTCTTATTCCTCAACAGTGCTATTGCCATGTTTGTAGTTTAGGTAATTATAAATAATGGTTTAAAAATATCTTCTTTAGATTAAGATTTTTATATACATATTTGTTATATTACTAAATGTAAGTGCTTATATTATTTCTGATTTTGAGTTACATGATTATGCATGATGTATCAAAACTTTACTTGTAGCCCAGTGTTTTCACTATAGAGCGAGAACGCGAGAATCTCGCGTATTTTTTTCTTTTCTCGCATTAAAAAATTATTACCGCGAGAAATTCGCTCATTCTATAAGCCAATTTCAAAATTCGCGAATTTCTCGCATTTTGGAAAAAGTTTCGAATTACGCCATTTAGAATAAAATCCGTTTCACTTTCCTTCCTGGATCTTTCATTATTTTCAACATCTGCCCCATTATCTACCTTCCCTATTTACCAGTATTGTTCAGAACCTTTAAGAAGAATAGAACGCATTTCTCTGCAACCACGTGTTTACCGTAAGTAAGGTTTCTTCATGCAAAACGTTCAAATTTTTTGAGCATTAATGTAAGATGGACAAATACCTTGTAAAGGCAATAGCTTCTACTCCGAAATGGACAAATGAAAATGAAACAAATGTGGGTAGAAACGATCAAAACGAAACAAATACGCATTTGAGCAACCTAATGAGAATAGCTGATGAAAAAGTAGATGTAGAACATTTTCCATATGATGTGCAGCAAAAATATTCAATGCTTTAAAAATTAGAATGTATTTTTTCCAAGTTTCTTGGTGTGTGTGGTTTTTTTTTTTTTTTTTTTTTTTTTTTTTTTTTTTTTTTTTTAAATCTTACTTAACTTTTTGAAATCTCACTCTGTTTTTGAGGAAGAGTGAGAAATTCTCACCCATTTTTTTTTCTGCGATGAAAACACTGTAGCCTAAAAAATGTCGTTAGTAAAATCTTCGTTATTTTATTTCTCTAAAGTTGCTGGTATACATATATTGTATCTAATAATAGGAAAATTGGTTTTGCTATCAGGAGGAAAATGCAGTTTCATCTAACATGATGCCAGAATTAACTCCAAAACTAAATTAATCAGAATATATCACAAATTTCCAAATAAGCAGTTGCTCAGTAAAGAGTGATTTGGGAGTTGAAACCATTACCTAAAATTATCCACACAAATGTTCTCTCTTGCAGCATTAAAAACAATATCCCAATCTTCGTTGCAATTATTATATCAATTTTGATGTGTCGAATAGCTGCAGTAAATCATTTATTAATAACTGCTAGATGAAGGTAAAAAAATGTCCAATTATTCTATTATAGGAAGAGTTCATTTAGAAAAAGGTGAAGCTGATTAAAAAAATTTCCATAAATATAATTTCTATAAATAATGTTAGGTGAATTGTGTATCAATAAAGTCCAAAATTGAGATAAACATTCAAATATTAATTTAAAAAAATAAATAAATGCTAGATAAATTCCAAATGATGTTTAATAGACTTTTTTTTTAGCAAATTTATAAATATTTCCCATGCTTGTCCCCTCTCTTCTACTCAATATTTTATTGATGTTCTTAAAAATCATGTTTAAAAATAGTTTGCTGTTTGAATTTATGGATATTAAATCTATCAAATTTAAAATCCCTTTCAAACAAATGTTCTAAAGATGCCACTGAGTGTGTGAAATATTTGATTTTTATTATTTTTTCTTAAAAATATAACTGAATTATCTATTTTTATTTTTTTTTAATAGATTTTAATATGACACTTTTTTTTATATTTTTCATTACCAAAAAAAGTGTTACAGCACAACATTGATAAATAATAATACTCTTTTGGGAAGGAAATATCTTAACTTTGAAGGAGTTGAGTAACCCAATTTTCTATTAATAAAATTAATTTTATCTAGAGAAAGTTCAAGACATTGTTTGTTATCTTGGATGTGCTAAAAAAATAATCAGGAAGGAAATATCCCTTCGCTAAATTTATCTCTAAGTCTTGTGAAAGATTTATAGTAGTGCATTTCAATCATTTCCACTCAACTCTTTTATCATTTTAATTAAGAAAAAGAACTCTCGTCTTATCTAATTTGTTGTTACATTAAATAATTGTGTCAGTCTACTTATTTTTGTTTAAATTGTTCTGATCTATGAGGGTATTGTTTTTATTTTATATTTTAATAATTATGCACTGTTTTACAATGATTAATTTAGATTAGTTAAATTGTGAATTAAAATATTGTTTCTGACTGTTTTGTTTTATGAAAGTTAATATTTCTATTGCAAAATTATTAATATATTGTTTTCGCTTTAGTGGTTCATGGAGTCTGTACTAGGAGAGGAAAGTTCTCAGGAGGTCCTGGTGACCCTGAAACAAAGAGCTAGCTTCCATTATCGCAGCAAAAACTATGCGAAAGCAGCTGAGGCATATGGAAAATGTTTAGAATTGGTTCCTTCAAGTAACAATACTTGGAAAAGAGAGTTTTTAGAAAATCTAGCTAGATCATTTTTGAAGCTGGGTGATCCTGAAAAAGCTTTAGAATGGAGCTTAAAACTGGTACAAATAATTTCTTGCTGCCATTTTTTTTTTAAAGAATTTACTTATTAGCTGTTAAAATTTAAAAAAAAAAAATTTGCATTGCAGTAGAGTTGAAAACTAATGTAATTGGTATTTTTTTTAAAGATCTACAAATCTCATTTTTCTTAAAAAGCTAAATTAAATATAATTCACTTTATTTTTTGTAATACATAGGTTTAAGTTGTCTGTGGTGCAGCTTCGGGAAGACCCTATAGTTCATCAAGTTCAATAGAGAATTAATAATTTATGGCAATCTATTTAACCTCACCAAAATAATTTGAATAATAAATAAACCATAGTTCATACTGAAATCCTATTACTGTATTTTTTTATTACAATTTTGTTTTCTACTAAATTCATGATCAAATTCAAATTTTTTTTCTAGCTTAGCAACTGTTATGGTTACGCTATTTACTAAATATCTATTAAAATGTGTTGATTATATAGTAAAACTCATTTTCTTGTTTTTAAATATAATTCATTTTTTATTGATTGCAGGATGAATCTTCTATAAATGAAGATCAAAAAGTTATTTCAATGAATTTACTTGCTTCAGTGTGTCATAAATTGGGTAAATACAAAGGTAAATATTTGAAGTTAGATTGATGTGATATCATTCATTGATTGTTGTCATGTATATATATACTCATGGATCTCAGAATCGATCAGAATAAAAAAGGAATGTGTTATGGATGTCATATGTTGCTCATTTCAATGTTCAGTCGTTTTTAAAAATCAATCATGGAAAACTTATTGCAACAACTCAATCTCAAATTCTGTTTCATAACCATAATAAGCATTTTTTCCCTTGAAATAGTTTCATATTCACCTCTAAGAAGCTTCTTAAATAAGTCAGTAATTATAAAATTGTATAGTTGTACTGTGAAACCTCACTTTACAGACACTCCTATAAAACACTGCATCTCATTATGAGCATATTTTGAATTCCCCGTGAATCTTTAATGGATAAACCATTATGTACCCTCTGCACAATGCGGACAGTCTTGAAGCGTGGACGGTCATTTATCGCCCAGACCTTCTTTTTTTTCCTATCTTTTTCAAACCAGATGCCAATTATTCTAAATTTTGAGAAAGGAAAAAAAAAACTACTTCTGTTTTAAATTCCAATTAAAAAAGAAAATTACCCACATTTTTAACGCATATCATTTGTGTGCTTTCTCCATAACTAAAAATATTGTTAAAGCTCTGCCCCCTCTGAAAATTCCTTTCTTTTAATCAATTTGAACACAGCTGAGTTAAAAAGAACAAAAATCCAGTCCTTAGGATATTTATGTAAAATTTTTCTATCTTGGATTACAATTTTTTTTTACATAGAACAGAACTAGTGGATAAATTAGCATAACAAGAAGTATAATTCTAAACTTTTGGATTCAGCCTGGACCTGCAACAGACTGTAGAGCTATAGATGGAAAGAAAAATACTTAGTATATTAATCTTCCTATTGGTGATTTGCTTCGAAACTCTAAATTCGTACCATTGCTAAATTATTTATATTACAAAAATTGTAGTATAATAACCAAATAAGGTAGAAATTTTTAATAATAATTTGTCACCAAAGCTTCAAAGATTTAAATTTTGAAAGCAATTTTTAAAAGTTGATAGATTAACAATTAAAAATTATAATTTTCATAATATTAGAGAAATTTAAAATAAGCTTAATGTTTGAATAAAGCACAAAATTGAGCTTGTGACATGTCCCTTTTTTTTTTAGCTTTATTTGTATTAAATATTCTAAGTGACAATATATAGTTTGTTTTTTATTAGTATATTATTTCATTTCTGTGTGTTTATATTGCTTATTATTCATGTAAGGGTTTTAAATAATTCTTTTAATTGCAGAAGAACTTGAGGCTCTACATTCTTGTATGCATGCACACAAGGTGTGTCCTGAGTATTGGCTGAGGCTTGGTCTCTGTTATGCTGGACTTTTTAAAATAAACTTGCCTGGGTTTTCATTAACAAGGGCAGAAGATGAAGAGAGTGAGTCTGAAATGTGTTGTGCCTTCAATTCGAAACAATACAAGCTGCCTTCCACACACCTACCTAAATTAGTCTCGACTTCAGAAAGTGCCAATTCTTCTCCAAATAAACAGCTTGATGAAAACTCAAGTCCTGCTATTTTAGAAGATGACACAGTTAAATGTGATTTTTGTTCATTAGGGATACAAATTGTATCATCGTGCCTTATACGTACTAAGTAAGTAAATTATTCTTTATTTCAGGACTTGAAAATTATATTACCCAGGCTGAGTCAGCCTTTATATATTCGATCAGAAATGCTTCATTCTCTTTAATTCCCCGAGTCATGATTATTTTTGATTAAACAAAATACTTTAATTAGTGTGCATAAGAAAATTACTTATAACATTTTTAAAAAATAAGGGAGTGCACATCAGTGGCGTATGCAAGGGAGGGGTTTAAACTACCCCACTGAGCTCAGACAAAATGGCAAAAATAAACATTTTAGTAGAAATTATGCGGGCTATTATTTTTTAAGACTATATATTTTTATTTGCGTTATGCCTACTTTTTTTTTCTCACGGTATTTCTCAGAATACTGAAGAAACATTTACTATAATAGGGTTGTACTTTTGAAACCAAATTCACGTGATACTGTGACGGACTGGTTCCTTACTGTCCTGCCAGTCGCGGCAGTTTTCGGGACTGGCTGCCATTCGCGAGGTCTTTACGCGATGATTCTGGAATCCTAGACGTTCTGTCGTCCTTGAGACAATTCGAGAATTTTGGAGATGCGGTGAAAAATTATATAAAAGCGGGAACGGAGTACAGTGGAGTTAGTTAGTCAGACTAAGTGTTATCTCTACCGTTTGTCTTCCGGAGTTCGTCGCTAAATCTGTTTTGTTTTGTCTTAACAAAAAGTTCATTCAACCGCCGAGCCCGTCGTCACCACTATTTCGACTAGTGAAGAAATCAGCAACAATACCATTGGAGATACTGTGCTCGTTGAAGTTATTCATTCCAGCTCGAAACTTTGAGATAGCAGCATAGAGGATATTTCTGTGCAAATATATATATATATTTGATCTGATAAATGTGAAAGTGGCCCTCAAAGTGTTACTTCCCACCCATATGACATTGGACTTTTTTCAGAAGATATTACATGCGAGAGGATATTACATTATGTTCTTAAACTTGAAAAATTAAAACAAAATTTAACTAAACAATGTTGTCTAAATAAAAAGTCAAAATTGTCTAGCTGTCTAAATTAAGGGAAATAATAGTGCTTTATTACATACTCGTATTTCTTTGAGTAGTTTCAGAAAATTATGAACACCCCCCTTGAAATACATCTTAGTTAATATTTTTTACTTCAATTTTATATTCAAAATAATAGTATTGTAGACATATTTTTGTTAATATTATTATTATGATTTTTTTTCTTTGGATATAGTAATGATAGGTACTTTCATATATTTTCATTAATGGTTGGTTAATGATATTGGTTAGTGTCATGTCATGGACAGAAATAATTTTAACTGTGATCAAAGATCCTATATACAACATCCTAATGTGATATTAATAGGTATGTTTGGGCATGTACTTTGTGAACAAATATGCCCAGCATGTTGCAAAGATAATTTTTAACTTATTTTGTAATGTGTTTAAAATTATCTTTGCAACATTCTGGGCATATTTGTGCTTTCTTGTGTACATTGTCATTGTGTTTAATATGCATGCAACAATGTCAACTATGTATCATAATATTAATTATATAGTATTAGAAACAGCTGTAAAATGATTTCAGAATACTCAAAGTAAATTTATTAACAGAAATGTTTAAATATACCTATTAGGATAGAATAACCAGTTGTCTCTTTGAGTTTGCAAAATTTACCTTTATTCCAGCAAACATATGCTAGAACTCAGTCCCTAATTTATATTTCTGATTGAATTAAAATGGTTTATTAAAGCACTGAGAAATTTATTAAATTAAGTGGATGAGTTTCAAAACAGGTAATCTGCATTAGATTTATTATCAAGGTTACCTATTTTCTGACTCATTGATTAAATTATATCATGACAATTTATCAGTTTAGCTATCTATTCATTGATGCTCAATTTCCCTTTTCATTTTTGATAGCAGATGACAGATAATAATTTATAGCTGAGATCAATGAACTTGGTTACAATTTTTGCAGTGCTGTTGGTTAAAGTCTCTAATTAATTTTACTAAGCTTTTCTATTCATAACTTACTTATTCAACTTTTTTTACTTATTCAACTTACACTGACTATCACTTGTATTTACTTATTACATTAACAGCTTACTTGTGTATTTTTCTTTAAAAAAAAAAAAAATTACATTTGTAATTTTCTTCCTGTTTTTAAAGTTTTTCACTGCGAAACAGAGATATAATAATGATGTTCAGCAAAGTATATTAATAATATAAATAGTTATGTTTTGATCTGAAATTAAGCTTTTGCAATATTTTCTTAAACTAAAGTGGTAATCACATTAAATATTACAAATTTAGCTTGATCACTATGGTTTTTTTTTTCTTCTTTTCTTACGAAAAGTACTTTTTACATCACAACAAAGCTTCAGCAGGGAATACGTTTTAGTTTGCTATGTGTTTTTCTTAGTTTCCAGTGAATTATTCTTGTTGCCAATTAAGTCTGAATTATGAAATAAATACCTCTTATTCATTTCAAATTTTATATATTTACAGAACATTAATAGATTCTGGGGGACTGAATCTTCTAGGTGGTGAGAAAGATGTGACAATTAAAGAAAAGGTTAGTAGTAGTTTTAAAATATGTATGTATAAATATTTTTAACAATTGTGACAACATACAACCTTTCAGTACTATAATGAAACGCTTTCTTCAGTCTCTAAACACTAAATAAATTTTTTGTCTTGATATATGACATTTGTGCTTTCCTCATTGTTTAAACTTTATTTATTAAACCAATTTAGCATAATAGAATTAAGTTGAAGAGGCTTATTGCATGTCATGGAAGTATGGTGAATATTTTAGGAAATCTATTACAGTTCGTGGCTGTCTGAAAGTTAAGAAAAAATATGTAGGCGTAGAATTTTCTCACCTTTGCATTATAATTAGAAGAGGTCTCTACATTTTATAGATGTATAGATTCATTCTCTTCAAACGCCTAAGGTAGAATGTGTAACAACTTAGAACTATTGTGTAAATCCCAAACTATTGTAATGTGTTTATGATGAATAAATTTTTTTTTAACAGAACAACATGCAAAATGTTTTTACTATAACCTGGTTAATAGTTTTTCACTCAATATCGATTGCTGTATTGATTAACCTGTAATGTATGCAGGGTTAAATATGTTAAAGGTTTTTCCTAAAATTAGTCCCTCATAACTGAATTTATGCACAGAAAGTTTTTTTAACAAATGTGCCTAAGTCGCAGGATTATTAAAAAATTCAAAGTATAGAAATAAATTTTTGTTTGTTCTTGTCTTTTAATGTTTTTATTTATACTTTTATTTTAGATTGATAATTGCTTAAGATACATGGAGGTTGACCAATCATTTATTGATATTGCGTCAAAAGTAAGTTAACTTTCANTTGTTAATATTATTATTATGATTTTTTTTGATATACTAATAATAGGTACTTTCATATATTTTCATTAATATGATATTTATAGAGATGCTTGGGCATGTACTTGGTGGACAAATATGCCCAGCATGTTGCAAAGTTAACTTATTTTCTAACATATTTTCTTGTGTACATTGTCATTGTGTTTTACATGCATGCAACAATGTCAACTATGTATCATAATATTAATTACATAGTATTAGAAACAGCTGGAAAATGATTTCAGAATACTCAAAGTGAATTTATTAACAGGATTGTTTAAATAAACCTATTAGGATAGAATAACCAGTTGTGTCTTTGAGTTTGTCAAATTTACCTTTATAAAGACTCAGTATATTCCAGCAAACATATGCTAGAACTCAGTCCCTAATTTATATTTCTGATTGAATTAAAATGGTTTATTAAAGCACTGAGAAATTTATTAAATTAAGTGGATGAGTTTCAAAACAGGTAATCTGCATTAGATTTATTATCAAGGTCACCTGTTTTCTGACTCATTGATTAAATTATATCATGACAATTTATCAGTTTAGCTATCTATTCATTGATGCTCAATTTCCCTTTTCATTTTTGATAGCAAATGACAGATAATAATTTATAGCTGAGATCAATGAACTTGGTTATAATTTTTGCAGTGCTGTTGGTTAAAGTCTCTAATTAATTTTACTAAGCTTTTCTATTATTCAACTTACACTGACTATCATTTGCATTTACTTATTACATTAACAGCTTACTCGTGTATTTTTCTTTTAAAAAAAATTAAAATTTGTAATTTTTTTCCTGTTTTTAAAGTTTTTTTCCTACGAAACAAAGATAATAATGACGTTCAGCAAAGTATATTAATAATATAAATAGTTATGTTTTGATCTGAAATTAAGCTTTTGCAATATTTTCTTAAACTAAAGTGGTAATCACAGTAAATGTTACAAATTTAGCTTGATCGCTAATTCGCTATGGGTTTTTTTTTCTTCCAAAAATACTTTTTAAATCACAACAAAGCGTCGGCAGGAAATTGGTTTTAGTTTGCTATATGTTTTTCTTAGTTTCTAGTGAATTATTCTTGTTGCCAATTAAGTCTGAATTATAAATTTGCATATTATTAACAGGAATGCCTCTTATTCATTTCAAATTTTATATATTTACAGAACATTAATAGATTCTGGAGGACTGAATCTTCTAGGTGGTGAGAAAGATGTGGCAATTAAAGAAAAGGTAGGTAGTAGTTTTAAAATATGTATGTATAAATATTTTTATCAATTGTGACAACATACCACCTTTCAGTACCATAATGAAGTGCTTTCTTCAGTCTCTAAACACTAAATTAATTTTGTGTTGATATATGACATTTATGCTTTTTTCATTGCTTGAACTTAATTTATATTTCAATTTAGCATAATAGAATTAAGGTGAACCAGCTTATTGCATTTCATGGAAGCATGGTGAATATTTTAGGAGATCTATTACAGTTCGTGGCTGTCTGAAAGTTAAGAAAAGATGCAGGCATAGAATTTTTTAGGCGTACAGTGCGCCAAAGAGAAACGAACCACCCTGATTAACTTTTGATCTGATCTTCACATTGTTGGGCTAAATCTAAATGGCTCAAGGGAGTGACTTCAAATATTGTAATTAACAAGTGCAAACAATATTTTATTAAGTTATGAAATGAGACACAAAAACACAAAAGTGTTCTTTCTCTGAATAAACATACCTTTTTTTTCTTCTTTTTTTTTTAATGGATTTGGATTTTGACCCCCAAAATATAGGGGGTCGCTGCAATCTGGGAAATATGGTTCCAATACTTAGGCAAGGAGAGCGCTCCAAAGCTTGGATCCCTTAATGTTAATTTTACTTTTTGCTTATTTCACTTTATCTCGAGAACTTGTAAGAAAATTAAAACATTTTTGAGCACAATTATAACATTTGTTTATCCAAAGATAATTCCATGTATTTTGCACACTGTATATATTGAATTAATAGTTGTCGCTAACAATTTTAAATGTGATGTTTATTGCAAGTAAGCATACACTGAAATGGTTTTATTTTGAAAAGTAAAAACATATTGTCAGTTGATTTTTTTTTTTATATTGACATTTAAAAATTTATGTTTTGAAGCAGCATAACCCACAGAAATTAATTATATTATATATAGGTAGATATTAACCGAGGACCTTAGATTTATAATTTTTAATTACTCAATTTGATCAAAGCAAAGACAGTTTGTCTCAAAAGTTTTTTCTAATGACGTTGACAACAATGTAATGATGAACAAGGCTCACTATTGCATTTTAATTAGAAGAGGTCTCTACACTTTATAGATGTATAGATTCATTCTCTTCGAACGTCTAAGGTAGAATGTGAAAGAACTTTTAACTATTGTAAAAATCCCAAACTATTGTAACATGTTGATGATGAATAAATTATTTTTTTTTTAACAAAAGAGCATGCAAAATGTTTTTCCTATAACCTGGTTAATAGTTTTTCACTCAATATCTATTGCTACATTGATATTGATAAGTCTTTTAATAACCTGTAATGTATGCAGGGTTAAATATGTTAGAGATTTTTCCTGAAATTAGTCCCCCATAACTGAATTCATCCACTCATAAATAGAAAGACTGCTGCACAGACACTTTTTTTTAACAAATGTGCCTAAGTTGCAGGATTATTGAAATATTCAGTGTATATAAATAAATTTTGTTTATTCTTGTCTTTTAATGTTTTTATTTATACTTTTATTTTAGATTGATAATTGCTTAAGATACATGGAGGTTGACCAATCATTTATTGATATTGCGTCAAAAGTAAGTTAACTTTCACTTTTTTCACAATAATAGTTTAGTAGTAGTGTTCCAGACTTAGCTATTGAACAAAAGTATTTATTTCAAAGTTTATTATGCATTTCATCTGACAATTTGTACCACTTTAGTAAAAAAACGATAGCTTTCACAGACTAATTGAATCTTTAGTTATTCTCTTTTAATGGAAATACAAGAAAAATATGAGTTAATGAATTCATCTTCTGTCTTGTAAAATTAATTACTAGTATAATCTATATCTTTCAACTGTTTTGTTGTTAGACCTATTTTTTATCTTAGATTTTTTACAGTCCTTTTTAGTTGAAAATCATTTTAAGTTGTTAATTAAATTGAAATGAAAGAATAAATTTTCTCATCATAGATTTTTTTAAGGCATCCATACTTCATGTGCTTATTGTTTTCAGTGTTTTGAAATCAAATATTCGCAGGACAAGTAGACACCTTTTCGGCAATAAAAATGGAGTTAAAAATAAATAAAATCATAGGATTTGGTAGTAAAAAAATAAATTTAAAAAAGAATATGTGCATCATATGGTAGCTCTTATATATATATGTATACATATTCAGATAAATTTTTTTTCAAGCTGTTTTTTAAGTTCTCAAAATCTTAAATAAGAAAAGAAAATAGTGGATATGGATATTTATGGAAGTAATATTTCTGAGCTATGTTCTTTAATTATGAACTTAAATATTTTATAGTTTCATTTATTTTGTCCTTGAATTTTTATTTTGAGTAAAAAGTGGGGTACTCTGAAAAAAATCAAAATTCTCAAACAGAAATGTAACATTATGCATGTGATGTAATTAAGTGACCTGTTTCAGTAGTTTTTTCAGCTGGTCATTTTATGATTTAAATTTTTTTTTTAGATGTTAGGTACAGATTTCTTTGCATTAACTGAAGTTTGTGACAGTACTTTAGATTCTCAGAATACTTTTGCAGTTAAACAAAATGGCACTGGTGAGTACTTATACACAATTGCTGAGTTTTTCATTCAAAGTTTTCCACTCAAAACTATTTAAATAAACAGTTTAATATTTTTAAAAAAAAAACCATTTAAAAGTTTAAATATATTGAATGTAACTTTTAAAAATTTATACAAACTTGATAGGAGTCCAGAACACACAAAAAATTGGTGTATCTGGACTCCTGTCAAGTTTTGTGTAAATTCTTATATTTATTTTATTTGGAATTTTATGCATGCAGGAATTTTTTTAAACTAAACTGATCAGATACTTTCTTCGTGTTCCTGTTATTTCAGTTTTTGTATCACCAAAATATTATACTGTTGATAGCAGTAATAAATAGATACTTAATCATATGATTGTAGTTACAACACTTTTAATTTTTTTTCATACATTTTTCAATATGATAGAAACTATCCAAAAAGTTTTAAAAGTATAAAATTTTAACTTTTTTAGCAGCAAATGACACGGTAGATATTTTTTAATTTATTGAAATAAGTAAAGTTACGTAATTAATTTAAAATTTTACTCCATTTCATTATCTAAGCTTTTTATGCCTCACCAAATTTTTTTCTGTGTAGCATCATGAATCTGATATAAGTTGAAAAGTCAGATATTATGCAATTTTAAATTTTTGAAGTAACTTTCAATGGAGATAAAATTTTATATTAAAAAAAAAAGATATAAGTGTTTTTAATTAATTTAAACATTGTTTTTCTCCCCAAAAGCAACTTGTTTAAAAGGATCTGCAAATATATATTGTTAAATTAATGGCGTTCTTTGATAATTTTTAAGTATATCAATGTTGCAGAATTTATATTATTCCTTTATTAAGTATTTTTCACTCTATAAATGACAGAATTTTTTTCTTAAGTACCTCTTTACAAAATTTATCAAATTTGTTACTTATAGTGTATACTTAAACAAGTTTTTAAAATTATTAAAAGCAATGATTAACAACAAAAAAATTTAATCTCTGCTATTTAATGAAAAGAAAATAACTATAAAAATTGCTTAGTTCTCAGACATTTTATGTGTATCAATTTCATTATAAGAATCTGAAAACTGAATATTCTATTACATAATAATATGAATTAGGAATTACTCAAATGCTATTTAAGTTTTCAATTTTACTGTACTATACGATTTCCAGGCTTTACTTAAAAAATATAGCCAATTTCAAGAATTACATTTAATTAAATTATTTATAAAATATTGCAAACAGTTTTTTTTTATGTCGGCAGAAAAAACTAAACTGTACTACCGTAAAATTTAGTTTCTTCCCTTAGTATTTATAATGTAAAATTTTTAATGCAGGCCCAATTATTTTGCTTATCTGTCAAACCTTTTAAAATGAATCTTGATTGGATAAGTTACTAAGATATTTTTCTGTGGCTACTAATTCATTTAAAATAATTAATAAAAAAATACTTTTACAATGCATTGTTTAACTTAAGATGTGTGCCCATTTTTGTCTCAGTATAAGTTCATTCTGATATCAAGAATTTTTTCTATAACTAATATTTTACTCAAATTATTTTTCCAAAAAATAACTGAAAATTTTTTGTAAGGCATACATTTTGTTTTGTTCAAAATATGATCATTCCTATTATTATTTTTAAAAAAAGGTAACTTTCATTTTAAATATTTTCTTATTTTAGGTACTTTAGAATAAATGATCTTATCACGTTCCTATACTTGTATGTGAGATGTGGTCCATAATGATCTCGTGTTGACTTCACTTTTGTAAATAAATTTTTTTTTTATGATACTTGTTGAGTATCTAGTTTCAATTCATATTTGTTTGTATATATATTAAAAAGTAATGAATCATACTTTAAAATAAACTACTTTTTTATACAATTAAGATTTATATCATTTCAAGAAACAGACACATGTTTGAATTGATTTCAAATAATGACAGAAATATCCTAATACTTTTTATATAAATTAATATAATTAAAATTTACTTTTAATGGTCAGCTTATTTTAATAAAAAATTTATAATAAAGTGATATTTTTTTAGATTTTTTGAATCTAAAAAAAGTATGTCTATAATGTAAAGCAAAAATATAAAAACTATTTATTGGTAGGCAATTCATCTGTACAATCTGCATCTAGAGGATATTCATCTTTTTGGTGTATTTGATACATATAATTAAAAAGATTGTTATGTCTGTTACACATTTCACTGTAGACGTCACATAAAGCTTTATAGTCTTCCATTTCCAACTCAAAAGATTTCTTTTCGGGGTTTATTTTTGTTCTTTGCACTATTTCTTCTACCAGTTCGGGATTTTCTTTTGGAAAGAGATTTCTAAAAATTAAATAACTCATTGGAATATGAATATGTTAGGACAATAAAATAAGTCAAAATTAGAGTGGTTTGGGTTAAATGCACAAATAAATTTTCATGAACATATTGCTATTCAATGAAATTCTTAATTGGATATGCACTACTAAACAACAGTTAAACGGGTATGGAAATGTGACTTGTCAATATCTTGTCACAAAAGCCCCCCCCCTTTTTTTTCTTTCTTTTTTAAACCTGTGGGTAAGCACTTACATTTAGAAAAAAAAAAACAAGATAGAAGTTGACTAGAACTAAGTACTCTAAAAAGTCAATTGCTTGATTAATTTTTTTTCATAGAATTATAACATTACCATTGATGGAATTTAAGATATTTCTGTTTAAAAATGATAACACCAGGCTAGTGACTATCGAAATTGTCAATAATTAAAATACCATAATGTGTCAACAAAAATTTAAATAAATCTGAAGTAGCTTGACAGTTTCATAGACTTTCTCATTAATCTATAAAAAAAAAACAATTTCAAATATACTGTCTAGGGAGATCACCTCACTGCTCTGTTGTAAGTGAATGTATTAAGATGTTTTTACTTCACTCACCCAATACTTCTAACTTTTAAAATTTCTGCAATGCTTCCTAGTAACATACCTACTAAGACTATCCACACACGTACAAATTTGCATAGAATAACAAACTTATAATTACTAATTAGAGTTTTGATCATTTTTATAACATAAAATATTGATTTGATTATGAGGGATGTAGTGGGGCCGATTCGACATTTTAGTGAGGCGGAATAGGATGTGGTTCTGAAACTTCGATGAATATATTACTAACTCATAATATAACTTTTTTTATTGAAAATGTTTTAATTTAATGTACTTATAATGCTAATAGATTGAAAGCTAATGTGCTTAGTTAGTAAAAAAATTAATATTTTATCTCTTTATAGCTGTTTCAAGGAAAATGAGTTTATTAAGATAAAATAAAAACAATAACTCTTAAGAAATTTTGTTTAAAGCAGTTTGATGAATTAGTCTTAAATCTATAATATCCTATATATTTGATTTTTTAAGAAAGAAAAGGTAAAAAAATAAATATGTTTAGAATTGTTTTTCGAATTGAAGAGATATATATACATAACAGAATAAAAATAAGGAAAATTAAGTAATTTTTGATAAATTCAGATTTCACCCTACGACTTCCTTTCAGTGAGTTGGGTTAAGGTTACTGCACAACAAAACTGTTGTTTACACATTTTATCTCTCATTTAATTATTATTTGACTATTAAGAAAATGTATTAGTTACAGCATTATGAAACAATAAAATACATATTTTTTGCAAAAATGTTTTAAGTCATAAGAAAGCAAGTTTATTCCAGTTCAGTTACTTTTACAGTAGATATACCAATAACAAAAAAAAACTAACAACCAGTTAGTCAAATGGGTCATGTAGGTTAAGGCTCTATAATTTCCAGGCCAACAGTGCATTAGACAAAGGGCACCTTTACTTCCTAGACAAGATAGTGTTCAGTGCCTTAACCACTACGCTGTTGTGGTCCAAGGTAAATTATAATGGAAGCTTTATTTTGATGTGAAGTATTTCATACTTTTGTTTATTTATAATTTCTTCCGTTCTTTATATACATAGAATTTATTTGAAGAAAAAAAAAAACAGTTTAGTTTGAAATAATATGTGTTGAGCTTGAAAAAATTGGTAGTCCAGGCTTTAATTATTAATATAATAACCAATAAATAAGCACTTACTTGATTCCATACAGGCTGAACTTTTGTCGATGCTGAAAGATTGTTGAAATAACTTTATTAACAATCTCAAATGGCTGACTGATTAGAGGACGAATGCGTGGTGTAAACCTTACAACTGAAACATCCACTTCAGGTTTCGGAAAAAAAGCTCGACCTACAAAAATAAGCACACCATTAGCTGTTTTATTTTATTCATATAAAGATCACCCTATGGGTATAACCGAATGGAATGTTCATTTTATAGCATTTTTTTACCCTAATATATACATAATATAATACAATTTAGGGCTTGTTCAAGAACAGGATGATACATTAAATTCAATTGCAGTATTGGCTTTGGAATTAATTCAATGAAAATTATTTCCTAATTAAAATTTTAATTACAAATATTTCATTAGCAAGAATCAGTACATAATTTTTTGAAAATATAGTTGTGTTTATAACTTGACAACTTTATTATTTATCTGTATTTATACATTTTAAATAATCATATGTCCAAGAGATATTTAAAAAATAATCTCTATAAGTCATATTCATTTGAATGAAAGCTATACACAATTATTTAATGCAAGTAATCTTCACTTTAATAAATTATAAATTTTTTCCCATTATTTTCCTAAGACTTGGACTTTCTTTTAACACATAAAATGTCTGGGGTTGGAGTTGAATAGCTTAAATTACCCACAACTCCAAAATCCTGTGCAGTAAAAATTTTAAAGTTCTGCTATACCTTTAATTTATTACTGCATTATTTCCTACAATAGCCATAATTTCTCATTATATGAAACACAATAGAAGTACTTCTAAACAAATTACCGTCGTACAATTCTTTGTTCGAATTTCATGAATAGCATATACAATAAATTGTAATATTCAAAAATGTGAAATAAAATTACAGCTTTTTGATTATTATTTTATCATATATCTGTATTTAAAAATCATTAACTTTTGCATAATAAAATCCTTGTGATTAAATATTTTATTTTAAAATTCATTAGTCCTTTGTTTAAAAAAATAATTTTGATTTACTTTAAAAATGTATTTCAATACTCCATTGAGAGTTCTCAAAATTTTTATTTTATTTTTAAGGAAAATTTTTTTGAATACATTTACTATGCATAACTTAAAGCAGGGGTGAGCAAATCATCCAGTGTCTCAGTCTTCAAAGAGTTTTTGTAAGCTGTCTTCAATGTATTGTGTAACCACTGAAGCTTCTCTAACGGGAAGCTGTGATCACTAGTAAAATAGCACAAAAATTTTTATAGTCTGGAGCATTTTCTATTCAGGTCAGTTCAAAACAATACATTTGTATCGTTCAGAGGAAGTAACAGTTGTCATTTTTTGTGTTACCAGTTGTCAATAATAAAGTAAAACACCATCCAGAATGATAAGGGTGACAACTCTCTCAACAGGGACGTAGGTAAAGGATTAGGTAGTTCAAGCACCCCCATTGTGAATGGCAATTTTCAATATTTTCTGAAATTACTCATATTTTAAAAAAAATTACAAATTTTCCAAAAAAAGTACCCTAAAAGGCATTTACCACAAGTCCCTTTTCATTCAAGCATTATGAAACAAAAGTGTTCCTCCCTATCATTCGCTTACAAGGTTAGCCGATTCCTTTTTATTGTGACTAAAAATTCTCAATATGGAATATTTATCCTTTCATTTCCTCTGTTTATTTATTTTTCTTTTCATTAACATTTTTTAAAATTTCTTCTTAATAATTTCCATTTTAAAATTTGAAAAGTGATAGTTTGTTGTGAAATTGATTAATTAATTTAGGGAGTTTTTTAATCGATTCAAAATTTTTTTATTCCTTTGGTGGTAATTTCATAATTATTCAATTATAGAAGATGTATGTAAAGGCTAAAACTGGATAAGATTTCAAGCACCAGGGTTGGGTTTTTGACGTCAAAA